AAAATTTGCGGTGGTATAAAAATCAAAACCCTGACCACATGCACACCTTCAATATATGTACAAACAGCCAGCAAAGTGAAAACTTCCTAGCATTCAAATTGTAGGAGGAGTTATGTGGAATAACTATATACCCATAATGGGACGGAAGGACGGACAGGGGTAAAACAATATGCCCCCCAACTTTTAGTTGCGGGGGCCTAAAAAAAAAGGAACCGGTATATTGATTTCTGAGCCTTCCCTTCCAAAAATTACTAGATGGATACAAGAACGTTACTTTTTTTGTAAAAACAGGTAATTCAAATAGAACATAAAAAAGATTTTGTAGGAGCAACCTACATGTAGCAACATCAGCATGATTATAAGGAAAGGAATATTGTCTGTTCTATGGTCGGGTTGTTGTCTCTTTGACACATTCCCCATTTCCATTCTCAATTTTATTCCAGACAGAATATGACGATTATAAATGTCAAATACTACTATAAAGATCAAGTTCTTGTGAAAAGATATCCTAACAACATTTGTAGTATAATACTAGTATTCACTTTCTCTAAGCGGTAAAATTTTGACTTTAATATTAATATGAAAGTGTTAATTGACACGTCATTTTAATGGTAGGTGATTTTTGCTAGCCTAAAAAAAATATTAGCATGATAATCATATAGCTATAGGGAAATACATGTAAGCCAGGATGAGTTTGGTGGGGTATACATTGTACATTTATATAGTGATATCTTTGACATAACTAATGGCCATGATGGCATGCTTTTCTATTGTCTGACATAGTACATGTGAGTTGACTTCACTTAATTACTAATGTGGTAATTTAAAACAATTGAATCAGATATTGTTGTATAAGTTGCCAAACACTGTTCCTATGTACATATACTAGGTATAAATAGTGAATTTATTTGTAAAAGCTAGCTATATAAAGGATAAATCAGACTTTAATGAGTAGTTTGCATGAACCTATTTTTAAAAACATATTACATAGTACATGTAGATTGATTAATTCTGTCTTGCACAGGTGAATTAAAATAATCCCTTGACTGTTGAATTAAATTTTTTATGCAATCACTATTTAATTTCTACCATTTGTTGGGGAAAAAATTGTTTTTCTTTTATATGATATTCATCAACTTTATTATGTACAAAATTTGGCGAAAGAAATATATCAATTTGACTTCGTTCATCTGGTAATTTTTTCGGGTTTCTTAAACTTTTTCCCTAGTCAGACAATACTCCGATTTCACCTTGAACTCATCACACCTATCGATTTTGACAGAAATCAATAATCAGCTGATTGCATTTGATAGCAATCAACAACAATGGACTAATTAGAAAAGGTATTAATTGTCTTCTTAAATTAAAAAGTGTGGTGAAATAGCATCCCATGTCAACTAAAGGATTGTTTTTACAAATTTGATAAAAATAATTGCTTTGAAGTTTGAACTTTACAACTGTTTTAGCGGCGTACCTGTTCTAAGCATATTTTTACGTTTCAACTTTTACTATTAACGATGGTTCGGAAAAGAAAGCTGTTGTCTTGAAGAAAGGGTTTCGAAAGTAAGAAAAATCTATGACATTATTCTTTGTCCTTTAACTAGACAGTATCCAATGTACTGAATGTTGATAAAGTCTGTCATGTCTGTGTTCTGAGAAGTCAAAATTAACAGTTTCTATTAATCAAAGAGCTGAAAGCTCTGAGGAAAAATGACGCCAAGTGCTGTCTCTAATATTGTGATATTTTTTATGCAAGTCTTGATTTTCACATACCGTAATAAGTTTAACATTGCAACATGTCTAGTAAGCATATAATTGATATTCATATATGTGTCTGTTTTTTCAGTACAAATAAATAGGTCAAGACTACCTGAATGATCTACAGTATCCAATTACTACTGGCTGTTTTTTTGTATAAATAAATAGGTCAAGACTACCGGAATAATCTACAATATCCAATGACTACTGGCTGTTCTTTTGTACTAATAAAAAGGTCAAGACTATTTGAATGATCTACAATATCCAATGACTACTGGCTGTTCTTTTGTACATATAAATATAGACTACCTGAATGATCTAAAGTATTCTAAGTAATGTGATTTTTTTCTTGCAATTACATTTTTCTAAATCAAGAATATAGACTACTAGTATCCTTTTCAAACCAAATGATTATGAAGAGCCTGTTGTTAGCAAGCTCTTATACCCCACATACTCATTAAATAAGTTACTAGTGACCTAGTTATTTCTGTTACTTGAAGCAAATTATATTTCTGTATATTTAGACAATAGTATAATATTGTTTTACTAGTTTTATTTCACCTTGAAGATTAGACAAATAGGGATACTCCTTAGATTTTTTATTTCATATCAGTCAGGTCGCTTTATATGAAACTTGAAACCACTTCTCTGCCATATTGTTATTTTATAATAACTCTGCCCTTGACCATGTTGACCCATGCCATGTAATTGATATTCATTCTTTAACCATATATCATAGTCAGTTAGTTTTTGATTTTGCACTCCCACACCACATTTCATGTCGTTCAGGTCAAATGTCTGTCTCCATTTAAGTTAATGACATTGAACAATCATGGTATTAAACACAACTGCAATAGTGATAATGCTGTTCTCGTGGGTCACCATATTTTCCAATTGGGTAGCATTCCAGTTATTGAAATTTGTGTCAGATTAGAACAATGATCTAGATCTTTAGGAATGGATCTTATAATTTAATATGGAGCCATAGTATGGGACCCCTACACGGTAACAAAAAAAAACAAGCTTGAAAGGATACAATGTCAAGCGGCAAAATCTATCACCAGAGATTACAAGTCAAAAGAGGATGGATGGGATACGTCTCAAAAATGCTTGCTGAACTGGAACTACAGCAAGATCTGATTCTCCAGACAAGACGAACAAAGCGTTGAAGCCAGATGTTAATATTTATGTAAAAAGTAGTTGAGGGGCTGATTCCCGCTATTGAACCATTCTGTCATTCTATAATATCATTGCGTAAGTATTTCTGTATTAGCCTTGTTATTGGTCCATGTCTTGGGTGTATTGGTCTGAGGCGAAGCGGAAGGCCAATACTGCTGGCCGAGGACCAATAATAAGGCCAATACAGAAATACACGTAATAGTATCTTTATTAATTAACTACAGTGTTACAATATTTTTTTTATTTCATTTCACAAGAGATAAACATTTTTACCTTGAAGTGGAACTATCCAAATCTCAGTTTCCTTTTATAAGATGCAATATCTAATGATTCTGTGCCGTTTGACTGCTGGCCGAGAACCAATAATAAGGCCGATACAGAAATACACGTAATAGTATCTTTATTAATTAACTACAGTGTTACAATATTTTTTTAATTTCATTTCACAAGAGATAAACATTTTTACCTTGAAGTGGAACTATCCAAATCTCAGTTTCTTTTTATAAGATGCAATATCTAATGAGTCGGTGCCGTTTGAAGTATCTTCAGCCTTTTCTCATCTGATGTATTTTTCTACCCTTTCCAGTCACTATAAAGTGTTACAACTTTAATTTAGACACAACACATAAATAGTAATTGGAAAGGTACTGCCATTGCATGTGTAATGCAAATATATTTAAAAAAAAAATAATGTAAGAGTTGAAATTGATACAACTATCCATAAGCCAATTGACCAAAGAACGAAGATTTGCACAATTACAGAATGCATATGCCTGGTTCGGGTTTAAAAATAAACGACCGTTTAAATACAAAACATGAGAAGCGACAGTAAACAGTAAAAATCGATTTGTACCATCGACATGATGAAATTATGAGGTCGTCAAGAAATGAACTTTGTGATAATTTACTCGTTCCCCAAACCTGAAATAATCCCATCATCTACTTTCAAAATGCTTTTTAAATGAATGGGACCGTCTTTAACCTAAAATATATGCCATACTGAACGTTTCAGCTTGTTTATGGTGAGTAAACCTGCGTCTTACAAACAACTGTTTACTTTCAGTTTGAGTTTATCGTGACTTACGATCTAAAAACTAGAGACGTTCCGAAATCCTGTTTTGTAAACAAAGATTCATACGCACCGCGTGGGTATAACCGTATTACTAATTTCCGATTTTTAAAATCTTCTTAAATCTGGATAAAGACCAGTTTCTATCCAATGGATATCAAAATGATTCTGATTTTCACTTTTTTTAATGATTGTAAAGTTGAAATGGCATGAAAGGCTGACATTATTTAGGAGAACTATTTTGTCTAGCGATTGCTGACCATTGGAGGGTAAAAAGTCCAACACCATAACAAAATGGATCTATTTATCATGTATACATACCGATTGTTTACGATTGTAAGACATGTGCATAAAAGTGAAAGCTCGAATAAATATGAAAAATATAACAAAGGGATAGCTCCAAATACCATTTAATAACAAAAAACATATGGACAGGTCAAGATATCTTTTTGGTAAATAAAATAAAGTATGTAAACTGGTTTCCGTCCGACTACAACACTTTGTTCGAGTGTAGCGTAATACAAGCAGATTCCAGTTAGTATGTAAAATAGTAAATATGAAACCGAGTGCGGTAGGCAGAGGCAATAATCGACTTCCGTAAGTTCTGGTCAATGGTATCGGAAACATGCCGCTGATAGCGTCATTTTCCAAAAAGTACTACACTTAACCAGAGGAAGAAGAAGACATTTTGTTCTAATTGCTTGTTCATTTATTACAATGTGGATTATAAAATAGATATGTAGAATTATAATAAATGGGACAACAATACTGTTGACTTTTTTTTTAACAAGACGGAAAACAAGTAAAAAAATATTTTTTGTTAGTTGGCGAAAAAAAATTGAGAATGTCGGAAAAAATATTGTTTTGGCGAAAGAGGTGGCGTAAATAATTTTGACCCAGGGGAAACCCTGATGAAGACAAGTGCTTGTAACAGAGGCATACACAGGCATTTCTTGCCTGTGGTGGTACCGTATACTCATATTGTGTTGTTCACCTTTGAAACATTTTCAGTTCCACCAATAGACTTCAATGCTTTATCGGCATTCTTTACAACACCTGGATAATCTACACAAACAAATCGTTTGTGATTAAAGGGAACTTTGGTTAATTTATCTCCGCTAGACCACATGTTCATGTTTTTGTTTTCATTTTCATTTTCAACAGTGCTTTAATCTCTAATTGTATTTTTCCCCCGAGAAAACCGTTATGATTTTGAAATTTATAAAACAGCTGATATAATGTAAATTAATAAATCATACTTCTGTTAATATAATAGTTTTCAATTATAAATAAAAAAAATAGTTTGAGATTTATACGTTTAGAGATTATTTTCAAGATGTCAGCGCCCATGACAAAAAATTTCGTAATAACTGAACATAACCAAAGACACTATAGATAGCGACCTGTACGCATATATTTGCTCTCAAAATGAAGAAGAACGCAAATGAAAAGTATCCAATGTATGTTCATTTAATTCAGTTGATAAAGGTCGAGTCAAGTGTTACCTGTGAGAGAGGACGAATTATTATCTTGATACATGTACAATGACTCTGAAAAAAAGTTCATATATACCTTGATACAACACAAAGTACCCCCCCCCCCCCCCCCCCTCATTTTTGAGTAATAAAACTTGTTCACGAACTTTTGTTATATTTTTATTTGGCGGTTATCTATCCCACTGAAACTTGTTATGCTGTAAATCTACAAAATGATGTACATGTATGGCACCCTTATTTCTGTCGTCCCCATCATTCTTCCAAGTTGGTCAACTGTAAATTATTTCTTCTTCTCACAGCCAATTTAAAACCACTTGTACTATTATTTAAATTGACTTTAAACGATAACATATATAATAAACACTATTGCATTGTTATTAACACTAATTAACCAATTTTAAGCCTCCAGACTCTACCAGACTTTAACAGACTTCTACAGTCTCTGTGTGTTCAGTTTTTTATTTACTGAAATTCATCAAATGTGAAAAAATTGATAACAGGAATGGCACAGTGCAACTGACCACATTAACCATCAACACCTGACTCCTCATTGGAAAAAATGCAGACATACATTGTTTTATAAATACAAAGTCAAAGACAAATAAGGGGTCAATCTTTTCACTGCTGAACACCACCGAACACAGCAAAACATCGCAGAACACCCAAAAAGTGAATTAAAACTATGAAAAAATAATAATGTGTGTCAATAAAAGCAGAAAAATGTTGAATTTGTTGATTTTTTATCGCAATTTCAAAGAATAAATAAACGGAGAATACACACAGCGTTAGTGAAAGTCTATTTATTATGTTATTGTTTCAGTAAATCAGCTACATATATATTGACGTCAATATTGATTTTTATCAGATTAAATGTATATTTCAATATGATTATTGAAGGTATTTTTTTTGGTTCTGGGCAGATGAATTCTTTTTTTATTTTTTTTAATATAATATATTTATGTCATTTTTAGGGTCTGTTTTGTCATTGTGTAGTTCAATTTTGCCTATTTTGTCATTTTTATTCTGGACAAAAAAAAAGTGTCGTTTAAGGAAAGTTTGTCTTTTTTATTCTGGGTAAAAATGACACTTCATTGGAACATTAATTTACTTTACAATTTTAGAACACAGGAGCTTGGATGATGAAAACTGTTTTTCTGGACAAAAACTACACTTCATCGAAATATTATTTTTTGAACAATTTCAGAACATCATGAACATAGGAGCTTTGATGACAAAAACTGTTTTTCAAATATTTCGGTATGCCTTACGAGAAACAAATTAAAAAAGATTTCGCCAAATGCAACTTATATGTGTTCTAAATGTATAATAAATCAATTTTAGCCTGACACACGTCTAGGGGTAAACAAGATTAAATGTGATAATCGCCAATCATAAATTAACACACATGCAAAACCAAAATCAAGTTAATAATTGGTCTCGTTTCCTTTTTATTTGTTAAAACCTTTTAATAAAATACGTGAAATAGATAAGATAACATAATGAAATATTGTTTATTTCATAGTTTAAGATCATTTTGAGGTGTTCAGCAATGTTTTGCGTTGTGTGGTGGTGTTCAGCTGTGAAAAGACCTACCAACAAATAAGAAGAACTAACAAACGGTCCTGATAGTCTGACTTGGTACAGGCACAAATTGAGGTGGCTTTAAAACAGTTTTGTCTATCTAATAGAAAAACAAAGGATTTGGGGTATACATCCATGACACAAAATGAGTACATGCACAGTAAAAAACACACAATAAGCAAAGGAACAGCGCTTTTATTGCTGTTCTTCATCTCAAAGTCACAGTGAGACCTTTAACACGGAGCAAAAAAAAAATCTCACCTCACTGCAATTTTAAGACGGCCCCCAGCACCAGCTTGAGCGGAATTCTTTAAAGATTTGCAAAAATAAATTTGGATAGACTTCGTAATAATCGGCCCCGTCAAAAAAGAACATACTGGAAAGTAGTACATATTTAAAACTAAATAATTCCTACACATTGGTGTAAATCTAAAACTATGTAGCATATATTTTAGTATTTAAGGTATCAGATGGAAGGTGAAGGACTGGTGATCCTTGCATTGTAGAACACCATATAGTGTAAACTAAAACACACAACCAGATATTAATGATTTAAACTGAATCATTTTATTCATTTGGCACAAAACATACAAATACTGGAGGTATTTTGAGTTTCTTGGTCTTCTCAGTGGTTATAGAAAAACCAGCATAATAATTGAAGATCCCAGTCAGATAGTTCTAAACAAAAGTTCATTACTACTTATGTTAATTGATCTAAGATGTTTTTTAAGAAAGTAGGAAAGTCAATCCATGTCAGAGATATGATGAGAACAACCCCAATGTTTCTTATTGGGTTTAAAAAAAGTGTACATTTTGACAACTGATGATATAGAGTTTTAAATATGAAATACAACAATGACCTCTAGATATCTTCTTTTTTCTGTGATGTTGGGTTGCCATCTAATTGACGTACACTGCACAATCCACAACCCCTTTTATTCATAAGTGTAGAATGGTTTATACTGTTAATACATGTAGCTAACTTAATTCTTGATCATTCACGCGTTAATTCTTTACATCTCAAAACTTGTTGGGGATTTCCAAGGACTTTATTGATGGATCTAGGGAAACCATGTCCAATATTATTATTTTCCTTTGCTCAACATTATCATAAGTTGTCAATATGTCATGATGTTTTCAAACAAACAAATCCTAATGTATAAAATCTGCATATTTACTTTTTGGAAAATTACATCTTGGTCCATAAACTGCCATAGTTCGCTCAATGTCATGAATTATTTGTTAAATGTTTATGATGATGTAATTATTTTTACCTCTTATTGAAATAAAGATATAACAAAGGAAAAGAGAAGAAGACAGGAAAAGAGGAATTAAATAAACAATTGGAAAAGAAAAAGCTAGTGGAAGCTAAGATCAGAAAACAAGTTGCATCTGAAGAAAAAGCCTTCCGTATTGTAGAAAGACTAATAGAAAACCCAATAACAGAAGAATTCCTCAAAGATTCAGTATGTTTTGATTATTGAAATCCTTTATTTTCCATGTTGTATAAAACACAAGTGTGTCACATTATTTTACATAATTGTTTGAAGGATAGGAAAAAGAACTTTGATTAGAATTACTTCCTTCATGTCTGTTCACATGCTGTTTGCTGAGCTCTATTTTTTTTTTTTTGTATACATCTTCAGTTTGTAGTAGTTTGTGTACTCACATTGAATGTAGCAGGTTGTGGGTTCATAGAATAGATTTTCTTCCTAAATAACTTTACCGTCTACTGTGTGTCCAACTTAGTTTTGTAAAAAGAGACAGAAGATACCAGAAAATTCACAAGTGGAAGGAAAACTGACAATGCCAAGGCATGAAACACAAAAAAGACAAAAGTCCACAAAAACAATACATAAAAAACTAAGACTCAAAAGGAAAGAAAAGTTTTCATGCTTATTTTTTTGATTTAATAAACCTTAGAAATTTGGCCTTCATGTCACAAAAATAATGTAAATCCTATGAATAGATAAAAAATGTGTTAGGATCAACAATAACTTGGATAATGCTTTTTAATTTCAGTGCCAATTTATTGCACCACACCATTATGAAGATGTTGTAGAAGAAAGAGCTATAACAAAGACATGTGGCTATCCTGTCTGTGGTAAACTACTTACTGCTGTAAGTTATATAACTTAAATGTGGTATACAGAAACATACTGTATAGACAGACATTTTTGTGAGAGGTTTATTTTTCGCTTATTTCATGATTAATATAACACCATGGAAATATTCCCTTGTGTTGTGTTCTTTAAAGAATATTAAAATCATGGACTTTAAAATCATAAAAATTAAACCTAAGGAACAGGTTTTACACTAGAAATAAGAAAATTTAATTAAACTCCGCAAAAATAAACCATTTTAGAGTATTGGGTCAGTGGAAACATTGACTTGGACAGATATACAGATATAACTGTTTTCTTCATGGATTCCTTATATTCCTGTTTAACCCTTCTAAATCACTATACATTTATTTTTGCTGCAACACAGTCTTTTCATTTGGATGGGTTTTAATGATAGAAGAATTTACTGTACATGACAGACGTTTTCAAATGACAAATATGACTCATATAAGATTAACATTCATCCTAATCATTTTGAAATTAGACACAACCTTAAATTAGAAATTATCATTATATTTCTGTCATACTTTTTTCAGGAACTACTCAACAGAATGACTTCTAGCTTGTGAGCTTTTTCTGATCCGTCAGACCCCTACTTTCTGTTTGCCAATACTTTGAATTTTTCATAATGTTGAATAAAAAACAAATATTTTTATCACACTTTTCTCTAGAACTTATGAACAAAATGACTTCATTTTCAATAAGCAGCTTGACAATTTGAATGTGTGAGTCACAGCATTTTTATGCCCCACCTACGATAGTAGTAGGGGCATTATGTTTTCTGGTCTGTGCGTCCGTTCGTTTGTTCGTCTGTCTGTCCGTCTGTCTGTCCCGCTTCAGGTTAAAGTTTTTGGTCAAGGTAGTTATTGATGAAGTTGAAGTCCAATCAACTTGAAACTTAGTACACATGTTCCCTAAGATATGATCTTTCTAATTTTAATTCCAAATTAGAGTTTTGACCCCAATTTCACGGTCCACTGAACATAGAAAATGATAGTGTGAGTGGGGCATCCGTGTACTATGGACACATTCTTGTTCATGTCTGTTTGACACCTACTTCCTGGTTTCTTTGAATCAACAGTGGTGTATGCTTATCAGGACAATGCATGCAACTTCTTGTTTACATTGTTTTTTATCTTTGGCTTTTGATTTTATTGATCTAGTTCATGATATTGTGTATGAAGAATCTGCCATATGGTATGATCGATAGCAATAGCTGCTATATTGGTATCTTGTCATGTGTTTTTGTTCCATATAAATTTCCAATATTTATTGTTTCATGTCTGTACCGAACTGCAAAAATGAATACTTTTGACAATATTACAAATTTATGCACTATATATTATTGTTGAATGCTGATAGATGTAGGTACATTATTACTTCAATGTAATATACATATTTTATATTGACAGATATCCAAGCAGAAATATCACATATCCACAAAAGATAATAAAGTTTATGATATAACTGAGAGGAAAGTATGTCATAGTTTTCATCTGTGAAATTTTAATCTCAAGAATAAAGCCATGAAATAAAAAGATGGAAAAAGCCATGCTAATTTATTTTAAATTGAATTTAAGATATTAAGCAATGAACAAAAACTTTGTCTATATGGAGCTCCTTAAAAGATGCAAGGTCGTTTTTAAAAATGCCTCAGGTCACCAGGTAACTTTTAAGCAAATTTAAGTAAGGTTTTGAATGTTACATGTTGTTTTAAATGAGACATTAGTTTTCAAGGTCGGATTTGACCATGTTGGAGCCACCTATATGGCTTTAATAGCAAAGTTAGACAACATAAACAAAAAAAAATCATATTTGATTTTGAAAATAAAAAGAATTTCGTTGTCAAATAATGTATCTTTAAAAATATCTTGTAATTTAATAACCTTTAATATTGTGCTCCAGATGTTTTGCCTCTTAAAATTTGTGTTTTATCTCTCTTTGTCTTACATACAATTATCTAAATTACAAAAAATAAACATGCCTGAATTCTTATGTAAGTGAATATATGCAATAAAAGCACTGCTCCTTTGTTTTTGTGTTTATTGTGTCCATATACTGATTTTGTGTTATGGATGGATTTTTCTATTGACGTTAAAATTTTTTGAAGATAATATTATTTGAACCTTATATGTTTGATTTGAACAGAGTTTCTGCAGTAATCATTGTTACAAAGCATCAAGATACCTACAGAATCAGTTATCTACAACTCCATTATGGTCTAGAGAAGAGGAGAGAGTTTGTGTTAGTCTGCTTACTACAAACAGGTACCAGGTTTTACTTTATAATAATGATTCCTCTGAGGAATGTAATTCTTGACAATTATTTAAGATAAATTCAAATTTTAATTAGATTTGAGAAATGTGGCATTGCTTGACATTTAGTGACAAAATCTGTTCTAGTGATATAAGAAGATATTTAGGCAATCTATGACATTTTAGGGGTGCTCACAGATGTAGAGCAATTGTCTAATGAATATTTTTATGCCCCCGCCGTAGCGGAGGGGGCATTAAGTTTTACCCTTGTCCGTCTGTATGTACGTCCGTACGTCCCAAAATTGGTTTCTGTTCTGTAACTTTAGTTTGCCTCAACCAAATGTTATGAAACTTATACACAATGCTTATTACCACAAAATACAGATCAAGTTTGAATTTTGGTGGCGTCACTTTTACCGTTCTAGAGTTATGCCCCTTTACAAATGGAAAAATTGCTAATTTTTTCGTTTCCGTTCTCTAACTTAAGTTTGCCTCAACCAAATGTTATGAAACTTACACACAATCTTATTACCACAAAACACAGATCAAGTTTGAATTTTGGTGGCGTCACTTTTACCGTTCTAGAGTTATACCCCTTTACAAATGGAAAAATTGCTAAATTTTTCATTTCTGTTCTCTAACTTAAGTTTGCCTCAACCAAATGTTATGAAAATTATTCACAATGCTTATTACCACAAAACACAGATCAAGTTTGAATTTTGGTGGCGTCACTTTTACTGTTCTACAGTTATGCTCCTTTACAAATGGAAAAATTGCTTGATTTTTCGTTTCCGTTTCCTAACTTAAGTTTGCCTCGACCAAATGTTATGAAACGTATACACAATGCTTATTACCACAAAACTCAGATCAAGTAAAAATTTGGGTAGTGTCACTTTTACAGTTCTTGAGTTATGTCCCTTTATAACATTATATGCAAGCAGGGGCATTATCTGTGTCCCATGGACACATTCCCCATTTATTTTACAGAAAGAAATTTTTGTTCAGATTAAATGGTTGAAACATTGCATTAACATATCTCTTCACATGACCGCTCCTAAATGTCTTTGTCCTTCTTTGTGTAATTTATTTTAATTTTTACATGTAATTGAAATTTTAGATATTGTGAATATTAGCTCAGTAGAAATAAACAGTATAGATAACGTTCTTAATGTACCACCATCAGATATACCATCAGAATGGCACAACCAGAGAAATTTGTTGAGGAAATTTAACTTAATAATTAAAATAAAAAAAGTGTAGACCTGAGAACAAGTAATCCACATGTTAATTAAAAAAGTGTAGACCTGAGAACAAGTAATCCACATGTGAATTAAAACAGTGTAGATCTGAGAACAAGTAATCCACATGTTAATTTAAAAAGTGTAGACCTGAGAACAAGTAATCCACATGTTTATTAAAAAAGTGTAGATCTGAGAACAAGTAATCCACATGTTTGTTAAAAAAGTGTAGATCTGAGAACAAGTAATCCACATGTTAATTAAAAAAGTGTAGACCTGAGAACAAGTAATCCACATGTTAATTAAAAACGTAAAACAATCAACTGGTCATGAAAAATGTAAATCAGCCAGGAATCAGAAAATTGAGATTAGGAGTACAATAATCCACTGTATTGTTTTTTTGCTTTAACAACAATGATAAGTTCCAGATTAGAATTTGAATGTATGTTTTGTTTCAGCGGATTACCAGGTGTAGAAGTTGTTGGACCTATAGAACATGTATGGAAAGAAGTTCACAAGTTGAATAAACTTGATAAACCAGAATCAAAGATAAAAAGTTCAGATGACAACAACAAAGAAATCATTGATATAACCAGAAAAACAGCTGACATAAAACTCACAGATGAAATTGTGTCAGAAATAGATTGTGAAGAAGATTCAGATGATGAAAAAGACGTGGAACATGTTTGTCAAGATATTGATCAGACTAAAACAAATACCCAGTTTGGGGGGACATTTTCAGAAAATGCTGAAATTGATTGTAAAACTTCACTGGCACAGGCAAATGTTGCAAGTTGTTCTCCTTTAGCGTCAACACCTGAGACAAATAGTTCAAAGGGAAATAATCAATCACAAACTGAAGATAAAATGCAACATTTAATGAAGTTATTAGACAGGAGAAAACTGTTACTTGGTCAGTTGGTAGAAATAGAAACTGTTTCTGAACCTTCAATGGTACAAAATATAAGACCAAAATCACAAGAAAATTTAGAGACCAAAAGTTCTGGTCAGCAAATCGTTGCCATTGATAAAGATGTTCCCAAATATGTTCATGAAGTACATGAACAGAAGAACACTAGTATATCAGAGATGGATAGTGATGGATCATCTGTTTTGAAAAATGTTGTTGATAGTGACAACAGTAAAACCTTTGGAAAGTTAACAGCAACTTGTCCTCGTGTGAGCAAAGAAAAAGACAGTAAGTCAAAACCAGGACATACCAGGATGTCTAGTCATTCTGTTATTCAGTTGATATGCCAGTCTGTTAAAACATGGATAACAACTGAAACAATAGAATATCTACAGAAGTCAACAGAACAGGATCAAACCAGTAAGAGCTGGTCAAAAACACATTTTGAAGCATTGTATCAAGCTTTATGTAAAAGAGTAGATGCTGGGGAATTTGAAATAGAGGATATTGGGATTGAATCCAATATGGACGATGATAAAGATACAAGATTACCAATACCTGAATTTGAAAGATTGAAAGAAGAAACAAAAGATTATGCAAATAAAGTCCAACGGTATTTTGCTGGTGAATTGTTTACTGAACCTATAGAAAAGGTACTATCAGTTCTTACTTGATTTGTGTATAAACAGAACATCAACAATAAAAAATGTGTACAATCATTAATTTATTATGACCAATCATGTGTATTAAAAAAAAAAACAAGAGTATTAATTCAAAAATATTTTTTTTTAAAAACTTTGAAATAAATTGAAACCTCCAGTAAATTCTCTAAGAGAAAGAATCATATGTTTTTTGTTTTCTGCTTTCTATGCATATTTTTGCAGAATACACTATCTAGAAATGTTATATCCTTGACTTTTGATATTGGTGGCCCTTCATAAGGTTTTGTTAATAAGTATGTTCAAAGAACCACAGTTGCAAGCTTTTGAATTTAAAAGTATATCTATATTCAAGTATTATATTCTTGTGTAATGTTAATGAAAAACAAAGATGATTTAACAATTTTTTTATCTGGTTTCTTAAAGTTCTTAATTCATGTTTATGTGCAGGTATTAAAAAATACACCTTTCTTGGCTGTTTATTGGGGTTGCTGGCTCTACTCTTTTACATAATTACTTAATTTAAAATTTTATTCACATTTTAGGATGAGCAAGAAAAGATACCTGTTTACCTGCCTACAGTTGACACTTATGATCAGATGCAAATAAGAAGGAAAATAGTAATGGAGAGATTACAAAAAGTGTAAGTTTTTAATTTTTTTTTATGCTTTTTTGTCAGATGTGGCATTGAGTAAATGTTAGTTTCCTTTGTCACATAAGTTGTTTGTCTTAAATTCAAAATATGATATTTTATTTGTCTCACACTGATAGTTTGTGTCAATGTATGTACACATGTCCTGGATGCGTTATTTTCTTCTGTCTAAATAAGTAATTTCATTAATCTGTGCGATCGAAGGACACATCCTGATTACAATAGCTAAGTCCTGTCATAATAAAGATTATCCTTTATGTCATAAAATATCCAAAATCTGCTTTTGTGAATAATTTCTCCTGAAATTGACTTCTGTTTTCTTCATTGCTTTAATTTGCATAGTGGTAAAACTGGAGACAATTTGTTTTATATTTATTTCCATATTCGACATGAGACTGAGTAACACTAAAAGTAAATTCAGTTTATTAACATGAAATATAAAATTTCAATAGAAAAACAAAATGCTATTTCTCATATCTAAGTAATCATAATTATATTTCCTTTTCCTGAACTACATGATTATAAAAATAGTACATGTGTATAAACTTATGTCAATTAGACAGCAACACACCATCAAGATGTACATAAATTTCAAGTAATTCATATGATACATAAAATTGTTTATACATAAAATGTTAGAAAATTACATAAAAATTTCTGTGAACCAAAACAAAATATATGCAAAAGGATAAACATGTAGTTTTGTTTTCCCTTAGGATACAAGATGTGTTATCTCCCTTGAAGCTTACACTACAAGATGTTTATACTGAATACAAAGAAATGATTGGCACATTCAGGTTTGTAGCTGCATTTTGATTGACATTTTTCCTTACCTTCCATAGTATGGGAGATTATGTTTTTATACGACCGCAAAAAAATTTTGTGGTCGTATATTGGTATGACGTTGGCGTCGTCGTCGTTGTCGTCGTCGTCGTCCGGCGTCGTAGTCCGAATACACAATGGTTTTCGCACTCTAACTTTAGTTTAAGTGAATAGATCTCTATGAAATTTTACCATAAGGTTCAATACCACAATAGGAAGGTGGGGATTGATTTTGGGGGTTATGGTACCAACAGTTAAGGAATTAGGGGCCAAAAAGGGGCCGAAAAATAAGCATTTTTGTAACTTCCAGACATAACTTGTGTGTTATTGTATGGATCTCTTTGACATTGTACTACAAGATTCCATATCACAAAGGGACGATGCTGGGATTGATTTTGGGGTTAATTTCCTCAAAATTTTAGGAATAAGGGGCCAAAAGGGGGCAAAAAACAAGCATTTTTCTAGTTTCATGACAATAACTTGTGTGTAAGTGTATGGATCTTTCTGAAATTTTACTACAAGGTTCCATTTCACAAAGGGAAAGCTGGAATTGAGTTTTGTGGTAATTGCCCAAAACGTTTAGTAATAAGGGGCCTAAAAAGGGGTTTAAAATAAGCATTTTTTAGTTTCTAGACAATAACTTGTGTTCAAGTGTATGGATCTCTCTAAAATTGTATTACAAGGTACCATACCACAAAGCAAGGCTGTTATTGAGCTTGGTTTGGGGGGGGAAGGGGGGTGATGAATCATAGGGGGGAGGGGGGGTCAAAAAAGGGGTAATTATTTTTTTTCCTTTTTTTTTGTTTAAAATTTACATTTTAAGTTAGTTTTTTTTATCACGAAGAGAATTTGGGGGGAAGGGGGGGGGGGGGGGGGGGGGGGGGGGGGTGATGAATCATAAGGGAAGAGGGGGGGTCCAAAAAGGGGTATTTATTTTTTTTCGTTTAAGGAATAAGGGGAAAAAAGGTTAAAAAACTAGGGTTTCCATTTTAATAGACAAATAATTGAGTAAAGAACATTATTTAAAAGCAGTGTAAGGTTGGTAATTCAAACTCATTTAAATATCTCACCTACACTATGTTTGAATTATGTAAATTGGAAATTTGCCAATTATTTTAGTATAATAAACTTCATTGGAAATTTGCCAATATAAAATTTTGCTGATGAAGGTTTTTTGTTTACCTTTAGTCTGACTATGATGTCTTTTTTATACGACCGCAAACAAATTTTGAGGTCGTATATTGGTATGACGTCGTCGTCGTCGTCGTCGTCGTCGTCGTCCGGCGTCGTCGTCCGAATACACAATGGTTTTCGCACTCTAACTTTAGTTAAAGTAAATGGATCTCTATGAAATTTTACCATAAGGTTCAATACCACAATAGGAAGGTGGGGATTGATTTTGGGGGTTATGGTACCAACAGTTAAGGAATTAGGGGCCAAAAAGGGGCCGAAAATAAGCATTTTTGTAACTTCCAGACATAACTTGTGTGTTAGCATATGGATCTCTTTGACATTGTACCACAAGATTCCATATCACAAAGGGTCAATGCTGGGATTGATTTTGGGGTTAATTGCCTCAAAATTTTAGGAATAAGGGGCCAAAAGGGGGCAAAAAACAAGCATTTTTCTAGTTTCATGACAATAACTTGTGTGTAAGTGTATGGATCTTTCTGAAATTTTACTACAAGGTTCCATTTCACAAAGGGAAAGCTGGAATTGAGTTTTGTGGTAATTGCCCAAAACGTTTAGTAATAAGGGGCCTAAAAAGGCGTTTAAAATAAGCATTTTTTAGTTTCTAGACAATAACTTGTGTTCAAGTGTATGGATCTCTCTAAAATTGTATTACAAGGTACCATACCACAAAGGCAAGGCTGTTATTGAGCTTGGTTTGGGGGGAAAGGGGGGTGGGGGGTGATGAATCATAAGGGGGGCGGGGGTCAAAAAAGGGGTAATTTTTTTTTTTCATTTTTTTTTTGTTTAAAATTTACATTTTAAGTTAGTTATTTTTTATCACGAAGAGAAAGTAGGAATTGAGTTTTGGGGTTAATTGCTCAAACATTTATGAATAAGGGGCCAAATATTGGTCAAAAATAAGGATTTTTTTAGTGTGCTCTAATGTTTAAGGAATAAGGGGAAAAAAGGTTAAAAAACAAGGGTTTCCATTTTAATAGACAAATAATTGAGTAAAGAACATTATTTAAAAGCAGTGTAAGGTTGGTAATTCAAACTCATTTAAATATCTCATCTACACTGCTTTTAAATTATGTAAATTGGAAATTTGCCAATAACTTTATTGTTAATAAATGCATTGGAAATTTGCCAACAATTTTAGTGTAATAAACTTCATTGGAAATTTGCCAATATAAAATTTTGCTGATGAAGGTTTTTTGTTTACCTTTAGCCTTGACTATGAAGTCATTTTCTATTTTTATAGCCTTATGATGTAGTTGAATTATTTAATACTTTTATGATGTGTTTAAATGGGGTTTTATCATGTTTATGGTTGCAAATTTATTGTTTTAGTATAATAAACTCCATTTAAAATTTGCCAATAAAAAAATTTTTGTTTATTTTTAGCTATGATTATGATGTCATTTTTTATTTTACTTTTATGGTTGCAAAGAAATTTTTATTTTTAGATATTACTGTTAAATGATGCTGATTAAGGTTTTTGCTATGTTTAGCCATGACTATGATGTCATTTTCTATTTTAATATCTGTTATGATGTATTTAAATGGGCTTTTATGGTTACAAAGGAATTTTATTTTTAGATATTACTATAAAATGTTGCTGATGCTGATTAAGGATTTTGTTTATTTTTAGCCATGACTATGATGTCATTTTCTATTTTAATACCTTTATGATGTAATTTCCATTTTTAGATATTACTGTTAAATGATGCTGATTAAGGGTTTTTTGCTATGTTTAGCCATGACTATGATGTCATTTTCTATTTTAATATCTTTATGATGTATTTAAATGGGCTTTTATGGTTACAAAGGAATTTTATTTTTAGATATTACTTTAAATGTTGCTGATTAAGGATTTTTGTTTATTTTTAGCCATGACTATGATGTCACTTTCTATTTTAATACCTTTATGATGTATTTAAATGGGCTCCCATGTATTTAGATTTTTGATTATTTATACATGTTACCAAATTGGTCCACATTGAACAAAAACGGTCCAAATTTCAACTTTATTACATTACATCAAACATTGAATTCTACATATTCTTTGATATATTGAAATTAACAAACAATTTAGTTTATGGAGATTCCACCATAATAGGTAAATTAAATTTTTTCCAGTTCTTACACCACATTCATCCTGTGTCAGAAACCTATGCTGTAAATCAACATTCAATTATCTACAAAATGATCTATGGCACGCTTATTTCTGTTGTCAGAATCATTCGTAGCAGGCCTTCGACGTAGGCTGTGTCAAATATTTAATGACAATCCAAAGTCATAGCTGTATCAAGCTTGAATTTTGTGTCCATACTTGCCCCAACTGTTCAGGGTTTGACCTCTGCCGTCGTATCAAGCTGCGCCCCAGCGAAGCATTTTATTCTGTCTTTGTTTCCATATGCATCTATCTGTAAGTCCATTTGTTCATCCATCCATCCCATAACAAGTTAGTCTCCATGAGAGCATGTACTGCATATAAATATAAAAACAAATTTACAAGTAACTTTTATACTTTCAGAAATAAAGCAAATTAAATATTCCCTAGACAGAAGAACCAATGTATAAGATGCACTTAAATATCGGAGATAAAAAATTAAAATTTTACTGTAAATTTACTTTTCTCAAGATTCTGTCCTACAAATTTTCTTTAAAATTGTATGTTATTGCCACTAAAGTTTCTGTTTTAATTGATATAAAATTGCTGTGCATAAAATTCAATTATAATATACTCAATGAATGAATTCGGTGACCCTTTTTATACGCCCGTTTACGGGATATATTATGGTATACCGTTGTCCGTCCGTCTGTCCGTCCGTCGTCCACATGTTGGACAATAACTCAAAAACCAATTTGCATGAAACTTTGGAGAATTGTTTATATCTATTGACGTGAGCTCCCTTTTGTTTTTTATAAATTTTAGATTTTATGTTTTGAGTTATGGGGTCTTTATTCATTAAAAAAGGGGGATTTTCAAGTTTTCGGACAATAACTCAAAAACACTTTCACCAATTTGCAAGAAACTTTGGTGAATTGTTTATAACTATTGACATGAGCTTCCTTTCGATTTTTATAAATTTTTGGAATTAGGTTTCCGAGTTATGGGGTTTTATTCATTAAAAAAGGGGGATTTTTCCAGTATTCGGACAATAACTCAAAAATGCTTTCAGCAGTTTTCATGAAACTTTGGTGAATTGTTTATATCTATTGACGTAAGCTCCCTTTCAATTTTTATAAAATTCAGATTTAATTTTTTTGAGTTATAGGATTTTATTCATGAAAAGGGTTGATTTTCCAGTTTTCAGACATATCTTTAAAGTGCTTTAAGCAGTTTTCGCGAAACTTTGGTGACTGTTTATACCTATTAAGATAACCTCCCTTTAGTTTTTTTATACGACTGCAAAAAAATTTTGCGGTCGTATATTGGTATCACGTCGTCAACGTCGTTCGAAGACATTTTGTTTCCGGACAATTGCTTTAGTAAATGTATATAGAAATCTATGAAATTTAAACACAAGGTTTATAACCACAAAAGGAAGGTTGGGATTGATTTTTGGGGTTATAGTCCTAATAGTTTAGGAATTAGGGGCCAACAAGGGCCCAAATAAGCTTTTCTAGTTTCCAGACAATAACTTGTGGAACAGTGTTTTGATCTCTCTGAAATTATACCATAAGGTTCCATACCACAAAGGGATGGTTAGGATTGGTTTTGGGGGGTTATGGCTCAAACCGTTTAGGGATTATGGGCAAAAAAGGGGGGAAAAGAAGGGTTTCCTGGTTAATGGACAATTTAAAAGCAGTGTAAGGGAGGTAATCCAAACACATTTAAAGTACAATGTTGTGTATGTTAATATTTACCTCCCTTACACTTCTTTTAAATTATGTATAAAGAAGTTACTATTAAAGGAACATTAATTTTAGCCATGATTATGTATGTCAATTTCTATTTTAAGACTTTTATGATGTATTTAAATTGGTAATTATGGTTGCAAACTCCATTGGAAATTTGAATTGAGATTATGACCATATCTTGAGGGAAGAAATTTTTTTTTGGAAAAAGAAGGGGGGCAATCTTTTCTCATTTCAGTCAGATTTCAGTAATTAAAAAGAAAATTTCTTCAAATATTTTTTTTTTTGGCAAAAAAAGGGGGGGTCAATATGCAACAGCATAGTGTATTGCACAAAAGCAAAAAAAAAGGGGGGGGTACATTTTTTTGGGGGGGGGGGGGGGGGGGGGGGAAGGGGGTCAATTCGCAACAGCATAGTGTATTGCATAAAAGCAAAAAATTGAATATAACCATTTTTAAGTTCTTTGGCTACAGTTATTCTGTGTCAAATATTTAATTACAATCCAAATTCAGACCTGTATCAAGCGCGAATATTGCGTCCATTTTTGCCCAAACTGTTCAGGGTTGGACCTCTGCGGTCGTATCCAACTGCGCTCAGCAAAGCATTTTATTTAAATTCCTGATATGACATTGAGAAGTTATTGAACTTTATTCTTTGAAAAAGTGACGGGCGTATCATGCGCTTATGGGGCAGCTGTTCATTAAATTTTATATTATTAAAAATGAAAAAGAGAAGTGTTAGAGCACTTTTTTCAGCCTAAGAAAATAAAGTATTACAAAATTAAGTGATTTTTGCTTAAACATGATTGTTAAGTATGTGCAAAGTTTAAAATATAAGATCATTGAAATATTATGAAAATTCAAAGAGATTTACGGTTAAAAGAATTTTTAGGATAGGATTTTGAGAAATAATAATTGTAAGTCATATTAACTGAACTTTTTTGCAATATTTGCATGCATTGTATACATCTAAACCTCTATTTTCAAGATTTTTTAATTATTTTTATCTCAAAAATTATGAGAGATGCATATATCAGTTTTTGATGCAAAAGGTGTAGGCCCGGTAAGACCCCTTTTTGTCCAAAAATATAGCATTTTTACAAACTTGTTGAAATTTAACTTTTTAGCTATTTATTGGAAAGTACAATACTTTTTTTTGCATAAATATGTGCTGTTTTTGACATTACATTGCACATGAATCAGGTACTAGCAAATTAAATGCATGCACAATTACTGAAATCTTCACAATTTTAGCATTGCGCTAATTTTAAGACGGTTTTTTGTTGAGCCTGGAACTTTTGTCGCAGAAAGCTCTACATAGAAATAGTGATCCAGCCACAGCAGTGTTAACAAACTTCTTAAAAGCTTAATATTTCAGAAGCTAGAATACCTGGATCCTTCATACTTTGTATATAGATGTCTTATGTTACGAAGTTTCTGTCTGTCATATGTCCATTGTCCTTGACTACTTGAAAAAAAAGTTAAGATTTTTAGTATTCTTAATTTCTCTCTTATGTGTAATAGGATAACTATATTTGGTATATAGTGTATGTGCATACCTTTCAAGGTCCTCATGACTGTCAGACAGTTTTCACTTGACCTCTACCTCATTTCATGGATCAGTGAACAAGGTTAAGTTTTCGTGGTCAAGTCCATATCTCAGATACTATAAGCAATAGGTCTACTATATTTGGTGTATGGAATGATTGTAAGGTGTACATGTCCAACTGGCAGGTGTCATCTGACTTTGACCTCATTTTCATGGTTCAGTGGTTAAAGTTAAGTTTTTATGTATTGGTCTGTTTTTCTAACACTGTATACAATAGGTCAACTATATTTGGTGTATCAAAATATTTTACGATGTACATGTCAGTCTGGCATGTTTTATTTGACCTTGACCTCATTTTTACGGGCCATTGCTCAATGTTAAGTTTTTTGTTTTTTTTGGTCTGTTTTTCTAATACTATAAGCAATAGGTCAACTATATTTGGTGTACGGAATGACTGTAAGGTGTATATGTCTGTCTAGAAATTATCATCTGACTATGACCTCATTTTCATGGTTCATTGGTCAATCTTAAGTTTTCCTTGTTATGTTTGTTTCTTAGATACTATATGCAATAGGTCAACTATGTTTAAAGCATGTAATGATTGTAAGGTGTACATATCTGTCTGGCAGGGTTCATCTGACCTTGACCTCATTTTCATGGTTCATGGATCAATGTTAAGTTTTCCTGGTTTAGTTTGTTTCTTAGATACTATGTGCAATAGGTCAACTATATTTAAAGCATATTTGGTGTATGGAATGATTGTAAGGTCTTCATGTATTTCAAGTTTGGTTTATCTGACCTTGATCTCATTTTCTTGAATCATGTTCAGTTTATGTGATAGTTGAAGTAAAGCTTTATATTTATGACTATCAACATCACATCAATGGTTAGTAAAGAAGGCGAGACATTTCAAGGTGTGCACTCTTGTGTCTAAATTGGAAGTGTCTGCATTTGTGTTCAGTCTTAATATTTTTGAAAATATATGTTGTATTTGATGATAATACATAACATGTATTTAGGTTGAGACTGAACACAAATGCGGCCACTTACATTTTAGACAAAAAACGTCTGAGATGTGATGCTTATGACATATTTTATTAACTCATCAGATTGATACAAAGCAGAAAAACATCTTAACAAAAACACAGACCCAATGTAACAGGGTATTTATACATCCCCACAACAAAAATGACACAAAGTACAGATCTGGGAGTACTCGCAGTTACTGACAGCTAATAAAAAATCATGTATCTAAGACTAAAATATCAATCAGTACACATCCTACATCCAATGGATTTAGTGTAAAGACGCCATTAACAGTCAAGAGAAAAAGATGACCTTATTTCTGGTCTAATGCAACTTTTGTTGCAGACTATAGCTTTAAGCTATACAGTCAAGTTCTTAAAAACAATAATGACTCTTCAAAGAAATTAAATCTTATAGTTCCAAGCTAAGATTAGTATTTTAAATCCCATGATTAATTTGCATAAAATTATTGATTTAAATCTGTAGAGACATACATGTATGTCATCTCTTTATTTTTCAGTCTCGACAGCAAAAATATCCTGCACAAGCCCGCAGAATGGACAATTATCAATCTTATTTTACTGAGAATGTAAGTATTGCTAAGAAATAACTTTAACTTATAGTAGGTTTATTGTTTAATTAAGAGTTATCTAATGAAACTACTGGAAATTTTCCTTCCTAAGCATTTAAGTTTATTTGTATTGAGTGAATGGATAAGTTCGCTTTACAAAATTGTTCATGGTCAAATTGTTACCAGGGTATTAGAAATAATAATTTTTATTTTGTACACATGTGCTTAAATTAAAAACGACAAAAAGACAAACAACAGTCAGGGCTATTCCATTAAAATGTATGTGGGAGGGTAGGAAGGAACTTTCAAAATATCCCTCCAACCAAGAACCATTTTTGTCGAGCCTGCGACTTTTGTCGCAGAAAGCTCGACATAGGGATAGTGATCTGGCGGCGGCAGCGGCGGCGGCGTTAGCTAACTTCTTAAAAGCTTTATATTTGAGAAGATGGAAGACCTGGATGCTTCATACTTTGTATATAGATGCCTCATGTTACGAAGTTTCTGTCAGTCACATGTCCAATGTCCTTGACCTCATTTTCATGGTGCAGCGACTACTTGAAAAAAAAGTTCAGATTTTTTGGAATGTTAAATTCTCTCTTATTATAAGTAATAGGATAACTATATTTGGTATGTGCGTACCTTGCAAGGTCCTCATGCCTGTCATATAGTTTTCACTTGACCTCGACCTCATTTCATGGATCAGTGAACAAGGTTAAGTTTTCGTGGTCAAGTCCATATCTGAGATACTATAAGCAATAGGTCTACTATATTTGGTGTATGTAATGATAGTAAGGGGTACATGTCTAACTGGCAGGTGTCATCTGACCTTGACCTCATTTTCATGGTTCAGTGGTCATAGTTTAGTTTTTGTGTTTTAGTCTGTTTTTCTAATACTGTATGCAATAGGTCAACTGTATTTGGTGTATGGAAATATTTTATTATGTACATGTCAGTCTGGCATGTTTTATTTGACCTTGACCTCATTTTCAAGGTTCATTGTTAAATGTTAAGTTTTTGTCGAGCCTGCGACTTTTGTCGCAGAAAGCTCGACATAGGGATAGTGATCCGGCGGCGACGGCGGCGGCGGCGTTAGCTAACTTCTTAAAAGCTTTATATTTTAGAAGGTGGAAGGTCTGGATGCTTCATACTATGTATATGGATGCCTCATGTTACGAAGTTTCCGTCAGTCACATGTCCAATGTCCTTGACCTCATTTTCATGGTTCAGTGACTACTTGAAAAAAAAGTTAAGATTTTTTGTAATGTTAAATTCTCTCTTATTATAAGTAATAGGATAACTATATTTGGTATGTGCATACCTTGCAAGGTCCTCATGCCCGTCAGACAGTTTTCACTTGACCTCGACCTCATTTCATGGATCAGTGAACAAGGTTAAGTTTTCGTGGTCAAGTCCATATCTCAGATACTATAAGCAATAGGTCTAGTATATTCGGTGTATGGAAGGACTGTAAGGTGTACATGTCCAACTGGCAGGTGCCATCTGACCTTGACCTCATTTTCATGGTTCAGTGGTTATAGTTAAGTTTTTGTGTTTTGGTCTGTTTTTCTTATACTGTATGCAATAGGTCTACTATATTTGGTGTATGGAATGATTGTAAGGTGTACATGTCTAGCTGGCAGGTGTCATCTGACCTTGACCTCATTTTCATGGTTCAGTGGTCAAAGTTAAGTTTTTGAGTTTTGGTCTTTTTTTCTAATACTGCATGCAATAGGTCTACTATATTTGGTGTATGGAATGATTGTAAGGTGTACATGTCTAGCTGGCAGGTGTCATCTGACCTTGACCTCATTTTCATGGTTCAGTGGTCAAAGTTAAGTTTTTGAGTTTTGGTCTTTTTTTCTAATACTATATGCAATAGTTCAACTATATTTGGTGTATGGAAATATTTTATGATCTATATGTCAGTCACGCAGGTTTTATTTGACCTTGACCTCATTTTCAAGTTTCATTGCTCAGTGTTTAGTTTTTGTGTTTTGGTCTGTTTTTCTTAAACTATAAGCAATAGGTCAACTATATTGGTTGTATGGAAGAATTGTTAGCTGTACATGCCTGCCTAGCATGGTTCATCTGACCTTGACCTCATTTTCATGGTTCATTGGTCAATGTTTAGTTTACTTGGTTAATGTTAAGTTTATGTGACAGTTGTAATAAAGCTTTATATTTAGGACTATCAACATAATATCAATGATTAGTAAAGAAGGCGAGACATTTTAGCGTGTGCACTCTTGTTGTGTTTTGGTCTGTTTTCCTAATACTGTATGCAGTAGGTCAACTATATTTGGTGTATGGAAATATTTAATGATGTACATGTCAGTCTGGCAGATTTTATTTGACCTTGACCTCATTTTCATGGTTCATTGCTTATGTTACGTTTTTGTGTTTTGGTCTGTTTTTCTTACACTTTAAGCAATAGGTCAACTATATTTGGTGTATGGAATGATTTTAAGGTGTACATGTCTAGCTGGCAGGTGTCATTTGACCTTGACCTCATTTTCATGGTTCAGTGGTCAAAGTTAAGATTTTGAGTTTTGGTCTTTTTTTCTAATACTATATGGAATAGGTCAACTATATTTGGTGTATTGAAATATTTTATGGTCTTTATGTCAGTCGCGCAGTTTTTATTTGACCTTGACCTCATTTTCACAGTTCATTGCTCAGTGTTAAGTTTTTGTGTTTTGGTCTGTTTTTCTTAAACTATAAGCAATAGGTCAACTATATTTGTTGTATGGAAGAATTGTTAGCTGTACATGCCTGCCTGGCATGGTTCATCTGACATTGACCTCATTTCCATGGTTCATTGGTCAATCTTTAGTTTTCTTGGTTAATGTTAAGTTTATGTGACAGTTGTAAGAAAGCTTTATATTTAGGACTATCAACATAATATCAATGATTAGTAAAGAAGGCGAGACATTTCAGTGTGTGCACTCTTGTTTAGATAACTTTGCATAATGGTAATAGAAGCATACTGAAAAAAGACCCATGATCCACATTCAATAATTAAACTTCCCTTCCTACCCTCCCACATACGTTTTAATGGAATAGCTCTCAATAAAACACAATATAGAAAACTAAAGACTGAGCAACACGAACCACACCAAAAAAATTAAAAGTCTACATATTTAAAATTAATTTACACACTATTGGGATGTAAAATGAGAATTATGAGTGACATTCTAGACTCCATGTACATGATTAAAGCTGGTTTATATATCAAAAATGTAAAAAGCAGGTGCATATAAAACCTATTTACATCCATTACCAGTTTCATAGGTTATAATACAGATGGGCTACAATGTTCGTAGAAGCAGTGCTATACAATTGAAATTAGGCTATATTAAAATATATCACATTCTTCTGGATAAAAGTAAAAGTTTTTTTGTTATCAATATTAAATATAGTACAACCAAAATGTAGTTCTACATTTTCTTATAAGCAGATGTTTTTGTTAAAAATTTAGCTCATGTTATACATACTACAGTCAGGGGTACTACTTGTAATTTTTATTTACTTGAAGAAGTAATATTAATATACTTATATAAGTAAATTTGTAGGATACTTATACAAGTGTTTTTTATTTACTTGTATAGGTAAATAATTTTTTGGCTTAGTTATGTCCTTTAGATTTTCAGAATTTTATACGACCGCAAACAAATTTTGTGGTCATATATTGGTATGACGTCGTCGTCGTCATCCGAAGACACATTGGTTTTCACACTCTAACTTTAGTTTAAGTGAATGGATCTCTATGAAATTTTACCATAAGGTTCAATACCACAAAAGGAAGGTGGGGATTGATTTTGGGGGTTATGGTACCAACAGTTAAAGAATTAGGGGCCAAAAAGGGGCAAAAAATAAGCATTTTTGTAACTTCCAGACATAACTTGTGTGTTAGTGTATGAATCTCTCTGACATTGTACCACAAGGTTTCATATCACAAAGGGAATGCTGGGATTGATTTTGGGGGTAATTGCCTCCAAATTTTAGGAATTAGGGGCCAAAAAGGGGCAAAAAACCAGCATTTTTCAAGTTTCATGACAATAACTTGTGTGTAAGTGTATGGATCTCTCTGACATTGTACCACAAGGTTCCATATCATAAAGGGAATGCTGGGATTGATTTTGGGGGTAAGTGCCTTCAAATTTTAGGAATTAGGGGCCAAAAAAGGGCAAAAAACAAGCATTTTTCTGGTTTCATGACAATAACTTGTGTGTAAGTGTATGGATCTTTATGAAATTGTACTACAAGGTTCCAAATCACAAAGGGAAAGCTGGAATTGAGTTTGGGGGTAATTGCCCAAAACGTTTAGGAATAAGGGGCCAAAAATAAGCATTTTTCTAGTTTCCAGACAATAACTTGTGTTCAAGTGTATGGATCTCTCTGAAATTGTACTGCAAGGTACCATAGCACAAAGGGAAGGCTGGGATTGATTTTGGGGGTAATTTCCTCAAAATTTTAGGAATTAGGGGCCATAAAGGGGCAAAAAAAAAACAAGCATTTTTCTAGTTTCAGGACAATAACTTGTGTGTAAGCGTATGGATCTTTATGAAATTGTACTGCAAGGTTCCATATCGCAAAGGGAAAGCTGGGTTTGAGTTTGGGGGTAATTGCCCTTAATGTTTAGGAATTTGGGGCCAAAAAGGGGGCAAAAAACAAGCATTTTTCTAGTTTCCAGACAATAACTTGTGTTCAAGTGTATGGATCTCTCTGAAATTGTACTGCAAGGTACGATACCACAAAGGGAAGGCTGGGATTGAGTTTGGGGGTGATGAATCATAAGGAGGTTCAAAAAATTTGGGGGGGGGGGGGATTTCCATTTTTTTTCTTTAAAACTTTCCATTTTAAATTGGTTATTTCTGATTTATATATAAAAGCAAATAATAATAATATGGTTTGAATTGGTAAATTAAAATTTTTTAAGTTTTTAGACCACATTCATTCTGTGTCAGAAACCTATGCTGTGTCAAATATTTAATTACAATCCAAATTCAGTGCTGTATCAAGCTTGAATGTTGTGTCCATACTTGCCCCAACTGTTCAGAGTTCGACCTCTGCCGTCGTATCAAGCTGCATCCCAGCGGAGCATTTTATTTTACTTATATAATTTAAAAAATCATCCTTTCTTCTTTTCTTGAATTCTTAGGACTTCTTTGTTCTAATAGAATTTTAAATTGTCTGTCCTTTGCAGATGTCTTTACTAATCATGTAAGTGTAATTTTATGGACAATGAAAATCTCATTTGTCTGTTATCTTCAGAACACTGCTCATTTACAAGCCCCAAGGGACAATTTTTGAAGGCCTTGCGCAAATTCTTAAGATCTTTGCGCAATCAGTTTCTTTGTTGAATTAATGAGTTGAAACATTGAACTCTAATAAAAAATTATGAGCTAACCTGGAAAAAATCAATAAAGGCATGTTTTTACATCTCAAAACTTGAGAATTTTTGTGGGATTGTAAAAAAAATTTACCAATGCAAGTAAATTTTTTGAGAAAATTAAGGGGAGATTATTCAAACATTATAATTAACTTAAATAAGTATATTTTTTTTACTTCTTCAAGTAAATAAAGATTACTTGTATAAGTAGTACCCCTGACTGTACTATATATATCCATACACCACTTTTTCCATACAATTTGGTTTAAAGATTATAATTGAATGGTAAATGTGATCTTTGGGGTTTGGTTTTGAATATTTTCTGATTTAGGAATTATAAGCCTCTTTTCTCAGCACCAGTCTCTTATAATGTAGTGCACAGTACATTTCACAAGTAACTTTAGTCACTTTATTTAACTTATTAAACTCAGATTTAAATACCCATCAGTAAAAGCTAGGATCCAGCATTAATTGTGTTAATGACTGTTTGTCAGCAAATAAATAGATCCATCTATTTATACCAATGTTATCAATAACTATATGAACTATGTTTTTCAATTTTGTGAAATATATGATTTTGGAACTGTATAGTACAATAGTCAATACAATTTGTAAGCATGTGTATAATGTCTTCGTCTTCTAGTCCACATGATTGACATGTGACAGTGTTTCTTCCATTGGTAAATTTTGCAATATTTGTCTGTAGAATCATTCAATTGATTAAAGTTGTGGCTACTGTTTACAACTGATAAAATTATCTTTTGATAATGGGGTCTGATTTGGTATGAAATCATAAACACATAAATTGTGAGTTTCTTTTTGAAGAAGATACTGATTAAACACAAAAGATGACTTGAGGCTGCTGTCAATATTTCAACTAATTGTTATGCATGTATGTTCCAGCTCAATGTATACATGTAGATAATTTTTTGTAGGCTGTCTAGGAAGAGTATTCAGATAAAGAAAGCTTTCCTTCAACCATCATCTGTGGCATATTTTAAGATCTTACTTGGAAGACTAGGAACCAATTTACAGCAGATTGATCTGTACATTGATGATTTATTGTTTATCACTGATTAAAATATTGGACGATATAAATAAGTATTTTTTGGCCAAATAAAAGGATTTTGTGGTTTGAGTCTTTAGAGTTTCAGATTTAAGAGTTTATATCTAAATCACAGGACTGTATGAGTGGTCTCCTGGTAGCTTGCTAGCCTTGTGTGGGAGGTTTTGAAAGATTTGAAAATTTGTATTTGCTGACTCCATTATACATGCAGGATTTAGGAGTAAGAGAAAAGACTGGTAGGCTCAGGGTCAGAATAATGTGTCCAGATAGGGTGACATGTCTTCTTGTGGACTATAACCCTGTGAACTATCACATAAAAATCTGCCTCAGTGTGTTGGTTTGGTATGAAACAGGTTCATATTCACATGCCACACAGACAAACCAAACTTGAAATACATGAAGACCTTACAATCATTCCATACACCAAATATATTGGTCCTATTGCTTATAGTACCAGGAAAACAGACCAAATCACATAAACTTAACATTAACCAATGAGCCCTGAAAATGAGGTCAATGTCATATGAACTATGCCAGACCAATGAACCATGAAAAAATGAGGTCAATATAGAAATAAGGAGATGTGGTATGATTGCCAATGAGACAATTATCCACCAAGGTTCAAATGAAGTGGATGTAAGCAATTATAGGCAATTACTGCCTTCAACAATGAGAAAAACCCATACCCAATAGTCGGCTATAAAAAAATATGAAACACTTCATTTGAGAAAACTTGTGGCCTATTTTATTACAAAAAAATTTACGAAAAAACAAATATGATTGACATGAACCAACAACAATCACTTAACTACAGGCTTCCGACTCGAGACAGGCACATAAAGAATGTCATATGAAACCTGCCAGACCGACATGTACACCCTTCAGTCATTCCCTACACAAAATATTGTGGCCCTATTGATTATAGTATCTGAGAAATAGAATAATGAACCATGAAAATGAGGTCAAAATCAGATGAAATCTGCCAGCCGGACATTTACACCTTACAATCATTCCATACACCAAATATAGTTGACCTTTTGCTTATAGTATAGGAGATACTGACTTGACTGAGAAAACTTTACCCTGATCACTGATCCATGAAAATGAGGTAAAGGTCAGAAGAAACCTGCCAGTTGGACATACATCTTACAATCATTCCATACACCAAATATAGTTGTCTTTTTGCATATAGAATCTGTGATACGGACTTGACCATATAAACTGAACCTTAATCACTGATTCATAAAAAGAGGTTGAGGTCAGGTGAGCACTGTCTGACAGACATGTTGACCTAGCAAGGAAGCCATATACCAAATATAGTTATCCTATTACCCATAATGAGTGAGTATTTCACATTACAATAAACCATAAATTTTCTTTAAGCAATCACTGAACCATGAAATTGATGTCAAGAACACTGGACACATGACAGTCAGAAACTTTGTAACATAAGGTATCTGCATACATGGTATGAAGCATCCAGGTCTTCTACCTTCTGAAATACAAGCATTCTGTGAGTATTGCATGGCAATACATAGTCCCCTACCGGTTAAAAATTCATTGTATTGGAACAAAATTCTAACTTGATCTATAACTTGTCATGGTGTAAACTATATAACAAATATCAAGTCAATATATTCAAGCATGACGAAAAAAAGTGTTGAAAACTAGATTATTTAAGTGAATTTTCTAAACCCAAGGACCATAACTCTGCACAAAATCATCAGACTGGAACAAAATTCGAACTTGACCTGTAACTTGTCATGATAAAACTATATAACCATTTTCAAATCAATATCTTCAAGCATGACGAAAAAAAGTGCAGAAAACTGATAATTTGAGTGAATTTTCTAAGTCCAAGGACCATAACTCTGCACAAAATCATCAGACTGGAATAAAATTCGATCTTGATCTGTAACTTGTCATGATAAAACAATACACCAAATATCAAATCAATACCTTCAAGCATGAAGAAAAAAAGTGTGGAAAAAAGATTTGCCGGACTGACGGATGGACAGACAGACAAACACACAGACAGACAGAGACAGACAGACAGACAGAGTGCAAACCTAAAGTCCCCTTTGAAGACTAATAAAGCTTTAAAAATAGTTGACGCCATCGCAACCGTCAGAATGTAATCCCATGTCCCACATTCTGCAACTTTTATGGGTGATGAGACAAAAAATGGCCTCTTGCAGCAATGATTTTTGTCAGATATGAAATAGAACCCTTTCAATAAAGGGAGTCTTTACATTATTACTTCCAAGTTTTGTAAGATAACGCATACAGATTCAGAAAGGTAAGATGAGAAAATAGAAATTCCGATAGAAATTCAAATGGAACCTGTGTGGTAACATAGCTGTTGTGAATGTCATCTGATCATTTCTTAATTAGAATTCACATAATAGGTCTCACTCATCATTCAATCATAATAAAGAACTGCATATGGTGACTCTGACATATAAATTATTTTTTGATTATTATTGTCTCACATCTATCTTTTTTTTGTGGTATGACCTTTATTATTACCTTAGACCAAGTGAGTTGAATTCATTAGAAATCTTTCTCTTCATCTTTTTATACGACCGCAAAAATATTTTGCGGTCGTACATTGGTATGACATTGGCGTTGTCGTCGGCATCATTGTTGTCGTCGTCTGAAGACACATTGGTTTTGGCACAATAACTTTAGTTTAAGTGAATGGATCTCTATGAAATTTTACCATAAGGTTCAATACCACAAAAGGAAGGTTGGGATTGATTTTGGGGGTTATGGTACCAACAGTTAGGAATAAGGGGCCAAAAAGGGGCAAAAAATAAGCATTTTTCTAGTTTCAAGACAATAACTTGTGAAACGGTGTATGGATCTCTCTGAAATTATACCACAAGTTTCCATACCACAAAGGGATGGTTAGGATTTGCTTTGGGGGGTTATGGCTCAAATCGTTTAGGAATTAGGGGCAAAAAAGGGGGAAAAACAAGGGTGTCCTTGTTAATGGACAAATACTTTAGTACAAAACATAATTTAAAGCAGTGTAAGGGAGTTAATTCAAATACATCATTTGAATTACCTCCCTTACACTGCTTTTAAATTATGTATAAAGTAATGGTTAATGAACAATTAAGACAATTTAAAAGCAGTGTAAGGGAGGTAATCCAAATATGTTTTGATTACCTCCCTTACAATGCTTTTAAATTATGTTTAAACAAATGCATATTTATAAAGGAAGACCAGTAAAAATATCTGCAAATGATGCATCTTTTTAATGGGGGTCAATACGCAACAGCATAGTGTTTTGAACAAAAGCCAAAAAAAAGGGGCGTAAATTTTTTTTTTGGGGGGGGGGGGGGGGGGAGGTCAATTTGCAACAGAAAGTATATTGCACAAAAGCAAAAAATTGAATATAAATTTACATCATATAACCAATTCTAAGTTCCTTGACTACAGTTATTCTGTGTCAGAAACCTTTTGTGTGTCAAATATTTAATTACAATCCAAATTCAGATCTGCATCAAGCGCTAATATTGCGTCCATTTTTGCCCCAACTGTTCAGGGTTGGACCTCTGCGGTCGTATCCAGCTGCGCTCGGCGAAGCAATTTATTATCATATGTGACCACATATCCAAGTAAGGTTGCAATAGCATAATACATCCTAAAACCACTTTTCTAAAATATCAAAATGACTGACAGACGGGTCAAAATCGATATAACCCAGCTACATTGTATACACCAAATATACTTGAATTTTTGCTTATAGTATCAGAGATACTGACTTGACTGGCATAATCACAGGCAGTTGTCTTTGAAATTTTTTTTCCTATATATTAATATTACCCAATCCATACTGAATTATGATTCATTAGAGGGTTTACCAATCATCATTTCTATGAAATGTAAAAATATCTTGCCTCGTAGTTTCGCAGGAGAAAATTTGAAATTTGACCTATCAAACTTGAGATTTTCCTTGGACAGCCATGTTTTAATCGTAATCTATAATTTGATAAGTTTCATCTATAATAGACCATTCATGTTAAGTTTGGTTAACATTTTCTAAGAAGTTTCAGGGGAGTTAATAAAATGTGAAAAGTTAACAACCATGGCATCAAGTAATAGCTCATACTTGTCTTTAGGGCAAAGTACCCCGTAAGCTAAAAACTAAACAATTCATGGATTTTGTTTTATTTTTTTCTATAACATTTTCTTCTTTGTAATTATTTTTCATATTTCCTGCATTAGAAAACATGTATAAACATGTAATTTTAACATAGAACAATTTCATTTACATAACATTCCTTAAAGTTCTGTCAACAGAACAACACCACCTTATATTAGTTTAAAAATAAAGTAACAATCATTTTACATAAACATAATCTAAGCAATTATTGGATCAACAGCAGACAAAACTACTTTTAATTTCATTCTAAGTACAATTACAATTTGTAAAATGAACACCAACATAAAAGTAATTCAAAGTATTTTTTTTCTTCAAAAAAAGGAGCACTTTTGAAAACACTTTATTGCCAGAAAGCTGCTATGTAGCTCATTCTACAGCCAATCAAGCTTTAAATAAGACTTAATGATGGATTTTTTGACACAAAATAGAAACAGCCAGAATTTATGTACAAAAAGGCAGTGTTAATAAGTAGATATATAGTCAACAAATCATGCTTATCATATACCAGAAAATGAAAAAGATTGTAATTTTTATTGTATAGCAATATTACATTTATATGTAACAAACCAAAAACCTTAAATATTCATTATTTGAAAACAGAATAATTTCACTTCAAGATGCCAAACAAATGATTTAAGGAACATTATCTTCAGTCCTTGAAGCATTTATTGTTTTCTTTGATACACACTTATACATGGTATTGCATGATCATGAGGTAATTACAAATATTCATAACTCAATCATAGAAAAGTGCTGTCAAAAAGTTTCAGTCTTTGCTTTATTTTTATAATGCAAATAATAGGCTATTGTCATGAAGATCTGGTAGATATGCTTAATGCCCATGATTGAAATAAATGAAATTGTTTGGCAAAAAACAATAACAAAAAATTGTCTTGCTACACTTGTTGCTATTTTTACCACTACCGACAATTACACCCATTTTCCTGGAACCCTGAATCTGTCCCTTCAAATCTACAATGAATATATTTCAGTTTCCACCATTTTCTACATAAGGAAATGCCTGTGCCAAGTCAGGAATATGACCGTTGTTTTCCGTTCGTTTGATCTTTTGGTTTTGCCATTTGATAAAGGACTTTCTGTTTTGATTTTTCCTTGGAGTATTTTTTTACTTTTTTGTCACTTGCACCAATGTAATTACAATATGAAACCTGAAACTATGAGACATACCATATTATTTTCTGATTTCATTGACTTGGATTCAAGTGAGAAAAAACATCATTATTTATTAATGACTAACTGACTTTGTTTCAAACATGAGACAATTTTCATTGTCACATCTACATACAGTGTGCCCACATTAAGAAGTGCGGTGTAAAAAAAATAACACCAATTAAATGGTCTATTTGACATTGAAATGATAGCAAATATAACAATTTGAAAGACATATAAAAAACCACAGTGATGAATATTATTATGAACAACTTAGCACTTCATTTATTTCTGAATAATTTACAGCAGAAAATATACAGATGTAAAAAGGACTGCATGAACTATGTTTAAATTGAAATTATGATATTCACATATATGCATATAGGTAGGTAAAATATAATGTGTGAGGTGAGTAAAGTAACCCTTTAAAGGAAACATGAATATAGTTGAAATATATAAGGCATTTAATTCTTAAATAGTTTATTCTAAACAGAGCCCTGTTTAATTTATATGCAGTGAGTTAAATATAATTTGTCAGCTCTATAATTTAAATTGTTTATCAGCCTTTAAAATATATCATTAATCTACAGAAATTTGGAAACAAAATCTGACTCACTTAATAGTTTCCCATACTGTATGTTTAATAACTCTAAAGGTCAATAAACTCTTAAAAACGAGGTCATTGCAATGTCACATACAGTGGATAAATTTATTCTTTGTGAATTAATGGAAAATTATCTTTTCGTGGATATTTGGTTTCATGGTTTTACAAAATTTTGCATACCAGCCTATAGAAAACATGTACATGTTAAACATTTAAATTCATGGGTTGCCTGTACCCATGAAAACCACAAAAATTGGTGTCCCACAAATAATAATGAATCCACAGTATATCAGTCTGACATATACTTCTAAAAAAATCATCACACCAAATATTTTTGACTCTGTCATGTTGTTGACAAACAGGCAGAATTATAAAAACTTAAAATATCATCACTAGAGCTCTGATTGACAATTAGGAAACAACAAAGCTGCAGTATTGTAGACATGTTCAGAGAACCTGTCTTTATCCTGAATACACCAACCATAACTTAAGCCAATTAAAGGAATTTTTTGAATGTTAAAATGAGGTCAAGATCAGAATACAATCTCATCATAAACAACCTCCATACAAAGCTTTGTTCATCTATATGAAAGTTGGATTAAGATATAAAAGTAATTATATTTGTTAATGCCATTGCCCTCACCAGAAAATTAATAGGTAAGCCTAATCTTCTGTGACTTTCGTCATAGGCTAGACAGAATTATTCTATTTATGAATTACCTGTCAGACCAAGCTAGACTAGGTCAGTTAATAAGTAATTAAAGTAAAACATTCCCTTTTGAAACAGCTTCTTTGAGGTTTTTAATCTACACTGTAGTGACGACAGAATTACATTTTAAGTAACATAATCTTTTTTATGTACAGAAAAGCTGTGATTTAATTCTGCAAAAACTAAGGATTTCTAGCATGAATTATTTCCCCTCTTAAGATATTCTATTGAACAGCTGCTAGTCATATCTAAAATCAATAGGGCTGAAGAATTGAAAAAAATCAAAACATAAATTATTCAATCTTGTCCTTTAGCAATTAAGCACCTTAAGAAGACATTTTTTTAATTGTTAGAGACATGATAGTTTTAAATTGACATACACTTCTACAATATATAGTTTGTAATCGCAACATTGTATTATGAGAACACAGTTTTACTTTATGTCGATGAAAATCTGAGACCTTCTGCAACCTGTCACATCCTTCTTATATGTTCTTTCTAGTTTTCTTTCCTCAGCAAAATCATAAACACACTATTCAATATCATTAATCACCACAGTCGTGTATGTGTATAATGTCTCTGTGATATAGTCTGATGATTTTGAACTTGTCCATTCACAGTCCAATTATAATCAGTTTTAGTTCTCCATGATGGTGAGTAGAGACTGCTTGGATTTGGACTTTGCTTTTGTTGTATCTGTGGCAAACTGAAAAATAAATAAAAAAAAGAACTGATTTTTCATTTAGATTATTAACAAAAACGCTGTTTAAAAGAAGTCAAGAGTCCGAAGTCAGAATAGGTAACAGAAAAAACTAAGCAAAATGACAATGATACATAAATTAACATATTTTTTAACCATGTTCAAATTTCCTAATATATACAGCTGCCTCAAAGAAAACTATAAAATGTGTGGTAAGAACTCAAACAACAAATACACAAACTTCAAAATCTTTATAAAGAAACAATAAGATTAAAATAAAGTCAGTTACTTGGAGTGAATTTTGAGTGAATTAATAGCTGTAGAAAGAGTTGTGTAAACAAAATAACTTATCCAATTTGAACAGAAGCTTTGTTAAGAGAAAAAGAAAATCTACAGATACAAAAAAAAGTGGCCCAGAATGCCATTAATAAACTGCTTCGCTGAGCGCAGCTGGATAAGCCCGCAGAGGTCCAACCCTGAACAGTTGGAGCAAAAATGGACACAATATTCAAGCTTGATACAGGTCTGAATTTGGATTGTAATTAAATATTTGACATAATATAGGTTTCTGAATAAATGTAGTCAAAGAACTTGAAATTGGTTATATGAATTGAATTTATATTCAATGAAAGATTTCTTGCTGTTGTGCAATACACTGTGCTGTTGCGCAATACTACCGGTAAGTAAATCTGTTGTCAGACTATAAACAAATAAAGTTCAATTAATTCTCAATGTCATATTAGAAATTTATGAAAATGTAAAGTGAGCTTACATCAATAGATATAAACAATTCACCAAAGTTTCATGAGAATTGCTGACAGCATTTTTTAGTTATTGTCCGAAAACTGGAAAATCCCCCCTTTTTTAATGAATAAAACCCCACAACTCAAAAATGTAAAATGTAAAATTTATAAAATTCTAAAGGGAGCTTACATCAACAGATATAAACAATTCACCAAAGTTTCATAAGAACTGCTGAAAGCATTTTTGATTTTTTTTCTGAAAACTGGAAAATCCCCCTTTTTTATGAATAAAACCCTGTAACTCGGAAACGTAAAATCTAAAATATATAAAAAATCAAAAGAGAGCTCATGTCAATAGATATAAACAATTCACCAAAGTTTCATAAGAACTGCTGAAAGCATTCTTGATTTATTGTCCGAAAAATGGAAAATCCCCCTTTTTTTAATGAATAAAACCCCACAACTCGGAAACGTAAAATCTAAAATTTATGAAAAACGAAAGGGAGCTCACGTCAATAGATATAAACAATTCACCAAAGTTTTATGCAAATTGGTTAAAGCGTTTTTGAGTTAATGTCCGACATGTTGACGACGGACGGACAGACGGACGGATGGACAGACGGACAACGGTATACCATAATACGTCCCGTAAACGGGCGTATAAAAACTGAGGATTTCCTGAAAGTTACATTGAAACCTATAATCAGGGTTTACAGGACGATTGATTGTCTATTGCTTGTTTAACATCCAGTTGCAAATATTAAATGCATATTTAGAATGAGAACTGATTAACAATTATAACAAAAGGTAGGTCAACCCATATGAAAGACAGGAAATAGAGTGAATGTTGGATGGATTTTTCCTTGCAACAATCCATGGAGTATAGACCCTTCAGAGAGTTGTTGCAAGGGTTCTTGAATTGGGCACTCTTCCTAAACAGTTCATCAGACTTAACGTCATCATTTGAACTTGATAGGATTTGAAGATACTACATGCCTACCTACGCCATGATTAGTACATATTATGCCACATCATTGTTTTGCTATGGGTGATCACAAAAATCAGTCAGATCAAACTAATAGATGAAAGGTGCATAATGGCATTACTGACTGACAATTTCCTGACAATTTTCATCATTTATTTAGGAGTTTTTGCAGACATAATATTAAGTTTGGACTAAAATAGAAAATAGAAAACCAATGAAATTACAAAGGAATGAAGAGAAACAAATAGCACTGTATCCCTTTGATGGAGTCAATACTACTTATATAGATATATAAAAGATAAACCTACCTTCCAACATTTGTATCTGGAGAATATTTTAAATGACCAGTACGACCTTGATAATCTTGATGTAAATTCAACTTGTCTTTGAAGTTTGTCTGTGGACCATTTCTCTGAAGTAATGGAGGGCTGTCTGGTCGACCAATATCATTGTAGTTCCTGTTAATAGCATGGTCATTGTTAGTTTTACTTGTAGTCCTAGTGTTACTAGTTGGCCGTTGAGTATTACTTGATGGCCTTGACCCAGGTGGTGTGTTACCATGACGACTGTATAAGTTTGCCCTAGCACCTAAAGCACGATCAGCAGCAGTAGTGAGCTGTTGCAAATCTAGTTGGGGGCTGTGAGAAAAATAACAAAAGCATACCATTTACCAGTTATTATAGATAATAAATGCCGTAGTCAGTCCACACATGTGTCAGTAACAATAACCCATCACCAGAAAGTTAATAAAAACATTTCCATGATGCAGTTCAAATAACTTTGAGAGAAAAATGATATGGGCAAAGTGCATATTTATAGATTATAACATGTCCTTTTCCATATTGGCCCTGGTATCATCCACTACAAAAGTCTAAAAGTCTGAAAAGACCAGTTTTTGTCTTAATTTGCATGAACTTTTACTCGACATTCTCCAAAAGTATGACTTGTGTCTTAATTTTTCTTGACAAATTCTCATTTATATTAAATTTGTATGAAATTTACTCGACATATTCTCGACATTCTGAATATGGTCTTAAAATTTCTTGACAAATTCTTGACATTTGAATACTGTCTTGAAATTTCTCGACATATTCTCGACATTCTTATTTTTTCTCAGTATGGCTTGACATATTCTGAACATTTTGAATCGTGTCTTAAATTTACTTGACAGTTCTGAGTTTTACAAATCATGACCAATATTCATGATATAACTTTAATCTTTATTTCTCTTTATATGATATATTGTTGTTTCAAGTTACACTTCTTTACAACAAAAATAAAAGTTGGGCATGTAAAATAATTGAAAATTTGGGTATATAAATATTTTTACAAATGCAAATATGGCTATGAAATCTAAAGTATAAAATAATTCAAATGTGGGTGTGTTGATATAAAACAATTTCAATGTGGGTTTTTAAATAATTACAAATTTTGATTCCTAAATCTTATAAATTAAATGATTCAAACCAATCATACTGTAGACACATTTCATTCTACATTCATAATATTCAATGTTGGTATGGTAAATAATTATTATACCAAAATGTGGTTTATATAAATAGCAAATTATGATATACAAATCATTCATTTAACAGAAGAAAAATTTGTGTAATGTCATCTGTTGGAATATATTAAGTTTTACACATGGACAGGATGTTCCCCATAAAATTAAGGTATTCCACACCCCAGAGTACAAGCAACTGTCAAATAGAAGTTATTGCTTTACCTGTAATCAGCCATACAACTTATCAGTTGACCGACCATACCACTACAATTTAAAAAGTTTGTTGATAGATGAAAATGAAAATCATCATTTTGATGAAAAAAAATTGAATTGAAATGGATTTTCTTTATCAAAATTATGAAGTGAATTATTTTAACATAAAAACAAATTGAACAATTCCCAAAGATTAAAAGAAAATATTATCTACTCCAGGAATAATAAAAAAAATGTATTTATAATGGGTCCCATCAATGATTTCTATAGAAATCATCGGTCTTATGAAATGGTTCTCAAACAGACATGCATAATATAGATCTAAACATTTTTTTTTTCAGGAAGGAGTTATCACAAATATTTATTTTTGATAAAAAATTATAAAATTCAACACTCAAATTTGAATAAAAAATGTTTTTGGGTTGTTCTAAAAAATGAATAAGGTTTTTGAATCAAGATGGGAACAAATTCTTTGACCTAAACGAAAGCCCCCCTCTTGTTTTAGCCACACACACACAAAAGATGAATTGTGGGGTCCAAAAGAGATACAAGACACCTATTTTAGTAAAGCAAATTTGACTGGCAGTTTTGCGAACGGCAAAAATCTAAATGCTGTTTGTCAATACCTTCGACTTATATTCCAAGTGAAAACAATTACTTAAATGTTTAATAAAAATAAATCAAAATTAAACTACATGGGGGATTATTCAGGGTATTCCAACTTAGTTGCACCAAAAGGGTATCTTACTATACCAAATTAATCCTTGATTCTTCAAAGTTTAGTTTAGCCATAATAAAAAGGAGTATACAACAGCAATAGAATGTCATAAACAGTGCAGAATAATTCCTTCACATTTCAGGCGAATTTTATACTGTTGAGATAGTGTCAAGACATATTTAAGACTGTCAAGAATGTGTCGAGACATATTCAGACATTATTTAGAATGTCAAGAATATGTCGAGACATATTCAGACATTATTAAGAATGTCAAGAATATGTCAAGACAGATCGAGACAAATTTAAGACAGTCAAGAATTGGTCGAGACTAATCCAGACTCTTATCAGATGATACACGAAGTGTCGAGAAATTTTAAGACAATGTTCATACTGTCAAGACACTTGTCAAGAAAAATCAAGAACCTTATTAGACAAATTCATACTATGTCAAGAATTTTTAAAAATTATTCAGACAAATTAAGAATGTCGAGTAAAAATTCATGCAAATTCAGACAAAAACTGGTCTTTTCAGACTTTTTGACTTTTGTAGTGATCCCTAGACTCCCATATTAGCTTATGATGTCATAACAGGGCACAATAACTGGTTATTAGCTCCGGGCAGGAATATGACTAGGGCAAATCTGCATATGCAAAACGCAATGTTTTTGTAAAAAAATATGTGATAAAAAGCAATATAAGACATTAGTGCAAATGTATATTATTTCCTGCTATATAGGTGATAGTATAAATGAGAATAATTTTAAGCAATTATTTAAGTAAAAAATAAAAGTAAATTAACATTATCAAACAATAAGTGTCATATTATTATTGTCAGTTTTATGTAATTGAAAACAAATAACCTTCAAATTTTATTTTAAAGAAATATGAAAATATCTGGCCTCTTACTTTCACATGAGAAATTTAAAAACCAGACAAACAAACTTCTTTCAGTGACAATAGTATTGACAGTTATTGACCACCTCACAGTATACTAAATTAAAAAAAAATGTTCCATGCCCAAATATTTCATTTAAGAAAAAAATACCTGCATGCCTTATCACATAACCAGATGCGTCACAATTGACTTATTGGCTGTACAAATAGGGATAAATATGAAGCCATGGGGACAGATAAAGTAAATCTGTTTACACTGGTCACATTCCTGGTTAAACATGAAAAAAATATAAAATTAAACAGATAATATATTTAGTCCAGCCCATATAAGGATACTTACTTCAGTCTTTCATTGATGACATCAGTATTTAACATTTGGCCTGACAATGGTCGATTGGCAAGATTCTGATCATTTACAATTTGATGCTGAAAAAATATAATTACATCTGTTACTAGGGTTACTGGATTACTTTGTATATCTTCTATTATTTGAAAAGTTAAATTTTTTGCCATTAATGTGGATCATTGGTTGTTTAGATTAAATATCATTTTTAAAAGTACAATAACTTGACAGCAATTTTATTGCTGAATCCTTGACACAACATAACCTTTAGGGTAAATTTTTTCTCAGATTGTTAATTGACAAACTTTACCACATATCATGCAATAGATATCTCCTGATGATTGTGAACTGGAAACAAAGACTTTTTAAAGAGATATATACACTATGCGCTTAGAAAGAAGGACCTTAATGCATTTAATAAAATCATCACGCTTAGGAACTGTGTTGAAGAATGCAATAAAGTAAATGGCAGGGAATGAACAAAAATTATTTATTACAAATATGTGATCATCTTACACATTTTTTTTATTGATCAACATTAAAAGTAAATTCAGCAATGATTTATCATAAACAATATAACATTGCCTAGCATTGTAAAATGTATTCATATGTTTGGTTTATACCATTCATTGAGAACATCTGTATTACCTCATCATTTCTGGCAGGGTAAGTATTATGTGATGCTTTAGAGAATCGCCCTGATGGCGGACGGTCCCTTGTGTGCCAATTCTGTGCTGAATGGATGCCATTAGGTCTTCTTATGATTACATCATCCTCTGGACTGTTCCCCCCTTGTCTGTAATGATCTGAAATAATATCAATAAACAAAATTAAGGCATATGAAGTATCTTTATAACAATTTTAAAAACAAAGTACAGCTCCTTTCCTGTTATGTGATAATAGACTTTTCAAGTGTGCAATATATGATTTATTTGTGACATTTATGAATATTTGTTGCAAGTTTTTGATTCCCATAAAGTCATATAACTTACAATCATTCATAAAGCCATTACAAAATATTCAAATAAAGGGAAAAATTGTGATGAAATTTTGAAATTCACGATTTAAACATAAAGTTGGTATGTGGATCTTGTTTCTGTACTGTTTATCACAAATAAGAAAATATTCTATTTGCAAATTCTGTAACTGAAATCCATTTGAAAAAGTGGTTTCCCTTAGAAGTGACATACATTTTCATTTGAAAATGAAGATAAACAGGGTAAATCTCTATGTGTGAATGTGTGTAATCCAGGACTAAGTTTAAAATCTTTTAATAATATTTGAACTTTTGTTGAGCTTAAAACTTTTTTATATCAATAGTTTTTCTTTAAAAATCTGTTAATATGCCTGACTGGTATATATTACCTTGAACTTATCATGCTTTGCATGGGCAGTATCCCATTTTGCCCAGTTTAGAACCAGTCTATATTTGGCATAAGGAAAACTTTTCTTAAAACTATGTAATAACAAAATCAAATAGGTAATTGGCAAATAGACTTTTATAGGTACAATGATACCATGGTGGTGCTTACAATGAGACAGTGGTGGTACTTACAATGAGACAGTGGTGGTACTTACAATGAGACAGTGGTGGTACTTACAATGATACAATGGTTGTACTTACAATGAGATAGTGGTGGTACTTACAATGATACCATGGTGGTGCTTACAATGAGACAGTGGTGGTACTTACAATGAGACAGTGGTGGTACTTACAATGAGACAGTGGTGGTACTTACAATGAGACAGTAGTGGTCAAGGGTCCAGAAACCGTCATATTTACAGTCATGACCTAAACTGAAAGCTATTTGTCCTAAACAGCAGATTGAGATTTAGGACAAGTTTCTTAATCGCAATTTTGCACTTTTTATTATTTGTAATCCCTTTCCTGTAACAAAACTGCCACTCCAGTATAGTATGATAATCCTTAGGCCCCTCCTAATAACCATAGTAAAGCCTCCAGGAAATATTGGCTAATAATCGCTAATCACTTTTTACCTTTGTGTTTAATTCACACCTGACAGCGATCACAAGCTCAGAACTAATACTATTAAGAACTTAATATTCCATGACAACTTTCTTCACTATTTAATTACTTTTTAGTAAAGACAATTGTCAATTCTGATTAAAAATTAAAACTTGATTTAATTTACGTAGAAAAAAGTAATTTTTCACAGAGACAAACTTGTGCTTTATTTACAGTACTATGCAATACGCATGCGTGACATTGTGTTCACCAGATAAGACACTTAATCGTTAAATGCAAAATGATTTCATGCTAAATCAAAAGAGTGCAACTATTATCTGCTATATTCAAACACTTTTAAAGGTAATAAAATTTAAAATTTGGTGATTTCCTGTCAATTTGATAAATAGAACAAATACCATTAGAATATAGCAAAGTGCTCTCGACCAATGAAATTGTAGGATTTGATGTCTCTTAATTGTGAAGAATGAATGTAAATCATGTTCTTAGTAAGGAATTATCCTATTATTTAGGTCTATTTACAGTTCAAAACAAAGAGTTTCTATAAATGAGTTACAACTGCCTCGAAGCACATTTATCAGATTGAAAGGATTTATCACACAGTGATTGAAACTGACTAAAAGTTGAATTGTGAAACAAACAAAAAAATCAAAACAAGTTGAAATTTACTGGTGCAGTAAAATTGGTACCTTTAATTTTATTATGAAATTATTAATAACTTCAAATTACTAAAAAAACTGAATAATATCAAAGCAATGCAAAAAAAGAAAAAAAAGTTTTAAATAAAAAATAACCTAAATCTTTAGTTTTCCCAAATTCTGATTACTGGACCAGCGGTTGTGAAGAATAGTTATTTCCAATATTCCGATAAAATAAAAAAAAAGTTATTTCCAATATTCCGATAAAATAAAAAAAACAACAAAAAAACAAACAGGAATTTAATTTAAATTTTGAATATTTTTAATACATGCAATACTTTTAAAGGCATTTTATTTGAAAATTTCCCTGACTGAATGAAATAGTATTTGATTTAAAAAGCCGGACCAAAATATTGCCTGTGAAATAAAATTAGTTCAATAGTTGTAACTCAAAAGTATTTGTTGATTTAAACTGTAAATAAGCAAAGGATAATTCATCACTAAAATATTACATGATTAACAGTCATACTCACAATCAGGAAACATATACAATTCCTACTTTTTGTTTGTACTGTTGTGTGACCTAATGTCTATAACTCATTTTTTTTATATTTCCCAAATTATAAGAAAGTCCATTCATCACTAAAACTAATCCAGAAATGAAATGCTGAAAAAGGAAGTCATGCATCAATTATAAACATTGCAATGACAATGAAACTAATTCTTGAATACAACCAATCAAGAGATCATTTGAGCCTTGAGCACTTTACAATATTCTAAGTTTGTAAGAGAATGATAATCCCTTACTTCATGATAAGTACTCGCTATCGCTCGTACTTAATCATGAAGTAAGGGATTATCATTCTCTTACATATACGAAATGAATCCGGAATTACTTGTACTTTAGTATTGTTTTGAAACTTCTGGTTTTAATTTCGTTTAAAAATTAAAAATATGTTAGCGATGTCTGAGAAATTAACCATTTTGAGTCATTTAAATCATTTCAATTTTAAACTGTTGCATTCCATAAACTGTTCTTGAACATATTCAGAAAAACAGTAAGAAAATTTATGAAGTAAATTTGATGAAACACTTAATACAATTTCGTTGATGCTATGAATCTAGTGGGATTAATTTCGACAGTTTGAAAAAAGGGCCCCATCTTTAAAGTCCTCTCAAAATGACCGAAATTGTGAGGAAAAATGTCCAGATCCTTGGTGGTGGTACTTACAATGAGACCGCGGAGGATGAACTGGAGGTTTACCATTACGTCTACCTTGCATATCTGTTCTACCATTAAAAAATCCTTCAAATACTACAAAATTGTTCACCTGTGAAACAACTGCCTTTAAATTGTAGTGTTTGTTAAGAAAGCTACTAAATTTAAACGATGGCTTGTCTATAGCTAAATGTTTTGGATTAATGTTCTGTTCCTGAAAAAAGAAAACATTGTGAAAAAATTTAAGAACAAGTAATTTTTGTCATATGCATGTTATCTTTTATAATATAACTTAATCCCAATTTTATATTCTTTTTTCAGAAATTTACCTGTGACATCACTTTTTGTGGTGTTGATACATTCGTGTGACGCACAGTTCATTATTCTATTGTGCTATATTTGTGTTCTGTCATAAATTAATTTTAGGTGTTCGTTGTTATTCTATGGTTTACATGTTGAAATGTACTATCCTATTATTCATTTATGTATTTCTCTATGCTGAATGTTCTTGCATTTATTTGTACTGTATTCCTGTCATGTAATGTTGTCATTTTAGCGGTATTTTTACCATTGCCATATAAGCGGGAGGTTTGGCTAGCAATAAAACCAGGTTCAACCCACCATTTCTTCTTAAAATGTCCTGTACCAAGTCAGGAATATGGCAGTTGTTATCACATAGTACGTTTCTATGTATGTTGGTGTTTGTTTTTGTAGCAGTTCAGTGTTTCAGTTGTTACGTTTTGTTTCCTCTAATAGGAGATGTGTTTCCCTCAGTTTTGGTTTGTGACCCAGATTTGTTTCGGTTAAATTGATTTATGACTATTGAACAGCAGTATATTACTATTGCCTTTATTAATATACATGTAATCTTTTATAATAGCATGTATTTGTATCTAATTAAACAATTATGATAAAAGAAACTTAACATAACCTTTCGAAGCTCACACAAAACCGACATAAACAGCTGTGCCATGAGTTTGTGTTATCTTTGCCCTAATCTTGTGTAACTTAATTTTATTCAGGTATATCAAATTGTGTAAAACAAACTTGAGGTAACATATGGGTGAAAAAGTTCATTTTCAATTTAAATATTAAGTCAACCTTCAGTCACATTACTCTGTAGTGACAAGAGTTAAAATAATAAAATCCAGAGGGAGCTTGTAAGGTACTACAGAGCAATAATCTTAACACAACAATAACATAAATACATGTATAATTAAATACTTTATTATTTGCTTGATATCATTGATGGACTGTATAACAAATACCTTACTTCTATTACGATAGTAAATTCAAACAGTATATTTCACACATTGTTAATTTGAAATTCATATGACAGAACGTTAACGCATCCATTCAAATTGGCTATTAATATTTCATTTGAAGTTTAGCATTGTATTGATTATTTTGACAATTTGATCTTTTGGAAAATTCAATGAAAAATCAATACAAAAAAATATAAATACTAAGAATTCTCACATGAATTGAAAAATTTTAAAACATTTTGTATCAATAATTGAAAACCTTGCATGAAAACATTTCCTAATTAAAGCAAGTTAGTGAGTTAGGGATTGCATGAAAAAATTAAAGTAATTAGCTAGCCAAAATCTAGGTAAAAGTCCCAGGCAAAAAGGAAGAAAATAGATGCAATCAAACCTTTTTCATCTACATTGATGGTGAAATATGTTATTTACTGTTTGTTTTCAGAATTTGAAATAATTATTAAACCTCTTTACAACAATTGCTTTTCCTGTACTGATTTTTATTGTATGTTCTTTATGTACCCTTTGTTAGTCAACATATCAAGATTAAAAAGGAGGGTTGAGATCTAAAAACTGTCACATATATTCATTTTGAGAATTCCGTGCTGATGGGTGATCATGGATATTTCGTTTAATTTATTGACTAATCAGCTAGACTGGATATATAGTATAGAGATTGATATATTGTACAGATGTCTATTTTTGAAGACTGTATGTTGCCATCTACAACTTTAGTTATTTGTGTATTTGTCTCATTGACACATATCCCACATTCACATTAACTTATAAAAATTTCTACTGTAAGGTTATTTATTAGAGAGAATTAGACATCGGCATACAGCTGTCTGTGTGTCTGTCGTAAAATGGTGACTTTAAGTTATAGTTGTAAAACAAGAGTTGGTCCGCCATTTCTTTACAATACTAATTTAACAATTTCATTGTAACATGTGTTTTAGCTCAACTTTCATAATACCTTTTGCTTTTAGAAATAATGATTGGATATATACATATTTGAACATTTACCTTCAAAAAGTACTCAAATAACTTTTTACCACAACCCATTCTCTGTCTGGATTCATGTACATAAAAGTCCAAAACACATAGAGGTTCCATTTCATGTTGACGACCTAGACTATCATACACAAACAATCTTTTATGTCCTATCTTTAGTATGCCTACCACAGCACCCTTTCCACTGCAATACACATCATTGTTTTCCTTTGTATTTATATTCAATATTGGATTATCATTGCTACTAATATCATAATGAACATTTGACTATTGCATCGTTCACATTTAAATTTATAATTCTTATAAGATAAATTCTGAAATCATTTTTTTTATTAACAAAAGTTAAAATCTGTGAAAAAATTTCTGACAAACTTTTGTTTTTATCATTTTGTATATAAGAATACTGCTAAATGTTATTGTTAAAATAGTTATTGAAGTATTGGTAAATTACCTGTTAGCTTCTGCATCTTTGATAACATACAATATATGATCAGACAGTTCCAACTTTCTTGCTAAAGTAATAGGTCCATGTAAACCTTGTGCCTGAAATTTGAAAATTAAAATTACACAACCACTTTTTAATGACAGCAAAAGTCAACTAAGGAATTAGGCGTGGATGGTAGATCTTTGATAGTCTGATAAATTAATTTATTCATTTTTTTTGAAAACTTAATAATATTCAATGACACATTATTTTTATATTGATATTTTGATAAAAAATAAAACATATTCAAAAGCAGAAAAAATAAATAAAGCTGTATTAATCATATTTGACATGAAATTTATATGTTAACTTACTCTAGCAGAAGCCTCTCCCATCCGATCAATAACTTGGTATAGTTGTTTACGTAATGTGACATAATCATAGCTGGAAGAAAGAAAAACATAAAATTTAATAGAGAATTTAACTTCAAACTAGAATTTCCTCAACACTGTAACGAAAAATTTTCAAAACAATAGATGATGTATATATTTTAGGCTTTACAAAATTGACTCTTCAAAGATACATTAATAAAACAATGGCATGCTGGCCAAAATAATGTATAATTTACCAAAACTCACTCAAGCATATGTACATGACGTATGTATGACAAACGAACAGAAGTTTAAAATGTGTTTGTAGCACCAAATCTGAGGTTCAAAAATACTGTTCTTTAATATTAATCAACTCCTAAATATGAAATAGCACAAAACCTTTTAAAAACAATTTTACCTTAAAAAATTTAATCTTTGTTGTTTTTATGGATACAAATCACAACACTACGTATACTGATTAGAGCACATTGTTTCAAAATTTTTCAAGGTTTCTGCACCTTAAACTTATAATATACGATGCCAAACAGAAAATCTGCCAATATACTGTTTTTTAATAACATTTGGCAAAACATTTAGGTATTTCAGGTCCTCAATGCTCTTTAACTTCGTACTTTGTTTGGCTGTTTTTACTTTTTTGATTGGAGCGTCATTGTTGAGTCTTTTAAAGATGAAACACACGTCTGTCGTACATAATTTCAATCCTGGTATCTATGATGAATTTATTTGCATTGATGTTGTCAAATTTTTTTTTATAAATAACTGAAGGCTCAATTCTATGAAAAACAATGCAAAATCTTTAAATTCAGAGGGCTAAGTCAGGGGCTGCTCTGGCTCCAAAAAAATCACCAGCTGCTATATTTTGCCACCAGCTTGGAAACCTAAGAGCCAATTTTAAAGCCAGCTAGAGTCTTAATTTCCTCTACCCAAATTGAAATCACACTCAAATTATATTTTTTTGGCCCTGCACATCATTTATCTTTAAGTGATTATTTGTCATGGAATGAATTGCTCTGTTATATTTTATGTTTTTTCTTTCTTATTGTTGAAGAAAAAGACTAACTGGTTCACTGACACTGTTGTCTGTGGAACTAAAACCAAATGCAGATAACTTAGTTAACTTTGACTGAGGCAAATTTGAAAATTTTATTTTTATTTTCTATTTACAAAGATTTTCTTTTTTTTATAATAAGTGTACTTCTGTGCCTTTGACATGCAGTATTTTCTTTGTGTGTAGCTGTTTCATTGGGGGAGCTAAGCATTAATTGACGAGTCATGTGACTTTGTGACTGACAAGTAAAATATACATGCAAAATCCAACAAGTTGAAAACCAACAACATTTGGGATCATATAAGGTAGCACCTGCCTCTCAACAAAAGTAAACAATATATTTTTTACTTTTCAGTATTTGGTCTTTGAATAGATTTATAATTACATAGTTACGTTACTTGACCATGTTGACACCCTCATTGGAAGTATTTGTAGGGTAGATTAACAATATTTACTTCACTACACACATTACAAATGAAGCTTCATGATATGCATTTACTTTTAATCAAAATCCATCATTGATAGAAGGTAAAGGTAAAACCTTCTTTTTACTTGATTCATGCCTACATGTATATGAAAAAAATCTAAGTAAAGAATATCCATATTTTGAAATCTGTGACTCTTGACCCGAGAATTTGCAACACTTGAACAATTGAAATCAATGGACAATGAAAATAAGGAATGCCCCCACTCAAGCTTGCTTATAATTCATGAAAATACTTTTAGAGAGCACTTGAGGTCACTGCTAGTGCAGAAACGAAAATATTTGCGATTTATAAAGGGGCATAACTCTAAAACGGTAAGCGACTCACTGCCCAAATTCAAACTCTATCTGTGAGTTTTGGTTTTAAGCATTGTGTATGAGTTTTATAAAATTTCCATTAGGCAATTGCAAACTTAAGACAGGCTACGGAAAAGAAAAAATTTGCAATTTTCGAAGTTATAAATAGCCATAACTCTAGAATGTTAAGTGACTGACTGCCCAATTTTGAACTCTGTCTGCAAGTTTAGGTTTTTAGCAAAGTGTATGAGTTTCATAAAATTTGCATGAGGCAAACTTGAGTAAGAGTGCAAAAACGAAAAAATTGCAATTTGCCAAATTATAAAAGGCCTAGGCATACAGTACATTTTGAGTCTTACTACGACGATAGTCGGACATCTGACATGTTCCAGATCTCATCTCAGACATATGTCCGACAGTCATAAATAAAATGATTGACAGGTACTGCTACTACATGAACCCTTTCATCCTTAACCGCCACTGAAGACAGTACACGATTATCGGTCTGTTAAAATATTTCATGAAATTCTGCAATAAAACATGTGCTCCAAAAGTTTGTTACAATCTATAAGTACTATAACAGTGGGGAAAATCGATATGCATTGCGGCAAACCATTTATGTCATGGGTGCCGACAATTAGATAATTCCAAACTGATGGACAATAAATTTACAACTCAAATATTGGATTCAGCATATTCAAATGAAGTTAAAAGATTTGTTCTGATTTTAATACATTTCTATAGTGGTCAATTAATCAGCTTTAGGTATTATATATTTAAACGATGTGAGCAATCAAAATTTTATAACTTCGGGATGAACATATACATTGACTTGTGCATGTTGTGTAAATAATTAATATGAAAACTTATTTAGGTCCGTTTGTATTAATGAAAATAAATCATACAATTTAAAAATGGAGAAATAATTATATATAACTTTTAATTAAATATGTACTTATTTCTGATCCTTCAATTCTAAAATAGCATACAATATACATGTACAATGTATGTAGCGATAAAACCAAAGGTGTTAAATTGACACAAGTCATCATTCCCCATGTAATATCATTTATGACCTGATGCAGAACACCTACATCGTAGTTGTATGGATTTTGGATACTAAATAGGTGAATTTCATTTCAAACAATGTGTACCAGTGATCTTCTCTTTTTTTTCGCTCTCTCCTGTGAAGTGATAAAAAGTCGCTTGGATTTCCGAGAATAACGACGCTACTGTAAATAATTATAGTTCTTTTCATATATAGTATATATATTTATAACTATAATTAAGATTTAATTATTCTTATATTTATAGCTTATTTATTCTTTTAAAAATCAATGACACATAAAAAATTTCCAAAAGAAAAGGCCACTCTTTTATTAAAATGAGTAATTGCTATGTTTCATCATCTCCGCAAACGCAGTATATTTCCGGAAAAAGATGCAATTTTCAATTGTTTATACAATTCAAATAAATATAATTTCCTTTCATTAAGTTACATTTCAAATTAAAAGTATTCTTTATCAAGTTGGTGAGAAGCCGTAAAATTAATCATGCATTACAATCCATTAATACCGTTCAAATCGGATACGCAATAATTTGACACGATTGCAAATAAAGCTGTTATTTGGTAATTTATTAAACGAATGAAAAGAAAGGAATAAATAAAACGCATGTTAACGGCATTGTAAACATCAAGAAACATATATTCCAATAAATTCAATTAATCAGTATATCATTTAAAACCGCTTGATTGATTCGTAAAATGAACTTGACCTCCATCAATCATTTTATAAAAATGTTAGAATTGGCTGACAACATTTTACAAAAACCTGCCGACTGCACGAGCTAAGATTGGCGGGAAATGATTTAACGTAAACAAGAGTGATTTAAATGACCTGGGTCAAATGAGTGTAACAATTGATAGAGAAGAATAAATGATAAGGCTCTAACGGGAAAAGAAAAGCCAATGTTATTTCAATGAATTTCATGTATCGCCTCCAACGCCGTATATTTCATGAAAAATACCGTTTGTCAGTTGTTAACTTGTTTATCATTTTTATACAATTTAAATATAAATATGATAAAATATGTACAATTTCATTTCATTGAGTAAAATTTCAAATTAAAGGTATTCTTTAACAAGTTGGTGAAATACTGTATATTTGCTGCAAATTTAAAAATTAATCACACATTTTAATCCATTAATACCGTTAAATAATTGGATAAGTAAATTTTTTTGACACAATGCAAACAAAACTGTTATTTATAATTAAATTTAATTAATCAGTAGTATCAATTAAAGGCACATTATTGAATCGTAAAATGAACTTGACCTCACTCATTTTATAAAAATGTTAACTAGCTGACAATTTACAAAAGCCTGATGACTGCACAAGCTAAGATTGGCGGGAAATTACTTAACAGTAAACACGAGTTATTTGGATTGCCTGGGTCAAATATGTGTATTGATTGATGGAGAACTAAATGATAAGGCGCTTACAGGTAACGAGATATGGGAAGAAAAAATAAAAGTTAATTTTTTAAAACTTATTAATTTCCTGATTTTTTATTAAAAATCACAAACGATTTATTCAGGATTTACGATAAGGATATCAAATATAAATGAAACTTAGTGGGATTGAACAATTTCGATGTTTATCTTAACTGTTTCTTTTTAGAAAGGTTTAATGTAGTAACAAAAATAATAATATCCTGTTCCATTTTTTCATCTGTAATTTCCTTTATAAAGACCGTGAAATATCTTATATAAATCTATCATCGTTACAATTGATTTGGTTGACCAGGGTCAAATTCCAGCAATGATTGACATGAGAAAATAAACGTAGAGGCTCTTACGTGGAACATGATATCGGAAGAAAAATAAAAGTTTATTTTTTAAAACTGATTAATTTCTGTAGTTTTTAGTAAATTACAATTGATTTCATTGGATATGTACATGACTAATATCTAGCATGTTGAAATATTTAGCTAAGTTGAAATACTCAATTTCGATGTTCATAGCTTATAAATAAAAATATTGTGCCATATTTTTTATCTATTAAAACATTGAAATATGTTACAGGATTATATCATCCAGAGACCAAATGACATCGAAGTTTACAACTATAGGTCACTGTACGTCCTTCAACAATGAGCAAAACCCATACTCCCATAGTCAGCTATAAAAGGCTCCAAAATGACAAATGTAAAACAATTCAAAAGAACCTGATTTATGTACAAAACAATGAACAAAATCAGATATGGTATACAGCAACAAACAACAACCACTGAATTACAGGCTCCTGACTTAGGCATGTTGGGACAGGCAGATACAGAATGTGGCGGGGTTAAATTAGTTTGTTAGCACCAAACCCTCCCCCTAACCTGGTAAAGTGGTGTAACAGTACAACATAAGTTTAAACTATAATAAACTGTTATCACAGAGATATGTCTCGCCTTTTTGTAATTTTGATAATGCAAATGTTGAAATTAAAATAGCAATACTTTAACATGTAAGTTATACAAATATTCAAAGTCGATGAACCATGACTGAAGGTACATGGCTAAACAATCTCCATGGAATGAGATGTGCCAATGCTAATACCAAATTTTTATACCATTAACTTATTACAAGTCGTTCCCTTTAAACAAACCTAAACACAAACATTAACTTGTAAACTATGTAAAAGTTTCAAAGTCAATGAACCATGATCAGGGGTGGGGCTATATAATCTTCATGGAAACGATACTTGCAAATGCCAATAAATTTGTATACCAAATATCATTGACTTAACATTAGCAGTTCATCTTAAACTGATCTAATCACAAACTAATACATGTAAACTAAGCAAAAGTTTCAAAGTCAATAGACCATGACTGAGGGGGTGGGGCCAAATATTCTCCATGGAAATGAGATGCACTAATGCTTTTACAACTGAACACCAATTAACATTGGCCTACCACTAATGGTTCCCCTTGAACTGACCTAATCACAAACTAATACATGTTAACTTAGCAAAATTTTCAAAGTCTATAGACCATGACTAAAGGGGTGGAGCCAAATAATCTCCATGGAAATGAGATATGCCAATACTTACACAACTGCATACCAAATATCATTGACCTACCACTAGTGGTTCCCCATAAATTGACCTAATCACAAACTAATACATGTAAACTATGAAAAGTTTCAAAGTCAATAGACCTTGACTGAGGGGGCGGGGCCAAATAATCTCCATGGTTATGAGATGTGCCAATGCTAATACAACTGCATACCAAATATAATAGACCTACCACTAGTGGTTCACCATGAACTAGACCTAATCACAAACTAATACATTGTTGACGCCGCCGCCGCTGGAAACAGCATACCTATGTCTCGCTTTTTGACAGACCGGACAGGCAGGGTATTTATGCATCCCAACAACAAAAAAGACACTAAGTACAGATCTGAGAGTACTTGCATCCTCTCAAGTCTTCATACATGTATCTCTAAGATATAAAATTGTAAAAAGTTTTTTATCAGTTACTTCCCTTGAATTGATAAAATATGTGCAACGATGGGGGAGATTGAAACTCTGTTTTTTTATTCTAATAGTTGTTATTGGCTTTGATTTAGCTGTCAGTAACTGCAATGCAATTTCCAATATAATTAATATTTCCAAGGGGCATAACTCTTTAAAAAATATTTGATTGGTACAGATTTTTGAACTTGTCGAGAAATTGCTTAAATAAACCTTTGATACAAATTTGAAAAAAATCTGGGAAAAGTTGTACACATGATAGCGCTTACAATGCAATTTTCCATATAATTAATATTTCCAAGGGGGATAACTCTTTTAAAAATATTTGATCAGCACTGATTTTCAAACTTGTCGGAGAAATTGCTTATATAAACCTTTGATATAAATTTAATAAAAATCTGACAGGAATTGTTCACACTAGAGCGCTAACAAGACTGGATGGAATGATGATAGGCACCAGTTATTTCTATGTCCCCCAAAATGTGTCGCACGGGGAATAAGATCATGTCATCTAATCAATTCTTATCTGCTTTGGGTGTAGGGAATGGTGCAGTAGGTGTTAGAAGCGCTTGTCTGATGTGAGGTAATTGGCAAACATTTACCTGAATAGACTTGATAAGGGATTCTGAGACGGCCTAATCAGAAAACTGCCCCACACAAAAAATCCCAAAAGGGATTAAATAATTTAGTTAACCTTCAACATTCCATACCTTTTCCAAATACTATTGTCACAAAAAACTAGAATAAACATAAAACGGAATAAATAAATGACAAGTACCTCATGCATTATAAGGTAACAGGTGGTTGTCAACCAAATCCTTACCCATTTGCATTCTTCCTATATGGTGTAACTTTGTGATCTAATTTTGTTACTGTGTCTTTAAATAAATAATTGATGTTGAAATCAAATTCCATTTTTCTTTTAAAGATCAACAGCAAGCAGTATAGTTCTAAACTAACTAACTAACTAACTGACAATATTCATCTTCCGCCATGTCTTGGTAGCTGCCAAACATTGTAGCAACGCAGTAAATATCTTTTTTTTTCTCCATCAGTTAAATTAAAACAATTTCATGCTTTAGAAAATAAAATGAATATGAAAACGCATTCAGACGCAGTTTTGGCAGATTTATATTTCTCTTAAAATTTTAAATGATATTTAATTCACTGCTAAAAGGGGAGATCACTAGATATTGCGCAACAACAAATCGACAGACGATTTTTTTCTGAAGTCAATCAAGGATTTTGTTGCTATAAAATCATTCAGTCAATAAATATGCCTAGAAAAAAGCCTTATAGTGGAAAACAAAAGAAGTTACAGTTACAAGAAAAGAGAAAAAGAAAACAAAGTGGTAAATGCCAAAATGGCATTTTACTTTTTTTAGTATTTTTACGAGTCATTGACACTTATGTAAACCATCTCGTCCCACTTATATTGAAGTTATAAAAAGGAGTTAAATACTCAAACCTACTCACCCACTAATGAGAAAGAGTTAAATCTCGCTGAATTTTTGTGAGTAGGTGAATCCCGGGGAATTTAGGCCTGTCAACTCGCCCAACTTATAACAAAGAGTTAAATCCCACTAACATAATTTATGGGGTCAGATCTCTTATAGACGGTCCAATAATCTGACAATCCTATAGTTCGTCAGTCCTATAATCGATTGCCCGTTGGTCCGACAATTCTTTTATCCTACAGCCTAATAGTCCTATGCACAGTCACTTGTCTCATGCAAAATATACCTATAGACATGTTACATTTTTATAAACGATGTAATCTGGTAAATCCGCCCACATAAGGCTTTGATCGTATGTATTTCTGCTTAATTATATTCAAATTGTATCGAATTTAATATAGATAGATTCACTAACAAATCAATTTTGAGTAGTTAATCTCATTTCCCAATAGATATCTGAAATAAATTTTAAAATCAACAAACCAAGTGGGTCATCAGTGTTTTTATCGGAATTGTGTTTGTCCGGTAAATCCGCCCATGCACAGTAAATATGTATGGAGGGCCAGTTTATCACAAATTTATGAAAGGAAAAGGTGATCTATTAATAGATCACTTATAAAGGGATTCCAGATAATCCAAAAAATAAATAAATTCCAAGTCAGAAATGAGTTTTGTTAGCAATAATATGATTATCGTTAGATTTAGGAACTGTATTATTATTCTTGCTGAATTTAGGCCTGCCAACTTGCACAATTATAATGACAAAGAGTTAAATCCTACTGACATGACTATGAGAAGGAGTTAAATCACACTGATTTTAGGCATTATGGCTCTGGTCTTGCTCGTCAAATTACAAAGCTATACCATAGTTACAGAACTATTATAATGCTTTTACATTTTCATGTATGTATACCTTTAATATTGATGTAAGTTTTGAATCACATATTGTTATTTGTTCAGTGTTTATTACATTCACTATTCTATAGATGGATTGCATTTTGTTTTTCTCTTTCTTTAGAACTACAAACTATATGGATTAGTAGATTATTTTTATTCCTGACATTTAGTGGAATGAATGAAGGGGTAAATTTGTCAACCTTTGCCTAACTGTCATATTTTTCTAAGCAACTTCAAATCAAAGCTTCTTATCTGGTTTTAATATATCTCTTTCCTTTTCAATAATTGATTGATGGTTGTCCAGTGGCAAATATTTCATGCATGTTCAGGACGAGGACAAATTAGCAATACATACAATAGGTAGGTCCTGTATTAGGGGTCGACCAGGATGAAGGATTGGAAATTTTAACTGCCACTGGAAAATGAGGATAAATTTAATAAGGAATGAAATTTAGCCTTTCAACAGGCCACCTACGAACTCCTCAAAGAGTTGTAAGGGTTCTTGACATGCAGAGAGTGTGGCACTCTCTACTGGTGGCTATGAATTTAACATCCCCATTCTGACTGGATGTGTCTGTGAATTTGTACATCTCCCACAACCAAACAGACACCTTGAAATTAAGGGTTTGGGCTCAATAAAATTTCAAAAACATGTTTTAATGATAACCTTTGCATGCTTTGGGGCCTTAATGCTGTTAAGGCACAAAGAAGGTTGTAGTGTTTTTTCCTCTATTTAAAAAGTGATGAAACTCTTGAAAAAATCACTTAAATATTTATAACACTGTTTATTTGTGCCGACACTTCTCATTAACAAAAAACTATTATAGTGATAGATAAACATTGACATCATTGTTCAGATACTCCCATTACAGTGCACAGAGCAACTTAAAATGTTTTCAAGAGAGACATAACCATCACAAGAATAAGGCATATCCTCTTCAAAACTTATTGCCAGGTACCTGGAAAATAGAAATATTATTTTTTTTCTTTACAGGTGAAAATGACAGTGATGAAGGGTCAAACCATGAAGAAAATGACAAAGTTGCAAGTTCATCAAAAGTAGAGGAAGATGTATCTCAAGCACAACCATTATACCAACAGCCCATCCAATCAACCAAATCTCTTGATACAAACAGGTAATGTACAGCACAACCCTGGCACAAACAGTCCATCAAGTCAACAAAGTCTCTTGATCCAAACAGGTAATCTCCAGCACAACCCTGGCACCAACAGTCCATCCAGTCAACCAAGTCTCTTGATCCAAACAGGTAATCTCCAGCACAACCCTCACACCAACAGTCCATCTAGTCAATCAAGTCTCTTGATCCAAACAGGTAATGTACAGCACAACCCTGGCACCAACAGTCCATCCAGCCAACCAAGTCTCTTGATCCAAACAGGTAATGTACAGCACAACCCTGGCACCAACAGTCCATCCAGTCAACCAAGTCTCTTGATCCAAACAGGTAATCTCCAGCACAACCCTGACACCAACAGTCCATCCAATTAACCAAGTCTCTTGATCCAAACAGGTAATCTCCAGCAAAACCCTCACACCAACAGTCCATCTAGTCAACCAAGTCTCTTGATCCAAACAGGTAATGTACAGCACAACCCTCACACCAAAAGTCCATCCAGTCAACCAAATCTCTTGTCCAAACAGGTAATCTCCAGCACAACCCTCATAACAACAGTCCAACCAGTCAACCAAATCTCTTGATCCAAATAGGTAATGTTCAGCACAACCCTGGCACCAACAGTCCATCAAGTCAATCAAGTCTCTTGATCCAAACAGGCAATGTACAGCACAACCCTGGCACCAACAGTCCATCCAGTCAACCAAGTCTCTTGATCCAAACAGGTAATCTCCAGCACAACCCTGACACCAACAGTCCATCCAGTCAACCAAGTCTCTTGATCCAAACAGGTAATCTCCAGCTCAACCATCACACCAACAGCCCATCCAATTAACCAAGTCTCTTGATCCAAACAGGTAATCTCCAGCACAACCCTCACACCAACAGTCCATCTAGTCAACCAAGTCTCTTGATCCAAACAGGTAATGTACAGCACAACCCTCACACCAACAGTCCATCTAGTCAACCAAGTCTCTTGATCCAAACAGGTAATCTCCAGCTCAACCATCACACCAACAGCCCATCCAATTAACCAAGTCTCTTGATCCAAACAGGTAATCTCCAGCACAACCCTCACACCAACAGTCCATCTAGTCAACCAAGTCTCTTGATCCAAACAGGTAATGTACAGCACAACCCTCATACCAAAAGTCCATCCAGTCAACCAAATCTCTTGATCCAAACAGGTAATCTCCAGCAAAACCCTCATAACAACAGTCCATCCAGTCAACCAAATCTCTTGATCCAAACAGGAAATGTACAGCACAACCCTGGCACCAACTGTCCATCAAGTCAATCAAGTCTTTAGATCTAAACAGGTAATCTCCAGCACAACCCTGACACCAACAGTCCATCCAGTTAACAAGAAATACATGGGTTTGTTTCTGTACTTCATGAGATTGTTGTTGATCCAAACCATGCCTCTTCTTTTCCAGGTAATAATTTTCCTATTTTTGATTTTCAAGTTATAGATTCTTCAATCAAGCAAGTCATTACATTTATCATGTAAGGAGTTAACCGGGCCATTGAAGGGCAGGTTTAACTCTTAGAGCAATTGGATTGGTATATATTGATTAGCTACGTAACTGTGATAAATACTGTCTGATCATTTAAAAGGGAGATCTACAAATCAGAAAAAAGGACACAAAAACAGAAAAAACACTAACTCTTTAGAAAATTATTCATGCAGACTTTTGTTAACCTCCTTTGATGGTATAGAACTGTTTAACATGACCACCAGGACATCTGTCCAGTAATGACCTGTGTTGAAGGGGAGAAAGTTTGGTTGCATGGGATGTATAAATACAAGCCATGTCCAGTCAGGATGGGGATGTTCATTCCAATGTCTGGTATTTTGAGAGTGCCATGCTTGCCATCAACACATAAGAGAAGTCTCTTTGGAGGAGACTAGGCATGATTTGTGCTACTTATTGGCCCTTTTTTTGGCGGTATGTAATTTACACTGTTAATCATTGTCTACCCACTTTGAAAGTGTACATGTATGTATAATAATGATTTATTGGAAAAGAAGGGGTATGATGTTTGTTTCACTCTGATCATAATGCCTCAAATATTTGTCACTGGACATTAAGAAACGACACTAAATAATAATCCTAACGCTGTAATATTATAATGTCATCATTTTATGAAACTATGATGAGAGTAATATATTCACATGAATTTCTGCCTCAAAATAACACCAAGCCTTTTCTAAAAACAGGAAAATACTTTCAAATAAGATAACACATGTTCATCTCTATAGTAGTAGTACAACTGTGGTAAACGTATTTATCCTTTTTTAATTATGATTGATGTGGTTGCTTTTCAATTAGATATCGACTTCAATTCCTGCAAGAATCTAATGCAAAATTAAAGAAGAAAAGAGAATTGGGAAGACAAATTTTACATCATGTTTCAGAAGTAAGTTTTTTTAAGTGGTAAACATTTTCTCTATCTGTCTTGTTTACTGATTATAGTTCAAAATGAAACTGTTTGTTGTTGTTGTTTTCTGCAAAACCTGCACAAGAGAGCTACAATGTATACCATGGCATTGAATATAACTATGATGTATACCATGGCATTGAATATAACTATGATGTAAAATTAACACGAATAGAAATGAATTAAAAAGAAGGGTTGATGGGACACTTACAGAGAACTAGTTTTGAGTTTTTAGTCATAGAGAATTAGATGGGAAAAAATATTGTGTAGCAGCAACATGCACATTCTCTTTTACAAAGTCTACATAAGTGATTCATTATGTGCATAAAGCATGGTACTCGCCACACACATCATCCATTGTAGTTGACAACCAGGCATTCAATATTACAAACTGACTACCCTCAGGACAAGGGCTTCCTGGGGCTGCCTTTGATCTGTTCTATTGGTAGTGAGCCATGGGTCTACACCAGATTTGTCTCAATCAAAATGTTTCTCATTGTATTTAACTTACATAGCCTACTTAGCCTTTACGGCTTTTATTTCGTATATGTTCTCCAAATCAACTACAGATATATAGGTATACTTCTATGACTGGCCCTTTAAACATGTACGTTGAGGGATTTCATTATCATAGGAATATAATGGCTATAATGCTTGTTGTTGGAATGAACAGTTAAAAGAGAAAGCATTTTGTATCTTCTTTTCAATATGCGAATAACTTAGACTACTCTAAATTCAGAAATTATATTGTGTGCATTTATTATTGCGATTTGTGAAGACCAAACCACAATGCGAGATTAATTATTGCAATTTCAGGAAAAGCTCCATACAGATGTATGGTTCAGGTATAAGAATTTGAGTTCTTACTATTGCGATACTCACCCAGTAGCATTACTCGCATTAATAAAAAAACTAGCAATAATTTACAGTAGCAGAATAAGGAGAAAGGGCTATTTAAACTCTTCTTTTTTTAGGTCCCATATCATGAAAACAATAAATTTAGTGTAATACAGGAAATTCTGTCATTTGAAACAATTTATGGTTATAGTTGCACTGCACAAGTCAATACTGACAAGTCACAAAGTTTGTTCAAAACTTGATCCCTTTAGCAAAATTTCAAAATCAGAAACTGTTAATTTATCTGCACTTTTGGTCTAAAATTATATCTCTTATGTGAAATTTTAAAAATGAAAAATTTGATGAACCTGGTTAAATTGTTAGCAAGAAAACAGAAGAACAAAAAAAGAACAAAAAAAGAACAAAAAAAATCATGAAAGTTAAGTGCAAGAGACTCAATCCACATTTTACATAATTTTCACACAGTTTATGCTGATTTTTTTTTTTTTTGGCTAGTGACTATTTAGAGCTTGACGTATGGTATAGACACGTGTATATAATATTGTTAAAGAGAGTGTGTTGACCTATAGATGTCTTTTTTAGGGTCATTGGGATTCTGGTTAAGTGACATATACCCGACATCTTCTTTTATTCATTGTAGTTCAATGCATAAAATTACAAGTTCTATTTTACTTTAAATAGCTATTCAAGATGTTTTGCTGTGCTGTGAATATCAACTTCATTGGTAATGCTATAAACTAAGATAAAAAGTTTTGGAAAACACTGATATTCTAATTTATTTATCAAGACAAAGTGTCCATGTTCATCATCTGTATACTTTTTTTAATGAACCAGCAAGCATGCCTTTATTTATTTTACATGTTTTATATTTTAGCTTGAACTTGAAGTATGTGAGGATGACAGTGAACCTTATATAGACATAGCTAAGAGACCACCATGGCATTATAATTGTTCAACAGCAGAACTGCAGAAAACAGAAACTAAATATTTTCAGGTAATACCTGAGATGAAATGTTTTCTTCATATATTAGGTTTGGTGTATTTTATACAGAGAAGTAGTCATGTTCTCTCTTTTGCCAGTTATATAAATTGGTAAATTTGAACAATTGTAAATATGTTAATAACAGCTTCTGTTGATATATTTTACACAGATTTGATTAAACACAAAGAAAATGATCAGTTCTCATGCATCAGAAAGATTGCTATGTTATAGCTAAATGCTACCACTCAATGGAAAAGGCTGTATATATACTGTATGTATTGTAGATTGTTTCTGTGTAATATCAAAATCTTTCTTTCAGGAATATGTGGAAAAGATCTTTGCTGAGCATGATATAAATAAACTGAGTTATTTTGAGTTGAACTTGGAGACTTGGAGACAGTTATGGAGAGTACTGGAGATGTCAGATATTGTCTTAATTATAGTAGATATCAGATATCCTGTAAGTTATCATAATGTGGTTTTAATACTCTTGCTCCTGAGGAGAGGGTTTAATGTTTTATGCCTTTCTGTCTTTCCATCAGGAATAACAAATCAAAGCTTCCTTAAATTTGGTAGAAAGCTTCTCTGGAGCTTGCTATATTGTGTGACATGTTTTTACATTCATAATAAACATAAGGAGATGTGGTATGATTTACATTCATAATAAACACATGGAGATGTGGTATGATTTACATTCATAATAAACATAAGGAGATGTGGTATGATTGCCAATGAGACAACTTTCCACCAAAGTTCAAATGAAGTGGATGTAAGCAATTATAGGCAACCGTACAGCCTTCAACAATGAGAAAAACTCATACCGTATAGTCGAACTACAGGCTCCTGATTGCTCATCAACTTCCTGTTTACCAAATACTTATATTCTTCATACATAATGGCCATGTACGAAATTTTCATCCCATTTTCTCTCTGGAACTGCATGTCAGATATTCCTGAAATTTGTAATCATGCTTCATATACGAACATGCTATACCATGTGATGCATTTTCACACCCTTCACTTATCAACCTTCTATGTACCAAATATTTATATATTCTTAAACATAACAACCATTTATGAAATTTTCATCACATTTTTCACAGGAACTATGAATCATGACACCCTGAAATTTGGTATCAATATTTATGTGAGCATTCTATACCATGCAATGTGTTTTCACATTAATTACTCTTCAACTTTCTGTTCATATCTTCTTAATTTATATTGCCATGAGGTATAAATAAGTTTGAAATACTGCATTTTATTATGTGTTTGTGTAGCAATAATTGAAACTTCAGACACTAGCTTTCTGTATTTGTTCTACAAACAGCTACATGAAACTTTAGATATATATATGTAAATTTCATACACTTTTATATTGTATTTTATATATTGTTATATTTCAGATGCTCCATTTTTCTCCTGCATTATATAACCATGTAGTAAATGATTTAGGAAAACATGCAATTTTAGTATTAAATAAAGTTGATATGGTGCCACCAGAACTGGTTATAGCATGGAAAGAGCATTTCCTCCTAAAATATCCTAAACTACATATAGCTTGTTTTACATCCTATCCTAAAGAGGCAATAACAAATATAGTACCTGGTAAAGGTAAGCTTATGTGCTTATAATTTTACGGTATTCACTGTAGTTGGATAAGGCAAATATTTTTTGTGCAAAGAACACACTGAAGAGAACCAAAAATATTTTCATGCTAAAAAAAAACAACACTGTATTGTAACCTAATTATAAACATCAGTAATTTGATAGATTTTTATGAATCTGCTACTTTAATAATACCAGAATTTATAAGTTCAATGTTAACCCTTCCACCATTCTAGCCCTCTTTATACTGAAATATTGCTGTTTCATTGATAGTCTTTAGTCAAACTTGTAGATATTGAATTGATAATGAACAGCTATGCAGAATACTATATACCTACTGCTACTGCTAGATAGGGATATTAGTATGTACAGAGAATCTATTTTTAAATGTTATACATCTTTCATTAAAAATTATGTGTTCCTAAGAAAACACAATACTGTGGATTCATTATTATTCGTGGGGTACCAAATTTCATGGATTTCACAGGTATATTACGAATTTAAAAGTTCAAAGAAGTACACATTTTCTTTAGGTTTGTATGCAGAAAGTGGTAAAACCACAAAATCAAATATCCACGAAAATACAACTATTCCTCAATCCACGAAAATTGGTGCCCACGAAAATAAATAATTCCACAGTACTCATTATTTTGAAATACTTAAGCTCAAATATGAATATTTAAAAAAGATATTTATACATTTTTTATTACAAGCCAGAAAGAAAAGAAACAGAGGTGGAAGATTTGCAATAAATATGGGAGCTAGAGAATTATTGGAAATCTGTGAAAGTATTGTGCAGAAAAAGGGTATGATTAAATCATTCTTATATGAGTTTATATAGAAATAAAAGTGAAAAATAAAGATTTTTTATCTTTTTTTTCATATATATTTGCCATATATTTTCAACTGATTAGATTCAGCATGTATAATTCTTAGCATTATACCAAATTTTGTAGGAATGGTTGTAAATACATGGTAAAGTGGCCAGCCTTCTTTCATTTTCATACGACTGCAAAAAAAATTTGCGGTCGTATATTGGTATGACGTTGGCGTCGTCGTCGTCGTCATCGTCGTCGTCCGAAGACACATTGGTTTTCGCACCCTAACTTTAGTTTAAGTGAATGGATCTCTATGAAATTTTAACATAAGGTTCAATACCACAAAAGAAAGGTTGGGATTGATTTTGGGGGTTATGGTACCAACAGTTAAGTAATTAGGGGCCAAAAATAAGCATTTTTGTAACTTCCAGACATAACTTGTGTGTTAGTGTATGGATCTCTCTGACATTGTACCACAAGGTTCCATATCACAAAGGGAATGCTTGGATTGATTTTGGGGGTAATTGCCTCAAAATTTTAGGAATTAGGGGCCAAAAAGGGGCAAAAACCAAGCATTTTTCTAGTTTCATGACAATAACTTGTGTGTAAGTCTATGGATCTTTCTGAAATTGTACTACAAGGTTCCATATCACAAAGGGGAAAGCTGGAATTGAGTTTGGGGGTAATTGCCCAAAATGTTTAGGAATAAGGGGCCAAAAAGGGGGCAAAAATAAGCATTTTTCTAGTTTCCAGACAATAACTTGTGTTCAAGTGTATGAATCTCTATGAAATTGTACTGCAAGGTACCATAGAACAAAGGGAAGGCTGGGATTGATTTTGGGGGTAATTGCCTCTAAATTTTAGGAATTAGGGGCCAAAAAGGTGCAAAAAACAAGCATATTTCTAGTTTCAGGACAATAACTTGTGTGTAAGTGTATGGATCTTTATGAAATTGTACTACAAGGTTCCATATCACAAAGGGAAAGCTGGATTTGAGTTTGGGGGTAATTGCCCTAAATGTTTAGGAATTTGGGGCCAAAAAGGGGCCAAAAAACAAGCATTTTTCTAGTTTCCTGAAAATAACTTGTGTTCAAGTGTATGGATCTCTCTGAAATTGTACTGCAAGGTACCATACCACAAAGGGAAGGCTGGGATTGAGTTTGGGGGTGATGAATCATAAGGGGGTTCAAAAAATTTGGGTGGGGGGGGGATTTTTTTTTCATTTTTTTTTCTTTAAAATTTTCCATGTTAAATTGGTTATTTCTGATTTATATATAAAAGCAAATAATAATGATATGGTTTGAATAGGTAAATTAAAAAAATTTAAGTTCTTAGACCACATTCATTCTGTGTCAGAAACCTATGCTGTGTCAAATATTTAATCACAATCCAAATTCAGTGCTGTATCAAGCTTAAATGTTGTATCCATACTTGCCCCAACTGTTCAGGGTTCGACCTCTGTGGTCGTATCAAGCTGCGCCCAGCGGAGCATTTTATTACACCTTATGACAATGCTTGGCATATATAAAACCTGCAGCTATGGGAAATATTTACATATGGTTTAATTGGAGACTATGTTGAAAAAAATTGACTTGGAAATTTCTAGATATATTTAGACAAATTAGGCTCAGTTCAACTTTGTTGTCTATTGAGAATAGTTCTCTTGATTATTTAATCTGGAAGATGTTATAACTCTAATAGTTTCAGTGGTCACTGATCGTCTACCATGTTCCATCTTATTTTCTATCGAGCAACCTCTTCAATAAATGCTTGTCTGTCCCCAAGATGTGCACGGAAGATTTCAAAGATTGAGTCAGTAGTCTGATCAGTTGGGGTTTGGAGCATTTGAAGGAATAAGGTACTCAGTGGAGTGAGAATCTACCTTAGTTCTTGAACACACAACTTGTTATTTCCGTAACTAAGTGATGAAGAAAAACCAAGTAAAGGAACACTCTCCAATATTCAGAAGGGTCATCAATTGGATGATTCATTTTGTGCATCTGACATCCAGCTATATATATTTTTTATGCCCCCGCCGTAGCGGTGGGGGCATTAAGTTTTACCCTTGTCCGTCCGTCCGTACGTCCCAAAATTGGTTTCCGTTCTCTAACTTGAGTTTGACTCAACCAAATGTTATGAAACACAATGCTTATTACCACAAAACACAGATCAAGTTTGAATTTTGGTGGTGTCACTTTAACCTTTCTAGAGTTATTTTTAATAATGTGTAGGCACGTGCTTATTGTGCCTAACGGCAGATACACTCCTGATTGACTTGCATCACACAGCTCCTGTTATTCATAAGAACTGAGGAATATTTTAGATGTATTTTTTAACTTGATATGTCTTCTATAGATTGGTATTTAGTTTGCTCAAATTGGAAGGCATTCTGGGAACTGTATGCAATATTTAGATAGCCAGGTGCTATATTAAAAGATCAGGTAATATCTTGAGTTGTGCATATAAAAAAAAAATGAATCTTGATCTTTCCTTTTCTAGTTGACCTGTCATCCTGGAGACATAAAATTGAATCTGAAAATGAGGCTTCAGGATTTAATGAAGTTATTAATGAGATCCATGAAGATACCATAGAATGTCCCTCTTCAGAAAAATATAAGAATGGTATGCTTACAATTGGATGCACAGGTAAGTAACTTTCTATACCAAAGGTCCTAAAGCACTCATATTTGCCAGTCATGACTGATTTAGAATACACCTCGACAAATGACTGAAATGAAATTCCTATTTTTGTGATATTGAATTTTGAAAATGTACCAAGATCATAAATTTTCAATTTCCCTTTGTAAGAAACAGGAAGCACTATTAGATATCTCAGTGATCCCCATACAAAAACATTAGTTTATAATTGAATTTCTTTTGGAGTTTTTAAAATGCACAGTTTTCAAAGGCTGATGTTAGAATGTAACTATATAGAGAGAATCCAATTATGTATAAACTGTGGATCAAAGACAAATTTTTATTCTATCTGGGTCAGTTATCATGGCTTAATTCCTTGATTAGTTATATCCTGGTCTGGTTTTCCCATCAAAATGTGATAAAGCTCTGCAGGTATGTACATGTATAATATTTGGTTTCATTTTTATTTTATTTGTTCTACTTAATTGTGATTTATAGGAAAAGATTGTGTAATAGCTTATTCATTGGTCTCCAGTATAAAAATAAAGAGATGTGGTATGATGCCAATGAGACAACTTTACATAAAATATACAAAAACAAAGATGTGAACAATTACCGTAGGTTTTTCAACCATGAGCAAACCTAAAACCATATAATAAGCTATAAGAGGCTGAGGGATAAAAGAATGTGAAACACTTCACTAAAGAAAACCAACAGCCTGATTCATAATACAACAATAAATGAAAAACATTCTTGGCAGACATCAACCAATGACAACCACTAAATTACAGGCTTCTGGCTTTGGATGGAAAAATAAAAAATGTGGCAGGGTTTAACATATTTGTCAGCACCCAAACCTCCCCCAACCTTGACAGTTGTGTAACAAAACAAAAAAATAAGAACACACTGTTAGAATTAGTTGGAAAGACTTGACTCATCAGATCAGTTACTGAAAGCTACTTTAAAGCCTAATGTTAACTAATAGATAAACCACGTTCTCCCTATCTAAAATACCAATCAGTACACTTCAAACAGATATAGTGTAAAGACCTCATAAGCAGTCTCCTAAAAGCATTGCTTTGTGTAATGTCAAAACATAAGTAGCAGCATGATGTAAGACCAAACGTGTTTTTTTATTGCATAGCAATATACGTTCAGTTATCTATTAATTATGGAAAATAAAATCAATGTTAAAACCCATAAAGACAATATTTAAAGATCTTAATACAATGTTAAATTGATATCCTTTAAGCATAATTTTATTCAAAGGACAAACAAGTTTATATTGATAGTATCTTAATTCACAAGATTTATAAACAATTTCACTGTTAAAATTAGGATGTGATATTCTGTTTGTGATCAGATAACTACAGCTAGACTTCAAAACCAAATCTTTGTGTATATGAAAGAATTTAGTAAAGGTTTAAAGTAATTTGTGGTTGTATTTAGTTTTATCTTAAAGCGATTTTTTATTCACTGTAAAATGGGGATATATTTATACCCCCACACTAAAAGTGTGGGCTAAATTGCATTCACAGTCCATTTCATCCAACAAATATTTCTGTCACACTTTTGTCAGTAACAACTGAACAGAATGACTTCATATTTAGTCAGCAGCTTATCAGCTTATTAGCAATAATTTGTAATGTGTGAGCATTTTTTGAATCTGTCAGACATCTTCCTATTATCCGATACCATGGATACTTTGAATTATGAGTGGGGTATGCTTAGCACAACAACGAATGCATTCTTGATTGTACTTATTTTACAGCAATATAACAGCTACAATAGAATGGGGGAAGTATTGATTATATCATACCATTATTTTAGGCTTAGCAAAAATACTTCTAATTGTTTGTTGTATTAAAATTTAAGGTGTTGGCAGGCATATATCCCATCTCACAGGTACGAGAAGCTTTTAGTGCAGTAAGATATTTATGTGAAAGAATTAACGTTGTGAACATCTTACACCTACAACATCCTGATCCTCCATCAAAAGAATGGTCTCCTTATGATATATGTGAAGGTAATTGTTCTTTGTTGACTGGTTACATTATTTATTTTTTTTAGAAGTCTTGAATGGTGCCACACATCTCCTTTTTTTGTCTTCACTTTTCACTAGTTGATATTTAAATATAATGTAAAATTTGTATGTGATAATTGTGACAGCATTGTTAAAAGCAATATACAGATTCCCAAAAAAATTTTGACCAACTTTTTTCTAAATCATTAAAGAAACTGTACTATAAATGTATCAACTTGGAGTATGAATTTTCTCCTGTCTAATTTAACTTCTCAGTTCTCAAAATATTTCATTCTGCTAAATGCAGTTTAAATTTACATATACATGTATCTTAAAAAATCTTTTGTAAAGATAATGTTTATAGAGGACTTCTTTTGAAAATGATAGATAAAATTGGATACGCTCAAGGTGATAATGTAATACTTTAGTTCATTGTATATATTTTTATAGTCATGGGAATTTTATATGCATATACTTTATATTAGACCCTTTGTCTTAATAGTTTGTTAATCAGTGTTTTGTTATGAGAGAGGCGAAAGATACCTAAGGGACATTCAAACTCATAATATTTCAAATGCAGAAAAATGTATATTTCTGTAAACATGTTAAGAAAATTTTATGTGCTAAATGATTCAGTGTTGTGTAATTTTGGAATGCACACAAGGGTTCTCAACATTAAAATTTGGGTACAGAGGTCAGGCTGGGGTTTGATAACACCCCCCTTCCCCCCATTTATATATTTCATAGGAAAATCACAACCCAATTATATATACTTCCCAGATTTATAACATCATATTTAGAAGTAAACCACATAGAATCATTTATAATATTAGATAAATAGACCAAAACACAGTATTGACAGACATCTTAACAGAAAATGAACATTTATGACCTTTGACATATAAATGTCTACCCATTGGTATATTACCTCCATGAAATAGCACACATTGATATATTTGATATTCATGAAAAGTGACCCATACCAGCAGCACGTCTGTGTATACCTTGATATAGGAATAGACAATCCTGTGGAAATGCATCAGTTGACTACATTTGGCATTTCAGTCAATGACATAATTAGAAAAACTTTGTATATGTTTCAAGAAATACATATGAAAACATTATTAAAATAACACTAAGGCATTCCCACACTTTAAGTGCATTGGTAGTTAGATTTTAATGGGAAATTCCTTTTTATTGCACGAGTGTGTTTGATCTGTTGGTCAGTTTATTCATTTGTTGATACAGACTTTGTATCTGCAGCCTTTCACAGAATCTTGAGAACATGATGGCATTGTGCACTTCCAATGTTTTTTATCTAAATGATTTTGGGGGTTTCCAATGACAAAACAAAGTTTGTCAAAAATACAAAGGGATGAATTCATCTTGTGTCTGCAGTGCCGTCTAAACTACTGTCTGAAAGTCTCACAAAATATTTCTTACATAATGCTATTGTGAGCACCTCATATTTTATTATTTGATCTAAATAATTTTTTGGGTCTCCCACATCAAAACATTGACTTTGTTACTTCTATTCAAATGAGAGCCAGTTTATGATTTTTTTCTGGCATTATGTGGATTTGCAATATAGGAAGCATGGAGTCTATAGTAAAATATAGGCAATATTCCTTTACTGTAGAAAAAATTAAATAAAACTACTATTATTGAATCATGATTATATGATTTTTTTCAGCATTTGCAATAAAACGAGGAATGATAACAGCTAAGGCTGGAAGACCTGATATTCACAGATCTGCAAATTTAATTCTACGTATGGGATTAGATGGTCGGCTTTGTTTAGCATTGAGGCCATCAGGTTTTACACAAAATAGAGGTAAAATTATAGAATTATTTCAGTTGGCTTTGATTGACAGTTCCATGTACTTTTTATGCGACTGCAAAAAAATTTTGGGGTCGTATAATGCTATCATGTTGTCGCTGTCGTCCAAAGACATTTGGTTTCTGGACAATTACTTAAGTTTAAGTGTATAGATCTCATTGAAATTTAAGCAAAAGGTTCAATACCACAAAAAGGAAGGTTGGGATTGTTTTTTGGGGTGATGGTCCCAACCGTTTAGGAATTAGGGGCCAAAAAGGGGCCCAAAACAAGCATGTTTCTAGTTTTAGGACAATAACTTGTGTATAAGTTTTTCAATTTTTTGCTTCAAGATTTAAGAAATTAGCAATTTTCCATTGAAAAATTGGGGGTCACAATTGATTTAATTCTTCGTATATAGTCTGAAAACAGATTTACTAAGTATTGCGCAACAGCACAGTGTATTGCACAAAAGCAAGAAATCTTCAATTGAATATAATTCAAATCATATAACCAATTTCAAGTTCTTTGACTACATTTATTCTGTGTCAGAAACCTATAATGGGTCAAATATTTAATTACAATCCAAATTCAGACATGTATCAAGCTTGAATATTGTGACCATTTTTGCCCTTACTGTTCAGGTTTGGACCTCTGCAGTCGTATCCAGCTGCGCTCAGCGAAGCAGTTTATTTTACATGTAGTAGGATTGTGGTTTCTAACAGTATTTCTGCATTTACATTAATTTGTTAAGTTATAATGTATAACTTTCAAAATGCAGAGAATAAATTATAAATATAAATTATTAATTTCATTTCTTTCACAGATATTTGAAAGGATCATCAAGAAACTAGAGGATTGATTGAGAAATTATCTAAATATAGATCATCAGTGGATGAATCATCTGATGGCAGTGAAGGAGAATTTGACAGTGATAAAGATGAAAATGAAAATGAAACATCGTCAGATGAAGAAGACATTGAAATGACAACTAAAAATCCTTTTGCTTTATTATGTGATGATTAAATACTTAAGTCATTATTTATACCTGAGTTTCAATGCAATAAGCCTGGTTATTAGTCCCCTACCGATGAAGTCGAAGGGTACTTTAGGTTTGCACTCTGTCCGTCTGTCTGTCCATCCGTCAGTCCGGCAAATCAATTTTCTACACTTTTTTTCTTCATGCTAGAAGATATTGATTTGATATTTGGTATATTGTTTATCATGACAAGTTACAGATCAAGTTCGAATTTTGTTGCGGTCTGATAATTTTGTGCAAAGTTATGGTCCTTGGACATTGAAAATTCACTTGAATATTCAGTTTTCCACACTTTTTTCGTCATGCTTGAAGATATTGATTTAATAATTGGTACATTGTTTTATCGTGACAAGTTACAGATCCAGTTCAAATTTTGTTGTGGTCTGATGATTTTGTGCAGAGTTATGGTCCTTGGACTTTGAAAATTCACTTAAATAATCAGTTTTCCACACTTTTTTCGTCATGCTTGAAGATATTGACTTGATATTTGTTAAATAGTTTACACCATGACAAGTTAAAGATCAAGTTAGCATTTTGTTCCAGTACAATTAATTTTTAACCGGTAGGGAACTATGTTTTGCCATGCAATACTCTCAGAATGATTGTTTAACTCAACTTCAAATCTCTTACATTTCATTTAGAAATGTTCATTATCCTAATCATAGTTCTCATCAAGGGTACTTGTTGATGAAATATGCTGTCTTTTGTCTTATTGTTATTTGTTTTTGTGCTAAGTACGGATCTTATTAGTCAAGTCCTATCCAATTATCCTATCCCCAGCCTATTGGGGTGCTTTGGACATAGAAATACTGTCTGTCTATCTGTCTGCCTTGTAAGCAATCTCACTTGTACAATTCTGACCAGATTTTGAAATTTATATCAAAGCTTTATATCAGCATTGTCTTGGAGATGTTCAAAAACCAAACAACTATTTTTATAAGCCCGTTTACGGGACGTATTGTGGTATACCGTTGTCTGTCCGTCCATCGTCAACATGTCGGACATTAACTCAAAAACGCTTCAACCAATTTGCATGAAACTTTTCTGACAATTACTCAAGAATACTTTCACCAACTTGCAAGAAATTGTGGTGAATTGTTTATATCTATTGACATGAGCTCCCTTTTCGATTTTTATAAATTTTAGATTTTATGTTTCCGAGTTACAGGGTTTTATTCATAAAAAAAAGGGGGATTTTCCAGTTTTTAGACAATCACTCAAAAATGCTGTCAGCAGTTCTTATTAAACTTTGGTGAATTGTTTTGCATCTATTGATGTAAGCTCCCTTTAGAATTTTATAAATTTTAGATTTTACATTTCTGAGTTATTGGGTTTTATTCATTAAAAAAGGGGGGATTTTCCATTTTTCGGACAATAACTCAAAAATGCTGTCAGCAATTCTCATGAAACTTCAGTGAATTGTTTATATCTATTGATGTAAGCTCCCTTTTGATTTTCATAAATTTCTAATATGACATTGAGAATTTATTGAACTTTATTTGTTTATAGTCTGACAACAGATTTACTGAGTATTGCACAACAGCACAGAGTATTGCACAACAGCAAATCTTTAATAAATTCAATTCATATAACCAATTTCAAGTTCTTTGACTACATTTATTCAGAAACCTATAATATGTCAAATATTTAATTACAATCCAAATTCAGACCTGTATCAAGCTTGAATATTGTGTCCATTTTTGCCCCAACTGTTCAGGGTTGGACCTCTGCGGGTGTATCCAGCTGCGCTCAGCGAAGCAGTTTATTGGACAATGACTCAAAAATGCTTTGAGCCGTTTTCCTGAAATTTCGGTGAATTGTTTATATGTATTGATGTGAGCTCCCTTTTGAATCTTATGAATTTCAGATTATAATGTTTACTAGTTATGGGGTTTTATTCATTAAAAAAATGGGGGATTTTCCAGTTTTCGGACAATAACATAAAACGCTTTCAGCAGTTTTCATGAAACGTTGGTAAATTGTTTATATCTATTGTTGTAAGCTGCCATTCGATTTTTATAAATTTTATATTTTATGTTTCCGGCTTGTGGGATTTTATTCATAAAAAAGGGGTGATTTTCAAGTTTTCGGACAATATCCCTAAAGTGCTTTGAGCAGTTTTCATTAAACTTTGGTGACTGATTTATACCTATTAAGATAACCTCCCTTTAGTTTTTTATAAATTTCTGATATGACATTGAGAAGTTATTGAACTCTATTCGTTGAAAACGTGACAGGCATATCATGCGCTCATGGCGCAGCTGTTAATTAAAGGAGTTATGCTCCTTGGAAATATAAATGTTCTGGAAAATTGCATTTTCAGGGCTCTCAAACGTACATTTCTTGTAGGAATGTTATGAAATAAATGTCAAGGTTAATATCAGCAATGTATGAAACAAATCATCACTGGTTAATTATTTTTACAGGCGTTATGTCCCTTTGAAATGTAAGTTCTATAGGTAATTGCATTTTAAGTACTCTCATTAGTGTACAATTCTTGCCAGATTTAAAAAAAATATTGCATCAAATTTTTACTGTATATAAATATTTATTACCTTTATTTATCAGGTTTATATCAGCAATTAATGTCTTGGATAAGTTCTATATTCAGTGCAGATCAACTATTTTAATAATAATAATAATAATAATAATTCTTTATTTGAAGAGGTTACACAGTTAGCTATAACACTAATCTTCCCTTAGGCCCTCATGAAATGCAATTACATATAACAAACAAACAAATTACAAAATAATCAAACAAACACACACATATAAGAAAAATCAAATAAGAAATTGTTATGAAATATACAATATTCAAAACGGGTAAAAATTATGAATTCATATAGTATTGGCATCATTCAAATTATCTCAACAATATTCAAAGTTTAAGTAAGTGTGTGAAAATTATTATGCATATAAAATTACACAGCTTCTTAACATGCTTAATGTTCCATGCCCTTGGAAATATAAATTATAGGGAAAATTGCATTATAGGCAGTATGATATATTATATTCTTTATAGAATCATTACTATAAATACATGTTTGTCAAACATAGTTCACCTGAACTTGCCTGCATTTTCATGGTACAGTGGTCAACCTCAAGTTTTCCTTAGTATGGCTATATTTGGTTTATATAATGATTACATGTATGTGTATATCTGAAAGGATTCATATGACCTTGACCTGATTTTCATGGTTCATTGGTCAATGTTAAATTTTTGTTATTAGGTCAATTTTTCAGATACAATAAAGAAAAAATTAACTGTATTTTGTGTATAGAATGATAGCAGTGTTCCATTTCTATCTTGACAGTGTCTATCTTACTATGACCTTATTTTCAACTTTAATGTGCATGAAATCTATATTAACCTTTACAGCAGGCAAAACATTTCAGCATGTGCACTTTTTTTAAAGTGATGAGAAATTTGTATATACCTATTGTTGCTGAATTATACCTTATAAACCCTGATAAGAAGCTGTCATTATTCATAGGGTTACTAACCACCTCAATGGTCGAATGGTATCGTGTTTGCCTCAACCATGTCATACCAAAGACTTTAAAATTGGAATTTGCTGCTTCTCTGCTAAGCATAGAGCATTAAGGAGTTCGAGCAAAGACTGGTTGGCTTGGAGTTAGAGTAATGTGTCCAGGTAGGGTTACTTGTCTGTTACTTTGTGAACTAGCATGTTAAAAATCCAGCTCTGTGTGTCAATCTAGTTCATATTCATATTGCATTAACCTGTTCTCATCATGAATGTGCATTTAATTTGCCACTGGACATTTAACAGCCATCCATCTACAGAAGGACACTTGTCATCATGTTTTAATAGTTTACATTGAGATGCTTTGTTGAGTTCTTAGTGTTTGTTGGAGTTAGGTGACTGAATATATTTGGCATATTGTATCCTAATAACACCTTGTAACTGCTATTCCTCTAAGACTGTTTGCCTTAAAGCCTTCATACTTAGAAAAATTGTTTTTCATCATGTGTAGTTGACCACATTAAATGATTACTTTTTTTTATTGACAATTCTGCAGTCTTTAACTTTGACCATTTTGGCCTACTATAGCCTAATGACACCTTGTGAAGGTTACTCCTCTGAAACCATAGGACCAGAAGACCTATTTAGATTCTAGTCTTTATCACTTTGCATCCATGGTTTGTCTTTCAATTGGCCAATTGACATTTTCATCTAGTCCCAATAATTATGCATAACAGCAAAAAATTAAAATAGCCTTTCCAGATGTCAGAATTATTTGGACTTACATTCAGAACCTCTGAAACCACCAGTCCCATTTGGCAGGAATAACATATTGAAGCTCCTTTATAAATAACCTCTTTTGGTTCCATTTGGATGAAAAATATGAACACCTGAGGCAATCATTGATTATGATTGACCAATTTCTATACATTTTCCTCTGAGACTACATGGTAAAATGTTTTGAAAATTAAAGATGGATGATTTAATAAACCTCTAAAATATTCCTCAATAAATGTTGATCAAGGGGCATAGGTGGAACAAACTTCCAATTGAAATCTTCCGTTGACTGATTGATTGATTGTTGTTTGCTTTTTAAATTTTAACATCTAGTGGCAAATATTTCATGCATATTCAGGATGAGAACAATAATAAATCTGAAATGTAAGTTCTGCAAAGGGGAACATGTACAGATCTCTCAAATTGTTGTTGCAAGGGTTCTTTATTGTGCAGAGCATGGCACTTTTCCTACATACACATAAATGAATTTAATTGACTACTGGATATTCAGAAACTATTGTGTGCATTTATTATACCAGTTATAGAGGAATGGACAAAAATGGGAGATTATTTATTGCAATTTCAGGAAAAGCTGCGTACAGATATATGTATTGGATATCAGAATTCGATTTCTTATTATTACAATACTCACCCAGTCACATTGTTCGCATTAATAAAGTCATCACAATAATTTCTGAATTTACAAGCTTGGGAGGGAAGATCCTCTATAGAAATTTCTTATTTGGTTTCAATCAGAAGAAAAACATGACTGCCAGAGGCAATCTTTTCCATTCTCAATTTTATTCTGATTATTTTCAAAGATTTTGAAAATATCTTGCTTTTTTATTGACAACAATTGTTACGTTTGGATGTGTTTTTCAATAGTGCTTCTCGTCCAGACTTATTCTTATGAGGCAGAGCTTCTCCAGTAAAATTTGCAAAGGGTTCCGCAGCATGCGTTGCAGGGGACATAGAAATACATCTGTCCCTCTGGTCTTGTTAGCGCTCTTACATGTACAATTCTTGCCAGATTTTTATGAAACTTACATCATAAGTTTATATCAGCAATGTCTTAGACGAGTTTGAAAATTAGTACCGATCAATTATTTTTTAAAGAGTTATGCCCCTTTGAAACATTAATTATATGGAAAATTACATTGATAACGCTGTCATGTGTACAATTCTTGCCAGAATTTTCTGAAACTTAAATCATAGGTTCATATCAGCAATGTCTTTGACGAATTCGAAAATCAGTGCCAATCAAAATTTTTTTAAAGAGTTATGCCCCTTGGAAATATTAATTATATGGAAAATTCCCTTATGATTGCTCTAATATGTACAATTCTTGCCAGAGCTTGATGAAATTTATATTATAGGTTTATATCATCAATGTCTTTGACGAGTTAGAAAATCAGTGCTGATCAATTATTTTTTAAAAAATTTTGGAAAATTGCATTGTTAGCGCTCTCATACGTTCAATTCTTGCCAGAATTTTATGAAATTTATATCATAGGTTTATATCAGCAATGTCTTTGACACTTTCGAAAATAATTTCTGATCAAATATTTGTAACGAGTTATGCTCCTTGGAAATATTAATTATAATGGGAAATCACATTGCATTTGCTCTAAAGCCTTCATTTCTCTAAGATATTAATAAAAAGTCTTATAGAACGAAAAAAAAGTGTTTTTTTTTAGTTATTGCCCTTGTACCTTGGATAGATAAAATAGGTGCAATGTGGGGGACATTGGAACTCTTGTTCTTTTATTAGAGTTGTTGCTCACTTTTTGTTTTCTGTGTAGTGTTTCATTTTTCAGCTTATTGCTTTTGATTGCCCTCTGTACCCCCTCTTTTCATTTCAGTGAAACAGCACACATATTCAAAATGATGTCAATTTTAAAATATAAAAAAATATCATTACTTCAAGAAATAAAATTTATTTGGTTAAAATAATGCTGTAATGAAAATAAGAATGATGATGTCTGATGCACTATTCTTTCACAGTTCATTTCAGAGTAAGAGATAATCTTGATGGTTTTTCATTTCCTTTCTTCATTCAATATTGCAATCAATCCAAATGCCCTCCTAAAATTAAAATAAAAGTAAAAAATCAACTATAAATTGCATGTTATTGTAGTTGTGTGTTTATGATTCCATAAAATACAAAACAGTTATCTGAAGAACAAAATCAATAACCTTTTTTTCTTTGCTAAAGTCGGATCACAAAATAAGTCACAAGGTATATAGCCTACCAAATGAAGCTGGAATGAAATATCAAGAAATTCTGATTTGCAGTCCATAAACATATATATATATATGTATGTGTCAAACAAAAAGTAGATAAGTGACTGATCTGTAAATGTGTCGCACTGTAAAGCCTACCAATATGATTGATTGATTGATTGATGATTGCTTTACACCACAATATGAAGCCTTGTATCAAAAATCAAGAAGCTCTGTTAGTAGTTGCTGTTACTGAGAAAATTGTGACAGAAAAATGTAATGGATAAAGGACAGACAGAGGTAAACCAGAATACAACCTTTACCCCTATGATGTAGAATGGATATAAAAATACTAGAAATATATCATTGTGTCAAATACTTTGTCCACATTTGCGTTAAAATTACATTTCTTTAACTTCTCGTTTCAACAAACAGAGTTAGTACTTTATTACACCCAACATCACTCATAAATTCTATTGTATATCATAGAAAAGAAATTGACATTTGATTAATTGATAACATATCTTCCTTACATGTAACTTGTAAACTGATTAATGTTCATACCTATATATCACAGATAACTGAAATAACTAAAGTTTAGGTTAATGCTATCTTATCTCTGTAGCTTTAGCTATCACTCTTTGTAAGTCTACTTTATCTTGAACATTCTACAATGAAATAAGAAATAGGAAATATAATTATGCTTTCAACCTAAGAAATTTACATTGGAGCTATTTTAGATCATACTTTACAAACTATAGGATCCTTTGTTTTTTTTTTAGTCTGCGACATTTATGTCGTGAAAGCGAGACATAGCAGTCCTAGATTCCCTCAGCAGCACCAACATTTAGCAGTGTGTGGTTAAAGATTTATTAGGCATCAACAACTTATCAAACCTTCATTGAATTTTATGAAATTTGGACAGAAGCTTGTTTATGACCACAATACAATATCCAGATCAAAATTTTGAAAGTATTTATTTTCATTTATCTGTATTTTACTAATAAATAGACTTAGTATTTTTAACAGCTAACATTCAGATTCAGTCTGAGATTACAAGTTTTTCAGTCATCAATAACTTTGTCAAACCTTAATGGAATTTTATAAAATTTAGACAGGAGCTTGATTATGACCAAAAGACAGTATCCAGAGCAAAATGTCTGTATTTTACTGATAAATGGACTTAGTTTTTTTTTACAGTTAACAAGTACATAACAGTCTGGGGTTAAAGTAGAATTTTATGAAACTTTGGCAGAAGCTTTTATAAGATTAAGAGATAATGTCTGAAGCAAACTTTTGAAATATATTTTTTTCATTTTCAGTATTTTTCTGATGGATGGACTTAGATTTTTTCAGTTAACATTTGCAGAGAGTCTGGGATTAAATTTTTTTGACATGATAAATTTGTAAACCTTCATGGATTGTTATGAAACTTAGACAGAAGCTGATCTTTGAGACCAAGAAATAGCATCTAAAGAAAAAGTTTGATTTTTTTTTTAATTCTGTATATTACTGGTAAATGGACTCACTTTTTAAGTCAACGTTACCCTTTTACACTTTTACATCAGCAATCGCAAGCAAGATACAGGGTTCTGCTGAACCCCTTACAATTTTTATATGTCTAATCCAGTTTACATGATATTGTTTGTTTAAACCTCTCATGTTGTCAGCTATCATGAAATCACATACTTTTAGCACTCTTTTTTCAATGAAAATTGATAAGTTTCATATAGAAAAATTATTTAAGCTAAAAACAACACAGTAATTTTGAAAGCCCGAATTATGAAATAATAACTTTCTACCGGGTAAGTTCATTTATCGATAAAACTCAAAAAATTTCGAAAGGATTGCAGAATTTTATAATTTTCACAATTTAATGGACAGATAAAATTGACTCTTATAATAGCTTATTATAGGTTTAAACAAACAATATCATGTAAACTGGATTAGACATATAAAAATTGTAAGGGGTTCAGCAGAACCCTGTATCTTGCTTGCGATTGCTGATGTAAAAGTGTAAAAGGGTAACGTTGACTTAAAAAGTGAGTCCATTTACCAGTAATAACAATTCTAGTCATATTACTCTGTAACCAGAAATCAAATATTATCAAAATAAATATTGTGCAAAAATCCATCAAAAATATAAGAAGCAAACTTATAGTAAGACCAACAGATTGACAAGGGTAATAATGAATGATTTTTCTTGGGCATCTATTTACCTGTATCAATTTCATCACATGAGGAAAATCTCCTTGTATGATTTCATCCCGTACCTCTCTGAAATAAATAAAAACAACATAATACAAGGTTACTATACATACAAATAACATTACTTTAAAAACACAAAGACTGGATTTAGTCTTAAATACTTATCAATAAGACCTATTCTTTAAAACATTAAATAGTAAGGCCTATTTTTAAATACTTATCAATAAGACCTATTCTCTAGAACATTAAATAATAAGGCCTATTTTTAAAATACTTATCAATTAGATTCAACTTTAAATTCAACTCTAGCTTCAGCAGAAATCCAATGAATCACATTAACCTTACATTTATGGGCACAGGATATTTTAGTGAAAATTTCAAAACTTCCAGGGGACATTTTAGAGCAGACATAATAGCCCATTTTACAACAGATTAATCCGTTCACCTGTATTTTCGATAGCCCATTTTAGTGAAATCTTTTTTGAGAACAATGTTGCATAAGGAGTATATCAAGAGCCAGTTACCCATGTTCACTGGGACATAAGTTGACAAGTAAACATTTGATTTAACTTTCTTAACTTTTAGTGCTGTATTTTTATGGACATGTATTATTTTATATATTGTGCTGTCTTGATACAATTAAAATGTATTATTCTACTAAAATTTATTATTTGTTACTAAAATGGCCATTGATAACTTCACTTTTCCCTAAATTGGTTAAAAAAAACGGCGCTAAAATAGGCTATACTTTGGCACTAAATTATCGGATTTTTTTTTCTAAAATATCTTATAAATGTGCATAAACCATCTGCCAACATTAATGATGTTATCCATCAATATCTCCTTCGGTAAATGTATATATAAAATTGAGAATGGAAATGGGGAATGCGTTAAGGAGACAACAACCCTACCAAAGAGCAGAAAACAGCTCTAGGCCACCAATGGGTCTTCAACACAAGAAGAAAATTCCGCAACCAGAGGCGGGCTACAGCTGGCCCCTAAACAATAATGTATACTAGTTCAGTAAAAATGGACCATGTATCATTAGTATTTTACTTGTTATTTGATTAGACACTAATGACTAAAACAACATGCTTCTCAATAACATTATCTACATTTCTTTACATGTTGGAATAGACAGAAAAGAAAAATTCAAAATGTTGGAATAGCGAGAAGACAACCGTTAGCCTAAGTGACAGTACTAATGAGACTATTCTTTTACTTTAACATGTATTCATTGTTATTATATCATTCAGTCAGAAAATCATAAATGTATTGTGTCCATTCGACAGACTCCTGAACAATTAAGAGCTTAACATATTGTATGGACACCTGTCTATGATGTTTTTTTGTTATTTTTTGTTGTAAAAAAACTTACATTAGCATTGCACAACATATACATTTTAGAAAGTGAAACCTTCTGTCATCTGCAAACAGTGAATCCCATATTCTCATTACATCTGAAAAAAAGTATATATTGGATGAAAATAATTAGTTTACCCAAAATTTCTTTATTAAGACATACATCTCATTTGAACATTATTAAGGTCTTTCCACTCCGTTAGGAAAGACCTTATTGTTTTTCTAATGTTTTTTTTTTTTCTTTTTTTTTTTTTTTTTCTTTTTCTTTTTTTTTTTTTTTTTTTTTTTCTTTTTTTTCTTCCAACATTTTTTTGGGAATGCCCTCCCCCCGTTTCTGTTCAAGTTATCAAGACCAAATATGGACCATCGATAGACATCATCATGAAGTATTACCACATGACCCTGTTAAGGATTTCATCATCCCCTGTAGAAGTTATCCCCCTTTTATTGGATTTTTTCAACATGGCCCCCCTTCGTTGTTTTTGAAGATATCATGACCTTATTTTGACAATAGGTTGATCTCATCATGATGTACTACCATATGTGACTGCATAGGATTTCATCATCCCCTATGCGAGTTATATCCCCTTGAAGCGATTTCTTTCCTTTGCATTTTTCTCAAAAAGTATTAGAGATAGAATCGATTTGAAAACGGCAACATATACAGGACCTGATGGCAATGTTAATGAACATATAAAATAATTTTGTTATTGACCCTTATAAGGAGTTATTTCTCTTAAAAAAATATACACAATTTTTGAAAAATTGTATTTCGAGAACCCTAAGTCGTAGAGACTTGGGACCTACACCAATAATCTTAAGTTCATGTGACCTTCAATTTGCACCCAAGGTCAAAGGTCACAGAGTGCAAAAAAACTTTACGCTGCAATTTCAAGCTTGCATATTAAGAAAACCATAAGAGTTTGCTGCATACATACTGTGTATAAAATGTTCCTCTCGACGAGCTCTACATTTTATACATTAAGCTCAAAAATGTCCGACTGTCTGTTCAAAAGTTACATTAACATAATTCTTAAAACTATAGTAACATATGTATATCTTTTAAAAGGTAACAGATATCAACCTACTATAAACTGCAAAGATGATCAGTAATTCAAGGCCTTCAATTTGAGGTCAATGTCAGGTCATGATGAAATTTAACCTTGACCTTCAGAGTGTACTATGACCTTGACCGTGTGACATTTGAAAGGTCAAGTGGTCTTGAGTTGAATGGTGGTAATCCCATGTCTCTACGACTTACGGTTCTCAAGTTTGATATTGCATCATATATTTGATAATTCATTGTGACCTTGATGAACTTTGGAAATGTCCAATTTTTTTTCTAAAATGTTGTCCTTTTACTGTAGATCATTTTTCTTTTAACAAATTTGAGATACCTGTTGTCGTTTAAGAGATAATGCACTTTGAAATTTTGCGAGCGGAGGCATGTATTTCTGAATCAACAACAGGTAACCACCTGAAATTATAAGAAATTGAAGAGTTTAACATGGTTATATGTTTGACCAAATACCAAAAACATTCAATGAAAAAAAAAACCAAAAAATCAATTTGAAATTTTCATGTTTTGCATTGACTTTGTAAGTTTCATAAGTTCTATTTATATAATTGATATTGCATCATTTATGGCACTTTGCCAAATGGGGTCATTTGATATATCAAATTGAAGGTCTTAACGAGCTCTACTCAAAAATGAAAATGTAAAACCCCCTTTTCATCCCAGGGGGAAGGGTGGGGTCATTTAGTGCAAAAAATTAAAACTTCTCAGATGGTTAGGTTGTCGCATATCAAATGAAAGTCCATAAAGCGTACATTTCAAATATCAAATTGACGTCCCCAAAAAATGGGTTGGTTGGGGTCATTGAGTGCAAAAAAAATAAATTTTCTTTTAAGATAAGGTTGTTGTATATCAAATGAAAGGTCTTACCGTGTACATTTCAAATATCAGATTCCCGTCCTCAAAACATTAGTTGGATGGGGTTATTAAGTGCAAAAATCAAACTTTCTAGAACATGGCGTTGTCGCATATCAAATGAAAGATAATCAAGTCTAGATTACATATATCATACTTCCGATATCAAAAATGTAGGCGGATGGGGTCATTAAGTGTAAAAAGTGAAAATTTTCAGAAAGTATGCTTGTCGTATATCAAATGAAAGCTCTTAAAGAGTACATTACAAAAACATCACTTTTGCAGGAAAGACCTTTCAATTGTTTTACAAACAATTGAGATACTAGTTTAATATTAGATTTTTCTAACTAAAATTAAACAAAGGGGAGTATATTCAAAACAAAATTCTTGATAACTGTTGGAGAGGGATTCACAATAACTGGTAAAGAAGCTCTGTTCAAATGTGTAAAGTTTTTATTTATTTTTACTGTAGAAGCATAATTATTGCCAAAAGAAATACATACAATAATAGCAGTCAATTTGTGATATATTGTTTAATAATTATGGTGACTCACTATTACTTAAATGTTTAGAAAAGTTGTTTACACTGATTCTTGCAGAGTCTCTATGACAGTCATTGCTATTCCATTGTGAAGGCTTGTAATGATGTTGGGTGAAAATATGGTAAGTTTATATTATACAAGTTTTTGTTGAAAATTATTCAGGATTAAGGTCATAGTGCATATTTTTCCATTCCAATTTCTTTTGAGTCTAAATAACTAAAACTTTGTATGCCATAGGTATCTAAAAAACTTCTTGTGTTATTGCAAGGTAGTTTTTTTTTACAGAGAAAAGTGTCAGTGGGTAACAGGAAAATGTCTTTATGGAGTTACATTCCGCAAGAAACAGAAACAGAATTACAATGGTTATATTTGTCTACCTGGAAGAGGATACTCTTGCGACAGGAGTAAATGTTAACCATCTAAAGGCAAGGGTTATATTTGTCTACCTGGAAGAGGAAACTCTTGTGACAGGAGTACTGTTAACCATCTAAAGGCAAGGGTTATATTTGTCTACCTGGAAGAGGAAACTCTTGCGACAGGAGTAATGTTTACCATCTAAAGGCAACGGTTATATTTGTCTACCTGGAAGAGGAAACTCTTGTGACAGGAGTAATGTTAACCAACTAAAGGCAAGGGTTATATTTGTCTACCTGGAAGAGGAAACTCTTGCAACAGGAGTAATGTTTACCATCTAAAGGCAAGGGTTATATTTGTCTACCTGGAAGAGGAAACTCTTGTGACAGGAGTACTGTTAACCATCTAAAGGCAAGGGTTATATTTGTCTACCTGGAAGAGGAAACTCTTGTGACAGGAGTAATGTTAACCATCTAAAGGCAAGGGTTATATTTGTCTACCTGGAAGAGGAGACTCTTGCGACAGGAGTAATGTTTACCATCTAAAGGCAATGGTTATATTTGTCTACCTGGAAGAGGAAACTCTTGCGACAGGAGTAATGTTTACCATCTAAAGGCAAGGGTTATAAACCATCTAAAGGCAAGGGTTATATATTTGTCTACCTGGAAGAGGAAACTCTTGTGACAGGAGTAATGTTAACCATCTAAAGGCAAGGGTTATATTTGTCTACCTGGAAGAGGAAACTCTTGTGACAGGAGTAATGTTTACCATCTAAAGGCAAGGGTTATAAACCATCTAAAGGCAAGGGTTATATTTGTCTACCTGGAAGAGGAAACTCTTGTGACAGGAGTAATGTTAACCATCTAAAGGCAAGGGTTATATTTGTCTACCTGGAAGAGGAAACTCTTGTGACAGGAGTAATGTTAACCATCTAAAGGCAAGGGTTATATTTGTCTACCTGGAAGAGGAAACTCTTGCGACAGGAGTAATGTTTACCATCTAAAGGCAAGGGTTATATAATTGTCTACCTGGAAGAGGAAACTCTTGCGACAGGAGTAATGTTTACCATCTAAAGGCAAGGGTTATATTTGTCTACCTGGAAGAGGAGACTCTTGCGACAGGAGTAATGTTTACCATCTAAAGGCAAGGGTTATATTTGGTTTAAGGGTTATAAACCATCTAAAGGCAACGGTTATATTTGTCTACCTGGAAAAGGAAACTCTTGCGACAGGAGTAATGTTTACCATCTAAAGGCAAGGGTTATATTTGTCTACCTGGAAGAGGAAACTCTTATGACAGGAGTAATGTTAACCATCTAAAGGCAAGGGTTATATTTGTCTACCTGGAAGAGGAAACTCTTGTGACAGGAGTAAAGTTAACCATCTAAAGGCAAGGGTTATAAACCATCTAAAGGCAAGGGTTATATTTGTCTACCTGGAAAAGGAAACTCTTGTGACAGGAGTAATCTTTACCATCTAAAGGCAAGGGTTATATTTGTCTACCTGGAAGAGGAAACTCTTGCGACAGGAGTACTGTTAACCATCTAAAGGCAAGGGTTATATTTGTCTACCTGGAAGAGGAAACTCTTGTGACAGGAGTAATGTTAACCATCTTAAGGCAAGGGTTATATTTGTCTACCTGGAAGAGGAAACTCTTGTGACAGGAGTACTGTTAACCATCTAAAGGCAAGGGTTATATTTGTCTAACTGGAAGAGGAAACTCTTGCGACAGGAGTAATGTTTACCATCTAAAGGCAACGGTTATATTTGTCTACCTGGAAAAGGAAACTCTTGCGACAGGAGTAATGTTTACCATCTAAAGGCAAGGTTTATATTTGTCTACCTGGAAGAGGAAACTCTTGTGACAGGAGTAATGTTAACCATCTAAAGGCAAGGGTTATATTTGTCTACCTGGAAGAGGAAACTCTTGTGACAGGAGTAATGTTAACCATCTAAAGGCAAGGGTTATAAACCATCTAAAGGCAAGGGTTATATTTGTCTACCTGGAAGAGGAAACTCTTGTGACAGGAGTAATCTTTACCATCTAAAGGCAAGGGTTATATTTGTCTACCTGGAAGAGGAAACTCTTGCGACAGGAGTACTGTTAACCATCTAAAGGCAAGGGTTATATTTGTCTACCTGGAAGAGGAAACTCTTGTGACAGGAGTAATGTTAACCATCTTAAGGCAAGGGTTATATTTGTCTACCTGGAAGAGGAAACTCTTGTGACAGGAGTACTGTTAACCATCTAAAGGCAAGGGTTATATTTGTCTAACTGGAAGAGGAAACTCTTGCGACAGGAGTAATGTTTACCATCTAAAGGCAACGGTTATATTTGTCTACCTGGAAAAGGAAACTCTTGCGACAGGAGTAATGTTTACCATCTAAAGGCAAGGGTTATATTTGTCTACCTGGAAGAGGAAACTCTTGTGACAGGAGTAATGTTAACCATCTAAAGGCAAGGGTTATATTTGTCTACCTGGAAGAGGAAACTCTTGTGACAGGAGTAATGTTAACCATCTAAAGGCAAGGGTTATAAACCATCTAAAGGCAAGGGTTATATTTGTCTACCTGGAAGAGGAAACTCTTGTGACAGGAGTAATCTTTACCATCTAAAGGCAAGGGTTATATTTGTCTACCTGGAAGAGGAAACTCTTGCGACAGGAGTACTGTTAACCATCTAAAGGCAAGGGTTATATTTGTCTACCTGGAAGAGGAAACTCTTGTGACAGGAGTAATGTTAACCATCTTAAGGCAAGGGTTATATTTGTCTACCTGGAAGAGGAAACTCTTGTGATAGGAGTAATGTTAACCATCTAAAGGTAAGGGTTATATTTGTCTACCTGGAAGAGAAAACTCTTGTGACAGGAGTAATGTTTACCATCTAAAGGCAACAGTTATATTTGTCTACCTGGAAGAGGAAACTCTTGCGACAGGAGTAATGTTAACCATCTAAAGGCAAGGGTTATATTTGTCTACCTGGAAGAGGAAACTCTTGCGACAGGAGTAATGTTTACCATCTTAAGGCAAGGGTTATATTTGTCTACCTGGAAGAGGAAACTCTTGTGACAGGAGTAATGTTTACCATCTAAAGGCAACGGTTATATTTGTCTACCTGGAAGAGAAAACTCTTGCAACAGGAGTAATGTTTACCATCTAAAGGCAACGGTTATATTTGTCTACCTGGAAGAGGAAACTCTTGCGACAGGAGTAATGTTAACCATCTAAAGGCAAGGGTTATATTTGTCTACCTGGAAGAGGAAACTCTTGCGACAGGAGTAATGTTTACCATCTTAAGGCAAGGGTTATATTTGTCAACCTGGAAGAGGAAACTCTTGCGACAGGAGTAATGTTTACCATCTAAAGGCAAGGGTTATATAATTGTCTACCTGGAAGAGGAAACTCTTGTGACAGGAGTAATGTTTACCATCTAAAGGCAAGGGTTATATTTGTCTACCTGGAAGAGGAAACTCTTGTGACAGGAGTAATGTTAACCAACTAAAGGCAAGGGTTATATTTGTCTACCTGGAAGAGGAAACTCTTGCAACAGGAGTAATGTTTACCATCTAAAGGCAAGGGTTATATTTGTCTACCTGGAAGAGGAAACTCTTGTGACAGGAGTACTGTTAACCATCTAAAGGCAACGGTTATATTTGTCTACCTGGAAGAGGAAACTCTTGTGACAGGAGTAATGTTAACCATCTAAAGGCAAGGGTTATATTTGTCTACCTGGAAGAGGAGACTCTTGCGGCAGGAGTAATGTTTACCATCTAAAGGCAATGGTTATATTTGTCTACCTGGAAGAGGAAACTCTTGCGACAGGAGTAATGTTTACCATCTAAAGGCAAGGGTTATAAACCATCTAAAGGCAAGGGTTATATATTTGTCTACCTGGAAGAGGAAACTCTTGTGACAGGAGTACTGTTAACCATCTAAAGGCAAGGGTTATATTTGTCTACCTGGAAGAGGAAACTCTTGCGACAGGAGTAATGTTTACCATCTAAAGGCAACGGTTATATTTGTCTACCTGGAAAAGGAAACTCTTGCGACAGGAGTAATGTTTACCATCTAAAGGCAAGGGTTATATTTGTCTACCTGGAAGAGGAAACTCTTGTGACAGGAGTAATGTTAACCATCTAAAGGCAAGGGTTATAAACCATCTAAAGGCAAGGGTTATATTTGTCTACCTGGAAGAGGAAACTCTTGTGACAGGAGTAATCTTTACTATCTAAAGGCAAGGGTTATATTTGTCTACCTGGAAGAGGAAACTCTTGCGACAGGAGTACTGTTAACCATCTAAAGGCAAGGGTTATATTTGTCTACCTGGAAGAGGAAACTCTTGTGACAGGAGTAATGTTAACCATCTTAAGGCAAGGGTTATATTTGTCTACCTGGAAGAGGAAACTCTTGTGATAGGAGTAATGTTAACCATCTAAAGGTAAGGGTTATATTTGTCTACCTGGAAGAGAAAACTCTTGTGACAGGAGTAATGTTTACCATCTAAAGGCAACGGTTATATTTGTCTACCTGGAAGAGGAAACTCTTGCGACAGGAGTAATGTTAACCATCTAAAGGCAAGGGTTATATTTGTCTACCTGGAAGAGGAAACTCTTGCGACAGGAGTAATGTTTACCATCTTAAGGCAAGGGTTATATTTGTCTACCTGGAAGAGGAAACTCTTGTGACAGGAGTAATGTTTACCATCTAAAGGCAACGGTTATATTTGTCTACCTGGAAGAGAAAACTCTTGCAACAGGAGTTATGTTTACCATCTAAAGGCAACGGTTATATTTGTCTACCTGGAAGAGGAAACTCTTGCGACAGGAGTAATGTTAACCATCTAAAGGCAAGGGTTATATTTGTCTACCTGGAAGAGGAAACTCTTGCGACAGGAGTAATGTTTACCATCTTAAGGCAAGGGTTATATTTGTCAACCTGGAAGAGGAAACTCTTGCGACAGGAGTAATGTTTACCATCTAAAGGCAAGGGTTATATAATTGTCTACCTGGAAGAGGAAACTCTTGTGACAGGAGTAATGTTTACCATCTAAAGGCAAGGGTTATATTTGTCTACCTGGAAGAGGAAACTCTTGTGACAGGAGTAATGTTAACCAACTAAAGGCAAGGGTTATATTTGTCTACCTGGAAGAGGAAACTCTTGCAACAGGAGTAATGTTTACCATCTAAAGGCAAGGGTTATATTTGTCTACCTGGAAGAGGAAACTCTTGTGACAGGAGTACTGTTAACCATCTAAAGGCAACGGTTATATTTGTCTACCTGGAAGAGGAAACTCTTGTGACAGGAGTAATGTTAACCATCTAAAGGCAAGGGTTATATTTGTCTACCTGGAAGAGGAGACTCTTGCGGCAGGAGTAATGTTTACCATCTAAAGGCAATGGTTATATTTGTCTACCTGGAAGAGGAAACTCTTGCGACAGGAGTAATGTTTACCATCTAAAGGCAAGGGTTATAAACCATCTAAAGGCAAGGGTTATATATTTGTCTACCTGGAAGAGGAAACTCTTGTGACAGGAGTAATGTTAACCATCTAAAGGCAAGGGTTATATTTGTCTACCTGGATGAGGAAACTCTTGTGACAGGAGTAATGTTTACCATCTAAAGGCAAGGGTTATAAACCAACTAAAGGCAAGGGTTATATTTGTCTACCTGGAAGAGGAAACTCTTGTGACAGGAGTAATGTTAACCATCTAAAGGCAAGGGTTATATTTGTCTACCTGGAAGAGGAAACTCTTGTGACAGGAGTAATGTTAACCATCTAAAGGCAAGGGTTATATTTGTCTACCTGGAAGAGGAAACTTTTGCGACAGGAGTAATGTTTACCATCTCAAGGCAAGGGTTATATAATTGTCTACCTGGAAGAGGAAACTCTTGCGACAGGAGTAATGTTTACCATCTAAAGGCAAGGGTTATATTTGTCTACCTGGAAGAGGAGACTCTTGCGACAGGAGTAATGTTTACCATCTAAAGGCAAGGGTTATATTTGTCTACCTGGAAGAGGAAACTCTTGCGACAGGAGTAATGTTTACCATCTAAAGGCAAGGGTTATATTTGTCTACCTGGAAGAGGAAACTCTTGTGACAGGAGTACTGTTAACCATCTAAAGGCAAGGGTTATATTTGTCTACCTGGAAGAGGAAACTCTTGTGACAGGAGTACTGTTAACCATCTAAAGGCAAGGGTTATATTTGTCTACCTGGAAGAGGAAACTCTTGTGACAGGAGTAATGTTTACCATCTAAAGGCAAGGGTTATATTTGTCTACCGTGAAGAGGAAACTCTTGTGACAGGAGTAATGTTTACCATCTAAAGGCAACGGTTATATTTGTCTACCTGGAAAAGGAAACTCTTGCGACAGGAGTAATGTTAACCATCTAAAGGCAAGGGTTATATTTGTCTACCTGGAAGAGGAAACTCTTGTGACAGGAGTACTGTTAACCATCTAAAGGCAAGGGTTATATTTGTCTACCTGGAAGAGGAAACTCTTGTGACAGGAGTAATGTTTACTATCTAAAGGCAATGGTTATATTTGTCTACCTGGAAGAAGAAACTCTTGTGACAGGAGTAATGTTTACCATCTAAAGGCAAGGGTTATATTTGTCTACCTGGAAGAGGAAACTCTTGTGACAGGAGTAATGTTAACCATCTAAAGGCAACGGTTATATTTGTCTACCTGGAAGAGGAAACTCTTGTGACAGGAGTAATCTTTACCATCTAAAGGCAAGGGTTATATTTGTCTACCTGGAAGAGGAAACTCTTGCGACAGGAGTACTGTTAACCATCTAAAGGCAAGGGTTATATTTGTCTACCTGGAAGAGGAAACTCTTGTGACAGGAGTAATGTTAACCATCTTAAGGCAAGGGTTATATTTGTCTACCTGGAAGAGGAAACTCTTGTGAGAGGAATAATGTTAACCATCTAAAGGTAAGGGTTATATTTGTCTACCTGGAAGAGGAAACTCTTGTGACAGGAGTAATGTTTACCATCTAAAGGCAAGGGTTATATTTGTCTACCTGGAAGAGGAGACTCTTGCGACAGGAGTAATGTTAACCATCTAAAGGCAAGGGTTATATTTGTCTACCTGGAAGAGGAAACTCTTGCGACAGGAGTAATGTTTACCATCTTAAGGCAAGGGTTATATTTGTCTACCTGGAAGAGGAAACTCTTGTGACAGGAGTAATGTTAACCATCTAAAGGCAACGGTTATATTTGTCCACCTGGAAGAGGAAACTCTTGCGACAGGAGTAATGTTAACCATCTAAAGGCAAGGGTTATATTTGTCTACCTGGAAGAGGAAACTCTTGCGACAGGAGTAATGTTTACCATCTAAAGGCAAGGGTTATATAATTGTCTACCTGGAAGAGGAAACTCTTGTGACAGGAGTAATGTTTACCATCTAAAGGCAAGGGTTATATTTGTCTACCTGGAAGAGGAAACTCTTGTGACAGGAGTACTGTTAACCATCTAAAGGCAAGGGTTATATTTGTCTACCTGGAAGAGGAAACTCTTGCGACAGGAGTAATGTTTACCATCTAAAGGCAAGGGTTATATTTGTCTACCTGGAAGAGGAAACTCTTGTGACAGGAGTAATGTTAACCATCTAAAGGCATAAAATTGTGGTTTTATATTAAGTTCCTCTATTCTTTGGTGGAGTCTTTGATCACTTGTTTGTAACATGTCAGAAAAATGTTGCATCATATAACCTGAAAAATAATAATACTATCAATTGAAATTGAAACAGAAGGTACGATAAAGCAACATATAAAGGTCCCTTGAAATAAAAAAAATATTACAAATCCATCCTATGAACACGTTTAAAAATTTTCCTACATATTTGAAATAGGCCTCAAAACTTTTTTAATTGCAAAAAATTACAAACTTAAGAGATCATTAAAATTTAAATATGAACAAAAGTCTGATCTTAAACTACATGTTTGCCAAACTATATTTTATATACAGCTTACAAAATGTGATTGATACAAATACAATATTTTCTTGGACAGTGTATTTGTTTATATGTTATAAGTGACAAGATGATATCTCTATTGATTTATCAATGAATTAAACATGATTGTGAAAGAATTGATGAAATTAATTGTTTTGCAAAGACAGGGGTGAAAATTTGGCTCTTATCATACCTCTTCCGTATCAACGTATTTACATATAACAATACAGAAGGTTAAGTGAGTGCTGTAATACTCTTTTACATTAGGGAAGGAATTTCATTCTCAATAAAGTCATACAAGAAAAAAAAATAGGTACATAGAACAAGAATATAAATGTCATAAATATCAATGACCTAAACTCTTCCTGACAAATTTGCCTGATTACTGCAGGTGAAATAAACTGAATAGGTTCTTGATATGTAAAAATTTCTCTACCATAGTGCAATAATTCTCTTTCAAAACTTTAAAGGTAAGACTTATTTAATGTCACAGTACCCAAATTGCACCTCCTTAGCAAAAATAGCAGCGAAAATCTTACAAGTTTTATTAGGCACTAAACAATATTTGTGTTTTTTTATTATTTGACATTATGCATGACTTTCAAAAAGGTAAATACATTTAAATATTCACAAAACGTTCACAGTATATATCAACAGATGAAGTGTTCACTGGAAAAAGTAAAATCTACGGAAACGTCGCCATGCGACATCCACAAAAAGTCATCTTTTAAAAATGAGCAAATAAAATATGTTACGAGCATCTATTTCTTAACAAATAGTAAGCATGGACTAATGTATAATTGTTCTAAATATTTGAAGAAATAAAACAAAACATCTGTTATTTGATTTTTAAGGGTGTGAATTTAAGCATGGATGCAATTTGGGTACCCCTTATTACAAAATCATGGATTGTTTGGACGTAGGTTCAAACCCATTTTTCTAAGATTCAATATGGATTCAAAATTAAATTGGTGGAACTATATAGTAAATAAGGATACATCTACAAAATAAACACAAATTGAAAACTTTTGTTTAGATCATAAATAAACGTAGGTGAAAAAACTGTCAAAATAGGTGCAATTTGGGTACCCTCACGTTAAGTAAATAATTCATATATCATACTCTGTGTGTACTTTTAATTGTTTTTTTTATAATATAATAATATGATCAATTGCTGATATGAGTGCATGTTTTTAAAAACACCCTAGGAGTAGTGAATCATTTCTATAAAAAAAAAACCAACTCAAGAAATCATACTTTTTCACAGTCAGATAGATTTTTTTTAAGAATAACACTGTGTTTAAAATTTTGTATATTCATAAATTTATGTGATGTTTTTGTTAATGTGGATATAGCAAATGAATAGCTTTTGCAAAAAAATAACCTTACATTCCAAATTTTGATAGCATTATTTGTATGTAGCATTTCCTGAAATCAGAATAATTTAATCTCGTGTTTGTGGCCATTGTTCAACAATCGCAATAATAAATACACACAAACATTTCTAACTATATTTATAGTGGTTACATTATGTGCTTTGATGTTTCCAACCAAACATTTCTATATTTATAGTGGTTACATAATGTACTTTGATGTGTCCCACCAAACATTTCTATATTTATAGTGGTTACATAATATGCTTTGATGTGTCCCACCAAACATTTCTATACTTTTAGTGGTTACATAATGTGCTTTGATGTGTCCCACCAAACATCTCTATATTTATAGTGGTTACATAATGTGCTTTGATGTTTCCCACCAAACACTTCTATGTTTCCCACCAAACATCTCTATACTTATAGTAGTTACATAATGTGCTTTGATGTGTCCCACCAAACATCTCTATACTTATAGTGGTTACATAATATGCTTTGATGTGTCCCACCATACATTTCTATATTTATAGTGGTTACATAATGTGCTTTGATGTTTCCCACCAAACATTTCTATATTTATAGTAGTTACATAATGTGCTTTGATGTGTCCTACCAAACATTTCTATATTCATAGTGGTTACATAATATGCTTTGATGTGTCCCACCAAACATTTCTATATTTATAGTAGTTACATAATGTGCTTTGATGTTTCCCACCATGCATTACTTTGTAGCTTATAGTTCTTACCTATTCCACATTGGGAATCTGCATCTAATGTCTTTATAAATAAATCTCTAATTTCTGACATCAAATTCATAAAACAAAAGAAGGAATCTGCCTCAGCATTCTCTGAAATTTTAGATATGATGACTAAAACATTATATGTGAGTGTTAAAACGGAAATGGGTTATATACTAAATCATCAAACAGAAGCCCTTGTCCAAGTATTTTCAATAGTTTAAGAAAATCATGTCTGGAATAGGTAGGACCTCAAACCTAATTATCTCTTGGAGTTCCTCCGAGGTAGTCTGGCCAACATCATACTTGATATGAAAAACTCCATTGAAAAAAAAAACATCACTGAAAAATGATGAAGGATTGTAAGGGCAAAAACTAATTAATATATACATCTTTCTCTATATTTAATTGTCTATAGGAAGTAACCTATTGTAAACTATAATTTCCATATCAAAGTATGAATTTCAAGTGGCATATAGATGATATCAAGATAATATGCAGACACATCAAATAATTCCTCCAAGTAGTGAAATACCATATATTCATTAGAAATATTGCATGATCATCACTTAATAATTGGAAATGAAATAATTTGCATAGATCACTTAAAACACATTTTAAAGATGCTTTGAGGTTTAATATGAAAATACTGTACCTCTGCATTCTTTTATAGGGTCAGCAGCAAAGCAATAGTAGATTGGACCGACAATCTCATTCATACCCTGTTCAAGATAAAAGAAAAAAACATAAGAACTTTTAGAAAAGGTATGATACAAGCTAGCTTTGATCCATAATCTATGTGGTAAAAACTGACCAATAATTGGTTCTTGATGGCCAGGTTGTATAGAAAGTTTCTTGGACAACAGACACATGTCTTTAATGTAGATTTAAATATATTTAAAATATTTTTTTTTAAATGTTATATATTACAATAAATAAACTTGGTGTATTTACTGTCTTCTGATTGGTTAAAAGTATTACCTTTATTTTCAATGTTGTCAATTTTTATGGCGACACACCCACTCTGACGTTGTGTATTTATACACCAACATGTGTGTACGTTGTTATTGTTAATATAAATAATATAAAAAGCTCTTTGAGCCTTATTTTTGATAGAAATTTATTTATAATGAATAGCTATTATTTATTTTGAATTTATAGAACCATAAAATTAATTTTTGACTCTTCACATTTTACATAATCCACTTCGCGGATTATTCAATGTGAAGAGTCAAAAATTAATTTCATGGTTCAATAAATTCAAAATAAATAATAGCCATTCATTTAATAGTTTTGTAAATAGAAAAAAATATCATCTGAAAAACTTTTCTAAAACTATATATATATTGTACATACAATGTATCTCTTGGTTACCCTATTTTTATGTTACTGCTGACATTTCTACGTATGTACTGACCTGTACATATCCTTGACCAGGATTTAATTTGGAATAAATAAACAATATTCTTTCAACAACTTCCCAGTGAGCTTCATGACCATCAGGCAATACCATGTATTCTTCACTCACTTTTCTTCTACTTAAAACTTTCTACAAAAGAAAAATAATGCAATTACATAAAATGTTTTGTGTGTCTGTCTTCTTAAATATTAAATTTATCATTAAGTTACAGCCAAATTAATCAATGAATATTGTTTTTTAAAGGATAAATTTATAGTTCCCATTGAATTAACTTCACATAGAACAATATTAATTGCATTTATTCAATAGTACAGTTCACTTTACAAAAATTTAAGTAGCCAGGTAAAGACGAACTCATTCTTGGGAAAAGTTTTATTTCCTTTGCAAAAAATTCAATATCTTTCTTCTTCTGTGTAGACTGTACTGCTGTTTTGTAGACAAAAGCAATGTCTTCCTTTCTTATTATACAGTATGAATATAATTGTAACAATTTCAAAATTAATATTGACCAGTGTTGATAATTGCTTAACACAGACTACTTTTCATTTGTCTACCTCGACAGCAAAAAAAATTATTCTCCAATACAGTCGACTCACGTTATCTCGAAGTCAGCTGGACCAGAAAAATATTTCGAGATACACGTAGTTCGACTCAAACGAAAACCGGAAGTTTGACAGACCAAGGGACACAACTCTTGCTTAGCTTGGTAAGGCTAAAATTAATCATGATGAATATGGGAAAGGGATCGATACTCTGGTCTCAGATCGATGTATTCGCATGTCATGGTCTTTCATTATTATAATAACATTGTTTTCACTTATTTAATTATTTCTTTGAACAGTTACAATTTTTCCCTATTGCTTTTATCCGAGAAAGTAATTTCCAATCGATATTAGCGTTATTTAAGTCATCTAAAGTTGACAAAGTTGTTTATTCTCTGATACAAGAGATTTAAGAAAATTTAGATTTCTTTTCGTTTTCTTTTATTTCAATCTTTCCTTTCAAAAGAAAATACAAAAAAATTAAAGAAGCCGATTGAGTAGTTTTTAGGTAATTACCAACGGAAGTCTTAATCCCCACTTTATACACATCCAAGCTCATCAGTGTAAATCACCATTAATTGTTTTTGTAAACATTTAAAATAATTTAACTTTAACAATGTATCACTAATTATTTATCAAGGTGATAAAAGATAATCTTAGGTAAACACTCGTGGAAATAGCATGTCATAAATCAATACAGTGGTCAGTGACCGGAAATTAAATTACATGTGTATTGTCAGATTAACTCATAAATCCATTTAAATCCCGGAGGTCATGTTTTGACATATGTGTATGAGTTCGAGATAAATAATGAATTTCGAATGCTTTTGTTAACCTTGAAATTGTAAATTTAGTTCAACTCATCCTATTTCGACTCATCAGGAGTCGAAATACATACATTTATATGGAACAAAGTTTGGGACCATGAGAAAACTTCGACTCATCCGAAATTTCCAGTCAACCGAGTTCGAGACAACAAGAGTTATCTGTATATATAAATTTCAGCCAACAGAAAACAAGAGGCTCTCAAGAGCCTGAATCGCTCACCTGTATTTCAGAGGAGAAGATTTTTAAATGTTAGCAAACTTGATGAACAAATTGTGTAAAATTGTCTTTAAAGGGCAATAACTCCTTAAGGGGTCAATTGACAATTATGGTCATAATAACTTTTTTGTAGATCTTACTTTGCTGAACATTATTGCTGCTTACAGTTTATATATATCTAAAATAATATTCAAAATAATAACAAACTAGAGGAGGCTCTAAAGAGCCTGTGTCGCTCACCTTGGTCTATGTGCATATTAAACAAAGGACACAGATGGATTCATGACAAAATTGTGTTTTGGTGATGGTGATGTGTTTGTAGATCTTACTTTACTGAACATTCTTGCTGCTTACAATTATCTCTATAATGATCTTGGCCCAGTAGTTACAGTGGAAAATATTTTGTAAAAATTTACAAAAATTTATGAAAATTATAAAAAATTGACTATAAAGGGCAATAACTCCTTAAGGGGTCAATTGACAATTTTGGTCATGTTGACTTATTTGTAGATCTTACTTTGCTGTACATTATTGCTGTTTACAGTTTATCTCTATCTATAATAATATTCAAGATAATAACCAAAAGCTGCAAAATTTTCCTAAAAATTACCAATTCAGGGGCATCAACCCAACAACGTGTTGCCTGATTGGTCTGAAAATTTCAGGGCAGATAGATCTTGACCTAATGAACAATTTTATTCTTGTCAGATTTGCTCTAAATGCTTTGGTTTCAGAGATATGAGCCAAAAACTGCATTTTACCCTATGAACTATTTTTTAGCCATGTCGGCCATCTTGGTTCGCGGGCGGGTCATCGGACACATTTTTTAAACTAGATACCCTAATGATGATTGTGGACAAGTTTGGTTAAATTTGTCTTAGTAGTTTCAGAGGAGAAGATTTTTGTAAAAGATTACAAAAATTTACGAAAAATGGTTAAAAATTGACTATAATGGGCAATAACTCCTTAAGGGGTCAACTGACCATTTTGGTCATGTTGACTTATTAGTAGATCTTACTTTGCTGAACATTATTGCTGTTTACAGTTTATCTCTTTCTATAATAATATTCAAGACAATAACCAAAAACGGCAAAATTTCCTTAAAATTACCAATTCAGGGGCAGCAACCCAACAACGGGTTTTCAGATTCATCTGAAAATTTCAAGGCAGATAGATCTTGACCTGATAAACAATTTTACCCTCTGTCAGATTTGCTCTAAATGCTTTGGTTTCAGAGATATATGCCAAAATCTACATTTTACCCCTATGTTCTATTTTTAGCCATGGCGGCCATCTTGGTTAGTTGGCCAGGTCACCGGACACATTTTTTAAACTAGATACCCTATTAATGATTGTGGCCAAGTTTGGTCAAATTTGGCCCAGTAGTTTCAGAGGAGAAGATTTTTGTAAAAGTTTACGGACGACGGACGATGGACGCCGGACGACGGACGCCAAGTGATGAGAAAAGCTCACTTGGCCCTTTGGGCCAGGTGAGCTAAAAAGGGTATCATTTCATATTTTAACATCTTGTCTCATAAAAAGATTGTTAAAAAGGTTCATTGTAGTCTGATGAAGATTTTAAGGCTCACATTATAATTGCCCTTCCTGTCTACTTTAATGGTTTCTGATTGCAGTACACACTGTTCTACACGTTTGCGTAATGTTTCCACACGTGAATCTGCATGTATTATATCTTTGCATGGATAATCTGTCGCTTTTTGGAAGAAAAATAAATCTGGACATAATCGTCTGCAAAATATGATTTAAATATTAAATAACAATTGAGTAATTGGCATGTGAACTACATCATACTATTCTTAAATAGTTTTGTATATAAGCAAGGTTAAGTGCAATGGTTATATGACAATGAGAGCTTAAATAAATGTTATTGTCATGCTGTTGTTCTAATTACTGTCTTTCGTCCCTAGAAGCATTACAGTACACTTCGTGCACATCTTTATCTTGTATATATATAGAGTTTTAGTCCTATAAAAATATCACCATCTGATTAGGAGCTTCATGTGAAAAAGTAAAAATCAGATGTAGCATTATTAGCTAAAATTACATGAAACATAAAAGGATGGGTACAATAAGGGCCTTATTTGGTCTATTTTTTCACTGAAGTTGTTATAGTTTTTATACAACCGCAAAAAATTTTGCGGTCGTATATTGGTATCACGTCGTCATCCGAAGACAGTTGGTTTCCTGACAATAACTTCAGTATAATTAAATAGAAATCTATGAAATTTAAACACAAGGTTTATAACCACAAAAGGAAGGTTGGGATTGAATATGGGGGTTATGGTCCTAACAGTTTAGGATTTAGGGGCCAAAAAGGGGCCCAAATAAGAATTTTTCTAGTTTACAGACAATAACTTGTGGAAAGGTGTATGGATCTCTCTGAAATTATACCACAAGTTTCCATACCCCAAAGGGATGGTTAAAATTTGTTTTGGGGGGTTATGGCTCAAACCGTTTAGGAATTAGAAGCAAAAAAGGGGGAAAAACAAGGGTTTCCTGGTTAATGGACAATTAAAACAATTTTAAAGCAGTGTAAGGGAGGTTATCCAAACACAACATTTTGATTACCTCCCTTACACTGCTTTTAAATTATGTATAAAGAAATGTTGTATTGTCTTGAGATGATTAGCTGTCAATTTATTTTTAGAAGTTACTATTAAGGAATATTATGTATGTCATTTTCTATTTTAAGACTTTTATGATGTATTTAAATGGGTAATTATGGTTGCAAACTCCATTGGAAATTTGAATTGAGATTATGACCATATCTTGAGGGGAAACATTTTCAGGGGGAAAAGGAGGGGGGGGGGTGAAAAAAAAATTTGGCAGGGGGGAGAAATTGTTGGGTGTAAATTTTTTCTCATTTCAGATTTCAGAAATTAAAAAGAAAAATTCTTCAAATATTATTTTTTTTGCAAAACAAAAGTGTGGGGGAGAGGTCAATACGCAACAGCATAGTGTATTGCACAAAAGCAAAACTAGAGGCTCTAAAGAGCCTGTGTCGCTCACCTTGGTCTATGTGCATATTAAACAATGGACACAGATGGATTCATGACAAAATTGTGTTTTGGTGATGGTGATGTGTTTGTAGATCTTACTTTACTGAACATTCTTGCTGCTTACAATTATCTCTATCTATAATGAACTTGGCCAAGAAGTCACAGTGGAAAATATTTTGAAAAAATTGACAAAAATTGACAAAATTTATGAAAATTGTAAAAAATTGACTATAAAGGGCAATAACTCCTTAAGGGGTCAATTGACAATTTTGGTCATGTTGACTTATTTGTAGATCTTACTTTGCTGTACATTATTGCTGTTTACAGTTTATCTCTATCTATAATAATGTTCAAGATAATAACCAAATGCTGCAAAATTTTCTTAAAATTACCAATTCAGGGGCAGCAACCCAACAACGTGTTGCCTGATTGGTCTGAAAATTTCAGGGCAGATAGATCTTGACCTACTGAACAATTTTATCCTTGACAGGTTTGCTCTAAATGCTTTGGTTTCAGAGATATGAGCCAAAAACTGCATTTTACCTTATGTACTATTTTTTAGCCATGTCGGCCATCTTGGTTCGCGAGCGGTGTCATCAGACACATTTTTTAAACTAGATACCCTAATGATGATTGTGGACAAGTTTAGTTAAATTTGTCTTAGTAGTTTCAGAGGAGAAGATTTTTGTAAAAGATAACAAAAATTTACGAAAAATGGTTAAAAATTGACTATAAAGGGCAATAACTCCTTAAGGGGTCAACTGACCATTTTGGTCAAGTTGACTTTTTTGTAGATCTTACTTTGCTGAACATTATTGCTGTTCACAGTTTATCTCTATCTATAATAATATTCAAGATAATAACCAAAAACGGCAAAATTTCCTTAAAATTACCAATTCAGGGGCAGCAACCCAACAACGGGTTGTCAGATTTATCTGAAAATTTCAGGGCAGATAGATCTTGACCTGATAAACAATTTTACCCTCTGTCAGATTTGCTCTAAATGCTTTGGTTTCAGAGATATAAGCCAAAATTTACATTTTATCCCCATGTTCTATTTTTAGCCATGGTGGCCATCTTGGTTGTTTGGCCGGGTCACCGGACACATTTTTAAACTAGATACCCCAATGATGATTGTGGCCAAGTTTGGTCAAATTTGGCCCAGTAGTTTCAGAGGAGAAGATTTTTGTAAAAGTTTATGGACGACGGACGCTGTTTACGATTGACGCAGGACGACGGACGCCAAGTGATGAGAAAAGCTCACATGGCCCTGTGGGCCAGGTGAGCTAAAAAAGGGGGTAATTTTTTTTTTTTTTTTTGTGGGGGGAGGGGTGGTCAATTCGCAACAGCAAAGTGTATTGCAAAAAAGCAAAAAATTGAATATAAATTCAAATCATATACTGTGGATTCATTTTTATTCGTGGTATACCAATTTTCGTGGGTTTCGTGGGTCACAGCGAACCACAAATTTTAGAATTCAACGAAGAATAATCCCGAGAAATGTGTATGGAGTCGGATGTTTATTTTCGGTTATGTTATGCAGTTCTAGTATAGTGTTGACTTGCGATAAACATTGTTTCAGAAAAAGGGTGAAGGTTTGGTACCATTAAAACGTTTAAACCCGCTGCATTTGTTTGCACCTGTCCTAAGTCAGGAATCTGATGTTCAGTAGTTGTCGTTTGTTGATGTGGTTCATAAGTGTTTCTCGTTTCTCGTTTTTTATATAGATTAGACCGTTGGTTTTCCCGTTTGAATGGTTTTACACTAGTAATTTTTTGGGGCCCTTTATAGCTTACTGTTCGGTGTGAGCCAAGGCTCAGTGTTGAAGACCGTACTGTGACCTATAATGGTTTACTTTTATAAATCTTTACTTGGATGGAGAGTTGTCTCATTGGCACTCATACCACATCTTCTTATATCTATTTACATAACACGTGTTTTTATTGAAAGAAGATACAAGTATTTTGATTAAATCAATAATAAATACATCTAATATCAGTGATAATTTATTTTTTAAAATTGATTAAAACTGTTCATGGAAAATAACTGCAAGTTGTTAATTACCGTGTCTTAGTTTGGTTTACTGGTGATTAAAAATCAATAGGATTAAGTACGGGGATATTGCCCGTAGGTAATATTGTTTATGACAGGAACATTTATTTTCACACCTTTTACTTATATGATTGTTTATTATATCTTGATTAGGGAAATGAGCTTTCAATCATAGAGTTTTTAATGCCTTATAAAATTCCGACAAGAATTTATAAATTGTAAAACAAACAAATAATTAGTTGTCTCTGTCCATTATTGTAAAAGAAGTTTTCAATGAACACTTTAACCTAGAATGACCAAGCGAGGATTTTGACAATTCAAAACTTTTTCAATGAAATTCCTTCTTTTTTGTTTGTTTTATTATTGATCAAACCAAGGAGGTTATATAATCTCCTAAATCAAAAAGAAATCCACGAATTGCCTATCTGATTTTTTTTTTTTTTTTTTGTAATCAGCGATCCACGAATTTACGTATACAAACGAAACGTCTTTTTTACTCTATCCACGAAAATTGATACCCACGAAAATAAATGAATCCACAGTAACCAATTCTAAGTTCTTTGACTACAGTTATTCTGTATCAGAAACCTATTATGTGTCAAATATTTAATTGCAAGCCAAATTCAGACCTGTATCAAGCACGAATATTGTGTCCATTTTTGCCCCAACTGTTCAGGGTTGGACCTCTGCGGTCGTATCCAGCTGCGCTCAGCGAAGCAATTTATTTATAATGCCCCACCTACAATTATAGAGGGGCATTATGTTTTTCGGTCTGTGCGTCTGTTCGTTCATTCGTCCATGTCCCGCTTCAGGTTAAAGTTTTTGGTCAAAGTTGTTTTTGATGAAGTTGAATTCCAATCAACTTAAAACTTAGTATACATGTTGCCTATGATATGATCTTCTTATTTTAATGCCAAATTGGAGTTTTGACCCAAATTTCACGGTCCAATGAACATAGAAAATGATAGTGAGAGTGGGGCATCCGTGTACGGTACTATGGACACATTCTTGTTTGTTTTAGCAACAAATACATTGTCAAACTGTTTTAGCAACAAATACATTGTCAAACTACAAAGACACATAATGGCTAAGCATTCAGCAACATCACGGAACCATTATGCTGATTCTGGGCCAGCAAATTTGCTATTAGTCCTAAATGCAACATTTTTAGCAGAGAAGCAGTAAATGCCAATTTTCAAAATCCTTTTTAATTAACCAACAAGGAAAGCAAGCTACTAAAAACCTATAAAGGCAGTCTTTCTATTTAAGAAATTCATGTATATATCTACTGAGTAGCAAAATGTGCAATGAAAAGCAATAAAAAAGATATTTTGAACCTTTTGTTTCTCTCTGAAAAAAATAGTAAAATATTTTGAACATTTTGTAGCTCCTCGAAAACAATGGATAGCTGTATTTCCCTTAAATACTGCAAGGTACAAGAATATTTATTGTCTACTATCAAATGTAAAATGGAAACACTAAACAGCTTAAAACGTATAGGATTAAGCACACATGGTAATATGTAAAAGACACATAAAGATAACACACTATTGTACGTTAGTTACCTGCAGTCCTTGTCAATCTGTAATAACATATCATTGTCTTTGAAATATGTTCCCCAGTTACTGTTCGGATTTGGATTTAATGGCTAAAAAATTTGGTATTCAAATGTTATCAAATGTATGTTGATTCAAATCAGACATATATTTATAAACCAGCATATGATAAGGATATTACCTATTTGATATTAACAGCTTTCATATTAAGTTAGATAATATTATGAAAGGGGCACATTCAGAATTTTATAAGAATTGGCACAGTAAAATATAACTGTCTTGAAAAAAAAGTTCTATGTTTATAAATGTTAACCAACATTTACCGGGTAAATGTATATTTGATTTTAACTTTCTGTTCTTGTAAGAGATTGATTAATATGTGGTGAAAAATACTTTATGACTCTATTATAATAATCAGCAAGACTTTACATTTGTATACTCACATGATCATCTTGATGTGTTCCAGTTGAAGCATCCAGTCCAGGTTTTACTATCATCTCATCTATAAAGTGTGTATATAGCTTTCTAAAATGAATAAAAATTTACTTTCAAAATGATAAAATCAAATATAAGAAGACACAAAATAATTTGTATGTAAACATTCATTTAGTAGAAAAATGTTTACTATAACCCCAGTACATGAATAAAGCTATTTACAAAATGTAAACGATTTTAGAAGTGAATTTGTACCTTTAACAAAAAACATCAGTTGGAGGTTAAAAAAGAAAACAATTGATAGAATTCAAACTGGAATAAATATGTGAAGGCATTATACATAAACTACTTGATTCAGGGTTTCTGCTGGCGGACGATTTTTGTATTTTGTGAAAAAAATATAATTGTGGCGATTAAAATCATGAATGACGAAAGAATTTGGCAAAAGAAATATAACGGTTCAACTTCATCCATCTTATTAATTTTGTTTCAGGTTTCTCAGACTTTTTCACCGATCAGACAATACTTGGATTTCACCTTGAACTTGTCACGCATATCAATACTGTCCAAAAATCTATAATCAGCTAATTGCATTTGATAGCAATAGGCAACGATGAACTAATTAAACTTGAGGCTGTGTCACTCACCTGCATCTTCAGCAATGGCCCCTTTTTAGTAAAAATCATCATACAAGGGGAATAACTTAAAGAGTTAATTGACAATTTCAGTCATGTTGACATGTTTGAAGATCTTATCCTGCTGATAATTTTTCCTTTTTAAAATTTCTTTTTATCTATTACAGTTTTCAAGATAAGAGGCTAAAAATGCAAAAAGATGTTAAAAATTATTATTTAAGGACAATAACTCAAATAACAAGTCGACTGAAGATTTCTTCCATTATGGCACATTTGTAGATCTTGTCTTGCTGATCATTTGTGATATTCAAAGTTTCTATCTATTACAGTTTTCAAGATAATAGACAACGAGAGGCTCTCAAGAGCCTGAATCGCTCACCTGTATTTCAGAGGAGAAGATTTTTAAATTAAGCAAACTTGATGAACAAATTGTGTAAAATTGTCTTTAAAGGGCAATAACTCCTTAAGGGGTCAATTGACGATTATGGTCATATTAACTTTTTTGTAGATCTTACTTTGCTGAACATTATTGCTGCTTACAGTTTATATATATATATAATAATATTCAAAATAATAACAAAAAACTGCAAAATTTTGTTAAAACTACCAATTCGGTGGCAGCAACCCAACAATGGGTTGTTCGATTCATCTGAAAATTTCAGAGCTGATAGATCTTGACCAATTGAACAATTTTACCCTGTGTCAGATTTGCTCTAAAAGATTTAGTTTTTGAAATATAAGCCAAAAACTGCATTTGACCCCTATGTTCTATTTTTAGCCATGGCTGCCATGTTTGTCGATGGATCAAAACTTCGGATACAATTTATAAACTAGATACCCTAAGGAACATTTAGTTAAAGTTTGAAGGTATTTGGCCCAGTAGTTTCAGAGGAGAAGATTTTTTAAATAGTTTACGATGACAGACTACGACAGACACCGACGACAGACGCCAAATGATGGCATAAGCTCACATGAGGCCCTTCGGGCCCCGGTGAGCTAAAAATGGGAAAAAATAACTTCAATAAGGAGAATACTAACGATTTCTGTTATGTTGACTTACTTGTAGATCTTGTCTTGCTGATCAACATTCTTATTAAAGTTTCTATCTATATCTATTATAGTTTTTAAGATATTAGGCACATACAAACAAAAAAAAAATCATTTATTACAATGTAGGATATAAAATAGATATGTAGAATTGTAATAAATGAGACAAAAATGATGCAAATTGATTTGTTTTGTTATCAAGAAGGACAAAATTCTAAACAAAAACATGTTTATGTGAGTTGGGGTAAAAAATTCAGACTGGCTTACAAAGTATTGTTTTGGCGAAGGAGGTGATGAAAAATAAATTGACCCGGGGGAAACCCTGACTTAAAGTATCAGAAAAGGAAACTTGGACAAGACTGTGAAACATAAAATAAAGGTCAATAGACAAACATGCATTTAAAGACATCAGATTCATTAATACATGTCACTACACAAAGTGTGAGGATTGTAGGTTCCTCCCTGTGCTGAAAATTAACTACAGAAAAAGTATATCTAAGTACATGACATGTCAAATGTAGGTCAGTAACCTACTTTTTCTGGAAGGATTTTGCACTCCTAATTTATACTTAGATTAGGTCAAATCAAATTGTTTCTACTCACTTAAATCAGACATTGTCTACCCTGCTTTACTGATCATGATTGATTTTATGTTGAAAGCCTTTAAGATAAAGGTTTTACTACCAGTATCACATCAACTTACATTAGCAATGATCCATGTAAATGGATTCAAGGTCAAAAGAACCCTGCCAGACTTACATGTACACCTTACAATCATTCTTTAAACCAAATGAAGTTGACCTATTACTTATAGTATCTGAGAAACAGACTTAACAAGAAAAACTAACATTGACCAATGAACCATGAAAATGAGGTCAATGTCAGATGAACTTTGCCTGACAGATATGTACACCTTACAACCATCCATACATCAAATGTGTTAACCTAGTGCCTAGCATCTGAGAAACCGACCAAAACACAAAAACTTTACAATGATCAATAAACAATGAAAATGAGGTCAAGGTCAGATGAACTCTGCCAGACAGATATGTACACCTTACAACCATTCATACACTAAATGTGTTAACCTAGTGCTTATAGTATCTGAGAAACCAACCAAAAACTTTGCAATGATCAATAAACAATGAAAATGAGGTCAAGGTCAGATGAACTCTGCCAGACAGATATGTACACCTTACAACCATTCATACACTAAATGTGTTAACCTAGTGCTTATAGTATCTGAGAAACCAACCAAAAACTTTGCAATGACCAATAAACAATGAAAATGAGGTCAAGGTCAGATGAAACAGACATCAATGATATCTATCCATAGATTTTAATACCAACCTCTGCTTGCTCAAAAAATCATTCCATTCACATCTCTTACAAGGAAGGTAATTCAGCAGCAGCTATAAAAATAAAACATGGTTACAAAAATTTAATAATCAATAACTAACATTAGTCTTTTTAAACCAATAATAAACCCTTTGTGTGCTAGATTGTTTTGTATCCATATCAGTAACATGTTTTCATAACGTTCTGACATATTTAACTGTGGTAATATATACTCAAATTAATATGAAAATACAATAAAGAGGACATGTATGTAAGGTAAAAATACATACATTTATATCTTAATGTAAATGTTATTTTCAAACATAAACTAATTTTAAAAATACCTAAATATTACATATCAATGATACACATGCAAAATCATTTATATATCATTCCATTCAACTCCCAATATATCACAGTTTGACGTCATGAAAAATTACATTTTAAGTTAGCGAAATCATCATCTCCCCTGTAACTGTATCATATGCTCTTAAGCTTGATATGTTCTGCATAGTGACCAAGTTGTGTTTGAATTGTTTAAGAAGATTCAGTGAAATATCTTTAATATACCATTACGCCTAAACGAAAAATTTCATCAAAGAAAATACAGCATGATGACAAACTTTATTGCAGAATTATTATTGTCATTGTAAATTACCACTGTCAGATCAGAGAAACATACAGCTGAACTTAGTCTGTGTACCAAAGGTCAATTATTAAGTCAGGGATTTTGTTACTACAAATCACTTAAATCTTTACTAATTTTTTCACAGATATAAGGATTTGGTTTAGAAGTTTGGCTGTACCTGTAGAATTCTTATTACAACCAGGATATCATAACCTAATTTTTATGGTGATGTTGTTTAAAGAGCCTGTAATTTTAGATACAGTCCATGTAAACTTGTATATCCTTTGAATAAACTTATTTTTATTGTGGGGGATGTATAAATTCCCTGCCACATCCAGTTTGTGTTTTTGTTACTTGTTTTTCTGCTTTGAATGGAGCTGATGAGTTAAGCCCTTGTGAACTGAATTTTAAAGTTTTTTCTTATGTTATACTGTTACACCACTGTCCCAGGTAAGGATGAGGGTTTGGTATGTGTCTGTCTCAAGTCAGGAGCCTGTAATTTAGTGGTTGTTTTTTGTTGCTTTATCAAATTTGTTTTTTGTTTTTTTGCTTTGTACATAAATCAGGTCGTTAGTTTTCTTGTTCAAATTGTTTTACATTTGTTATTTTGGGCCTTTTATAGCTCACTATGCAGTATAGGTTTTGCTCATTGTTGAAGGCCATACATAGTTGTTATCTTATATGGCATTTGGTCTCTGGTGGAGAGTTGTCTCATTGGCAATCATATCATATCTCATTTTCATATTTATTATAAAACGTTATCAATTTAAAACTGTAATAAGATCTTTGAATGTTGTTTTATCTGTACTTACATTGATTTTGTTATCAATAAATTAAAACATTAACAATTATGTATTCCTATACAGTAATTAATACTTAGGGTCCTAAATTCTGTCGATACATATATTTTGCCATTGCACAAGGTCAAGTTTTTCTCCGACTGTTTATTGGATCTTTAATTTACAATGATTCTGTTGGCTGTGTACTGATTGATATTTTGGTCTGGGAAACATGATTAACATATCAATTGTAATTGGCTTTCAGTAACTGCCAGTACTCTAAAATTTGTACTTTGTGTCTTAAGTCCTTTTGTTAGTTGCTTTTTGCTGTTTTGTGTCAATCTGAGGAGTCAATCCCTTTTCAACTTATTTTTACAGTTTGTTCTTATGTTGTGCTGTTATACCATTGACCTAGATTATGGGAGGGTTGGGCTCTTCCAAACAGGAATAACTCCCCCAGGCCACATTCTGTGTGTGCATGTCCAAAGTCAAAAACCTGAAATCAGTGGTTGTTGTTGGTTGCTGTCAATTTTTTTTTTTTGGTTTATTGTTTTGTACATAAATCAGGCTTTGTTTTTTCTCTCATTTGAATAGTTTTACAATTTGTCATGTCATGGCCTTTTATGAATTTGGGTTTTGCTCATTTTTGAAGGCTTTATGCTAACATATAGAATTGCTTTTAAAAATCTACTTCATTTGATCTCATATAGTTGTGTCATTGGCAATCATACCTCACCTTCTTATTTTTATAAACCTAAAAATTTCAGTTGATTTACGATCTCAACTTTAGGAAGGTAAAGGGTTCCTGAAATGATTTTGATTTTCTCTGCTCAATGTTGCCCAGCTTAAAGTCTTGATTACTATGGGTAAACTGTGATGTTAAAAGACTAAGACAACTACTGTTTCGAAATGCTTTTACCACCGAGCAATGTGTTTTGGTCTCCTTTCATTTGCTCTCACTCTATGATTAGTTTCCCTTCAGCTTTTATAAATTGGTGAAGACTAAAAAGAACCATCAAATAATTGACAACTGATCTGTCAAATTTGCTATTTATAGATGTACATGTAGTTACTAACCTTCCAGCAAACAGATCTGTAACCACATTCAAAAGGACAACCTGAAAAATTGTATTGTCATGGTAAACAAAAGTTCATTATTTTGTTTTTTACTTTGATCAAATAAAAAATGGTCATTTACTTCAGTAGATGTACCACTACACAACTTGTACAAACTTTCATAAAAAGTCATACTCTTTAGTTGATGTAGAACCAAACAATAATCAGGAACACAAACCACTGAGCACATGACAACAGAACAGAAAGAAAATAATAATGTATGATGACCTCTAAATATCATAGGATTGCTGTCTCATTGACAAAAAAATAGTTCTTGGTGACTTATATTTACTTGGAGGAATCTTCTAAGGAGCATTCAAGTGTGGCCAATTAAATTCTTAGAGGACCAAGAATCTACCATAATGTTCTTTGAAAAATATTTGAACAACTCATTTAAAATTTAGGTCAACCATGTCTTACTTTGGCTTAAAAGCTTGTCTAATCAAGAGAACCTCTATGCAATATATGTACCAGAGTTTGTTGTTTGTAAATCTATTTCTTGGAGGAGTGAGGTAGTGGCGATTGGTGTGTTCTGTTGCACTATCCAATAATTTTGGTTAATTCCTGTTATACTTTTTATGTATTATTAATACAAAGAATGGAAATGGAATGACATGACTTGCGCCTCATGCCCTGTTTACAAACCAATTCAGTTTACATGTATGGCGAATGATATAAATACAATGTATAAGATGTGGTGTTATTGCCTATTACAAGACAACTATCTATAAAAAGACCAAAGGTCAAAGATGTGAACAATTGAAGGTCACTAACTATCCTGATTTATCATGTTTATGGGGGATATCCCCCATGAGAGGTGTTGACCTGAATTTTGAAATTCTTTATTGTATAAACTGAACACCTCAAAACAGGCATTCAATAACCATATTAAAACATCTAAAAGAAATCAAAATTTTTAGAAAACGTATAGCTGTCAGTGTAACAAGCTGAATCTTGGCTGCTTTATGAAGGAATTTGTGCACTTTGATTAACATGGCCACAAAAGGAAATTAAATCTTGCTAAAATTGTGTCAGTCGAAACCTAGGTATTGAAAAACAGTGGCAGATCCGGAAATTCTCATAAGGGGCCCCACTGACTGCCATAAGAGGGGGCCCGCTCCAGTCATGCATCAGTAGTCCCTAAATAATCAACCAAATCTGGAAAATAGAGGGGGTGGGGGGGGGGGGGCTTCAGGAGTGTTTGGTACCAAGTAGTCCGAGGTTGCTCTGACGTCCAACGGGTGTTTTGATGGAACCGCTGAAAAACTTTTTTGCTGGGGCCGTTGAAAAACTGTGTTGCTTGGGCCGTGGAAAAACAGCCGTTGGACGTCAGAACAACCTCGGACTATGTACCAAGGTGTTTCAGAAAAAGTTCAGATATATGTTAACAACAAAAATTCCAGTGGTAGCATTTGCAAAAACTGTAACACTTCACAGTAAATAAAAATTGTAGTTAAAATACAACTTAATTAGCATTTACGCCCTCTCATATAAAAACAAATAAAAGTTTTACCATTAAAACATAACTTCCGTAAATTCTTTAAGTCGATCACCTCTTCTTTCAGGACATCTTCAAATTGCTTCAACCTGAAATATTTTAATTAATAGTATTCTTTTAATTTGTCTAACATTTAGGTACGTCTTTAAACTAAACACATGACGTGACAAACAATTTGAAACTGCAAATAAACTTGCTATTATGGGCGTCATACCTTGCTTGGTAAGCTGCCATCTTTGTTTACTATCTGTACACAAGCGCAGTGGACGACTTCCTACACGTGCTTTTCTATTTTTAGTGAGATAAACACAAAACTTCTTGGGGTCACTAGCTAGTAAAGAAACTTGTGACCGAGAAAAAAGAAACTATTAAACTCTTTAAGCAATAAAAATGGATTGGCTGTCTTCTGTCATCTTGGATTGTACAATAGCAGAAAACCGCAGAAAACTGCATTTTTTTTTAGAAAGAATGCAATATTCGTTTGAAGACTTTCGCGTAAAGGTAGAACATTATATATATATATGACATATATGTCTTATCTTATTATTACGATTGGGTTTTTTTTAAGTTTGATTCGATTTTTTTATAAAGGGAGATAACCCAGAAAATATTATTTTTATAAGGTAATGTACAGTACCTATATTTTGATTTGTACCAAGATAACGAAGTCCGTGTGATCCTTAGTTTTTCCAAGGATTTGTATAGTCTTACCTTACAAATCCTTGGTTTTTCTTAGATATCTTCTCCGCATAATTTGTCGTTTATTTATTTTTTTATTTACACTTAATTGATTTTTTTCGGGCACTCTCTCAATTTAGCATAATATGTACGGCTTGAAAACTAAGGGCTCCGTGACCCATAGTTTTTATTATTTTTGAAAATAGCCTGATATTAACTGCGATTGGCAAAGTATTAAAGTATTCTATTGTTTTTAATTTAAATTCCCCATCTACCATAAGGTCGCCCAATCACTGAATAGTTTACTGATTAAATTTATTTCGAAATCACAATTCATGATCTCACTATACAAATCCTTGGTTAAACTGGAGACATAATACGTTTTTCTTTAATGTAGTATTTTATGTCTTTGTTTTGACTACGTGACAATGTTACTGAAAAATAAACATGCCCTAAAAGTTCATCTACAGCAGAGATATTCATAAAAATAAATAGGTCAAAAAATTTTGCAAAATTTTATGACAATTTAGAAATTTATTGTGAAATTATAATTACACATGCAGGAATTCCGAATAAAAAGTGGTATTCAGTTTTTAACTGAAATGTTGATTCTAAGGTAACAAATTTAGGAATTGTGTTTAAGATCATAATTGGCTTTATAGACTTATTGATAAAGGCTATAATTTTACGGTTGTTGCTCCTCAGTGTATGACCTGATTCTCGTACTTTTTGCATCCACAAATATCAATTCGCTAATTTAGATTTTACAGCAATACTATTTTGTTTCTTTTTATGCCCCACCTACGATAGTATGTTTTTCGGTCTGTGCGTCCGTCCGTCTGTCTATCCCGCTTCAGGTTAAAGTTTTTGGTCAAGGTAGTATTTGATGAAGTTGAAGTCCAATCAACTTGAAACTTAGTTTACATGTTACTTATGATATGATCTTTCTAATTTTAATGCCAAATTAGAGTTTTGACCCCCAATTTCACGGTCCACTGAACATAGAAAATGATAGTGCGAGTGGGAAATCCGTGTACTATGGACACATTCTTGTTGTGCATGTTTTATTTCTTGAATAGATGGTTTTGGACATTACACATTTCTTCCTGTACTACTTATGGCGTTGCTGCATGATAACTTCTATGCATAAACTCATTATACATACCAGGATTAAAATTATGTACGCCTGAAGCACATTAACCGATATTTAGTGAAAGGTGGCATGATTCCTTAACAGCAGTTCTATTCAGTACTTTCAGCTTGCTATTCTTTAATACACAGTGTAATTTGTTGTTTGATTTGTGTGTTTGTTGTCTATGTTATCGTTAATTTAGAGTTGTGTGCTTTTACTCAACTGCTTTTATTGTTTGGTCTTATTTATGTATGTAATGCTCTCAAACTTGCCAATCCCCCCCAAACGTGTCCCCTTTGCCTAAACGTGCCCATTTTGCTCAAACATACCCTTAAAATCACATATCGCCCAACCATTTCCGATTTTTACCACGCCAAAATTTGTTCAGGCAAAGTTGACCTTAGATGTATTTGGCTATTATTTTAGGTCCTTTTTAGTCATATAGCTCTTCAATTGTTTCGGTTCTTATACAACATTGTCTTTCTAGTATTCGGCTTTGGGCGTACCTGATGAAGGTAAGACCAGAAAAGCGCTTCGGACGCACGAAATTTATAAAGAATTGTTTTCAATCTTTTACTTACTTACTTACTTAGTTCATACGAGATGCCAGAGTATGATCGAAATATACCAATTTAACAAAAAGATGTAATTCTAATTTACGCATCCATGACTTTCTAATGTTAATGCTTCAGCGTTCCTTATGAAGGTAAATCTAGAAATCGTTTCGGAAGCACAGGAGCGTTCCTTACGAAGGTAAATCTAGAAATCGTTCCGGAAGCACAGGAGCGTTCCTTATGAATGTAAATCTAGAAATCGTTTCGGAAGCACAGGAGCGTTCCTTATGAAGGTAAATCTAGAAATCGTTTCGGAAGCACAGGAGCGTTCCTTATGAAGGTAAATCTAGAAATCGTTTCGGAAGCACAGGAGCGTTCCTTATGAAGGTAAATCTAGTAATCGTTTCGGAAGCACATGAGCGTTCCTTATGAAGGTAAATCCAGAAATCGTTTCGGAAGCACAGTATTTATAAAGTGTTTATTTCAATTACAAACTATCCCTACAGTGTTATGAAGAAAAATCTACCATTACCATTTCGTTAACAGTGTCACAGATAATATTACTAATTACCTGCATAAGCGTAGCTCTTAGGTCCTTATGATATTTTTTGACAATTTGCAGACCTTCCAGAAATTGTCAAAAAATGTCATAAGGACCTAATAGCAACGGTTCCGCAACTAGATACTATGTATACTCGGTCAACCAATCCAATATTATCCACCATCGTCTTTCTTCAATTTAATAGCAAATTCATGTTTGAATAACTTTCGTATCAGGATATGCTTATCCTGTTCAACTTTTGAATTCTACGATTGTGATTTTTATGCAACAAAATTCGATCATATATCTCTCTCAATTGATACGATTTCGTAGAGCTTGCGTTTCATATTAGGATTTCCTTGATAAAGTGTTGCTTCTTCCAAACGTTTGTAACAGAAGTTTTTAGTGGTAAAGTTCAAGTAATTTCTTTAAAATGTTTACGGAAGCCATCATGATTTGTTTAACCATTACACAAAAAGTGTATCAGGAATCGCAGAAAATACTGGACAGAATAACAAAGCAAACCAACCACCAACAGATGACCACTGTCATGTTCCATGTAAAGGTTCCAATAATCCTGTCATTTATTTTCGTGATTATGACTATCACAGATAGAAACTTATTACTAGATTTTTAACGTTACAAAAGCAGCACGGCGGGTGCAAATAGTAGAGCCGCAACTGATTAATTACCAGTCCTAAGTTTGTGTTGCTCAATCTTTAGTTATGATTTTTCACTGGGTTTTATTTTTCTATTTATTCTTCTTTTGTCCATGATGTTGTATAAGTCTTTGTTTGACCTCTGTTGTCAAGTTTCTTCTTGCTCCTTTTGTATCTGCTTGGGTCCTTTTCCCACTGTTTGTAACGAGAATTCTAGGACTGACTTCGCGATGCTTCTTTGATATTTTTATATAGTTAAATTATTGAAAGATGTGTTATCATAGAAAGATTAACTTTTGTAGATATAGTTTATGAAACTCATTTATAATCAAAACTAGTATTTCAAGGGAATGTGTATGTATCATAGAATCAAGTGTTTCCTGTATCTTTGATATTTAATCATAACTTTTCTATACTCAGGACGAATTACATATTGTGAATTTACCTGTTTATTGATGAATACTGTATGTTGACCTTAAGACTTCTTTTGATTATTTGTGTCGTTCGGTATAGTTGTCTCAGTGACGGCAGGCCAAGATTGCTGTTACATCTGATGGCCCTTTTTAAGACCCGTTTAGGACCGTGGTTCCCAAACAAGTCTTAAAAAGGCTGTCAGATGTCATAGCAATCTCGGACTACATTGACGGAATCCAACCATACACACTTATGTTACTCAAATGATTTGCACTTGGTGTAGGCTCAACAGACATGATACTATTAAGTAGTTGTTTGGCCTTTATTTAATTTATGGCATTGATATTTTCTATTTTTTCATGTACTTCTTGGTCCACGTCCATTGTTGCTTTGGAATCGCTTCACAATTTTTCATTGCAAGTGTACGTCTGTTTGATGTAAGTTCCAGACAAAGATCCCATAACTGTAGTTTAATTTGTTGGTCCTGAAAAATAGATCAATAATTTATAAGTAAGTTATTATGGTAATAGCCTGACAATTTTAATAGTAATTCAGTATTTTCTTTCTACTGAAATTTGATCAATATTTTATATGTTATATGTTTGAATATTGGATAAACCCCATATCTTGGATGTGTTCTTGTTGCAAAGTTGAATAATTTAATTGTATGCGAACCATTTATCACTGTGAAGCAGGCACGAAAACCAACACATGGTAAAACACGTATTTTCTAGTTTGTTCTATTTGGTGTTATATTAGGGGTTGGTCAAAAGACATTTACAAACCCGCTATTGTATGTTACTTGGTCAAAATGAATTAACAAATATACGGAATTCCATGGTAAATTCAAAAAGTCGATCAAACCTGACACAATCAAACGTTACACTATATCAATAGATATAACCAATCAAGGCATCTATTTAAAGGAAAGAATTACGACTATTGTCATTAGTGAAGCAGGACTGCTTACCCTTTCGGGCCATCTGAGTGCCCTGGTTTTTCTGTCTAGGTATACTCAATTTTTGGTTTTCTTTGAATGTTTTGTTGACTTTTGTACGTATGTCCGTCGTTTGTCTTTTGGTCGTATTATGGTTTGATTTTCTTCGACTGATGGTAATTTGATTGCCACCTTATCGTATCCCTTCTTTTTTTTAACGTCAAACGAACGTTATAAGAGAACTATTTAGAGAACTAAATATTTACAACAGTAAAATTGAGAATGGAAATGGGGAATATGTCAAAGAGACAACCTGGCCAAAGATCAGATAACAGCCGAAGGCCACCAATGGGTCTATCTATGCGATAAATCAATCTGAAATTCGATGATTTACTTTTATGAGAAACACTTACATCTTAAATTATCAAAAGACTGATCGAAACATTAACCGCTTGATTGCTTATAACTTTAGAGACTAGCTTTCAGCAAGATTTTTAACCCAACGTTGGCAAATAAAAGTAATGTTGCCACTATACAAAAGAAAAACAAAGTTCAAGGGTAGATCTCCTTTTAACTTGCATTTGAATTCCTTTCAGTGGTCTTCCCGACATCGGTAGGCTGTGATATATTTTGCCTTTCTAACTTAATTGGTGAATTTGTGTTTTTTTTTCTTTATACATATAGTCTTAGTCATGAAAGACAAGACATCATGAAACACCCATGTATTACTATTTTTTTTCATAATTTCTGTAGCTGTAAATAAGCTTTTATGACAAAAATTATGTACCGGGTATTGGATACGGATGATCATTTTTGCAGTGCTACTTTTTATCCGGTCTCTAACAGATCATACGCGTTATTCTGAGACATTATATTAAAATCAATTTGCAATTTGTTCCTACCTTTGTATATTGCCACATTTGAGATGATCCTCCATTACAACGAATGAAATGAAGCGTTTTATTTTTGGAATTAAAATCAAGACACGCACTATTTCTTTCTATCTTGCCATCAGGTGTTAATCTAAAGAACTACAAACAATAATATAATTAAAAAAATGCATTGATCGACATCTACCAATCATTATATTTCCGAACGATTACTGAAAAAACAATGAAAAAGACCAACAAAGTACTTTATTTAAATGAATAAAACAACCATGCGACGTTTTGAACTTTACAAAACACTTATTTCTTTACGACGTCTAGAGTTCAAAAGACCTATTTGAAACGTTCATACGCATTATCAGCGGGATAATACGTAATGCTAAATACCAATGACATAAAGGAGCACATACACAAACTTCAATCTGTATAATTCAGAAAAATGATGTCGACGTTATTGAATTGAAAATAGAATATGTGCAAAACTCGAAACTAGTCTTCAATCTTCCACATAGATGTTAAAGGTTCACAAAAAAATAGTAGTTAGAGATGGACCAAACTGATAATGACAATCATTTCTTTTTTATCATGATTTACCTGATTTCCGCCAAATCCATGACAAGGTTGTCCTTGGACTTCTATAGTCGCACTGTGTCCAGCACCCATGGAATCCATACAAACAGCAGATACTAGAAAACTCTTCAGCTGCAAATTTAAATCTATTTTATCATTGAATTTTGAAGGAAGATCGGATATCTGACTACTACCGAATCGCTTCTTGTATTCTTCACGAGTTTACATTTTCAACAAAAAAAAAACAAAAATTATAATACTTCTACTCTTTTAAGTATTGCTGCTTAGTATAAAGTGAGACTGCTCGGGGATTATAAATCCATTGCTCATTAATTCTTTACTTTTGTTATTTGTAATACTTGATACACATATATATATACATTCCTGTTCTATGAGTTGTCAGTGAAAATCTTTTTAACATGCAATTATGAATGACAGTCTTTCTATTGAATTTTAGATATTACCTCCCCAACAAAAAGAGCTCTCTGCGGCAGTTTTATTGAAGGATAAACATTCTTCACATACCATTCAAAACTGTGACAGTTCAATTTTTTTCTCAATTCTTTTCTTGAGGATATGTCACCGTAGTTTCCCTGAGTGTATGAAAAAGCAAACTATTTTTAACTCCACTTTTATTAACAATTGAAAGCGTAAGCAAGCAGATGAACTGAGTTAAAGTTGAAACGACATTAATGACAGTATGTCCGAAAATATGAAGTTAGAGACCAAAAGGTCTAAAATATTTTGTCATATTGTTTTGCAAGCGCCTTTGCTACTTTGTCTAACGTCCAGATGAAATAGTGTATATAGAAGATAAAGCATCAAATGATATCTTGAAAATTCTCTTTACTTGCAAAATGGTTGTAAAATGTGAAATCTAAGAGTTTATTTTTAAATAATCTGTTTTATTCAAATTATCTTTTCCAAATAACTCACCAAATTGAAGTTCAGAGTTTCATAGTAATAGTCTTTATAATCATCCATCCACACTTCCGCAACCCGAACAGAATTATGCCGTAACGTCTCAACAATTGGCGTCGAACCCCATTTGTAAGGACTAACTGCTCTAAATATATGAGCTACAGCCGAACAAGGGTGAATTTCTAGGCTACCACCACACATCCAAATCTTGAAAACAAAATATTTTTTTCTTATGTGATTATCTTATATGATATATTAAATACATGCGAAACGTATTTTTCCTTCTTGTGCGTGTTTGATATAATCTTATCAACACATATCACATTTAAACTTTAATATTGTATTTCCTGATGTATATTGCAGTACTTGTTGATCGTGGTATGTATGCGAATACTAGTATACCTTATCCGGAAATTTTGGTCTGATGGCGTAAAACAGCAATCAGTTTCAAAACTTGGTATATCTAGACAAGATGACAACATAAACTTAAACTTTAAAGACTTATTCGACCTTTAACCAAAACCAAAAGTACAATTTATATTGGAAGCAAAGCTATGATAGTGTCTTTTGTAAACAATTAATTCATATTGGTAGACGACTTCGTTCGATGCAAACATTACAAAAACATGTAAAATTTGCACGCTTGTGTCAAAATATTTTCGACATTAACATATAGGGCTGAATATCATTTTGATTTTATTGAAATGGGCAAATTGTTGAAAACTTTTGATATACACTCTTTAATATTGGATGCTCAAAATATAATCGTTAAATGAGTTACATTCGATTATTAATTATACTAATTATTATTATTTTTATTATAATCGTTATTACTATTAGTATTCATTTATATTCTGTCTCCACATTTGTGCATGGATCTGATGGGTTTATCTCATCAGGTTTTCAACAAATTTTGTCAGTGTTATGCCCCAAATGCAGTTTTTATTGTGTAGTTTAGCCCCGCCACAAATTTTTCCTGTACCAAGTCAGGCTATGCGGACCATGTTTTGTTTGGTTTTGTTTGTGTATTTCTTTGTTTTTTTTAAGGGGTTGGGTATTGGTTGTTCATGTGATCTGTTGAACTGTCCAGCATTTTTGTGTGATTTCTGTTACCTTTTTAGGTATAACTGACCATAACTGAAGTATGTTTTACATACCCGGAATGATATTTCTAAATTTTCCCCTCCCCAGATATTCATGCCTTCATCGTACGTTCCTATTTTTGTAAAGAAATATCTGGAGATAGTAAATAAACCACCTGCTATCGTTGGTGATCTGAAATTTACAAATTATAACATATAATTACATTCATTGACCTTTGAATACTGGTATATGTCTACATCTAATTAAAGAATGAGTATGTTGTATATATCTTTCGGTGGTGATATGGAGGAGGATTTCCTAGTAAAAACGTTGTAACGGAACTTCAGAAATCTGTATAGAAATTATAAACGTTGTTCATTAAATTGAGAAACATTTCTTATTGTTTAAATAGTCCCCTGACTGTATAAAATATCGTATCTGCTTCCTTAAATCGGTTAAGAGGTGCCCTTGAAATGGCTATTTTTCTCAACTAAAAATCTCCGTAGTCATAACTGGCTCTGCTTCGGTATTTGAGCTCTCCTCCGTGTGTTTAAAGAATAAATGAAGCACATCATCATCGTACTGCTTATGTATTTTTTACTATGAACATATAAATAGAGATAATATAGGAATTTTTGGGGGAAGAATATACCAAGGATGCATTCAAAAACCATAAGACGAAAGAAAACAGAAAAAAATGCTATGGCCAAAAAGAAAAACCAAGAATATTAAACAACAGTAAACAAGATACCATACAAAAATCTAATGATTGAGCAAGACGCCCCCCCCCCCCCCCCCCCCACAAAAACAATGTGTGAATGGGATTGTGGTAACGACAATTGGAACATAACCGCCGTCATCTGTGAAACAGTTACTAATATTCTATAACGGTCGACTAGCTCGTGATTGCGTCTGTAAAATTTTCGAAGGAATCATTTCAACTTCACCACTTCTTGGTTCAATAGCTTCCATGTAAGCAGCAACCCTCTATCAAGTTAATCATGATATGAAATGCAAGCTGTGGAATATCATATCGACTGGGAGGTACATACTCCACATGCAGGTTCTGCTGGAATGTTGCTTCATAGAAATGGAAAGTTCACAATTGGGAAGCTGAAATTATCTGCTTTGACGTAAAGTTTTGTTCTCAACCGACTGTCATTGTCAATTTCTAGATGTAAGTCGAGATATAAGGTAGACTTAACTGTATATCTTTTTTTAAGTTCGATGGAATTGGTTAACTCAACATAGCCATCAAACTTTGAATCAGTTAATGTGAGGACATCATCTATATAGCGGAACGTGAAGTTCGAGGATAATACTTAAGAAGCAACTGTGTGAAGTCTGCCTCATTTGAAAAAAGGAACAAATCGAAAAGAAGAGAAACACAAAGAAAACAAACAAATACTAAAACAAAACAACAAAAGTCAACAACAAACATCATGCAAATTATATCAACAAAAAAGTAGCCTAAAACTAACTGACACAAATTGTATATATATGACTCACTGTTGAAATGTGAGCTGTTGACGATAGATGTTTAATAGACAAGCGAGTCTTCACTTGACTTGCAAAAATATCCACCACTGACCAAAAACTTACTTCTGTGGATCAGCCTCGAAGTGTCGCTGTTGCATTTGCGTTCGGGGTATATTATTCCAATTAAATGACATCTTTTCAATATCAAATCCCCCTACTGCTACAAGAGAAGCCACAGATTTTTGACTACTGAAGCTGTCACTGCTAATGACAGGAATAAGGGGAGCTACTGCAATAGTAGGATCTGTTTGTACTCTGTCTAACAATGGTTCTAACCAACCTGTAAAATGTCATTTCATTTTGTATAGTTAGATTAGAAACTTGTATTTTTTAACGTGGTTATATATATTTATGTGCTTTTTTATTCTCATCTCAAGCTAGAAAGCAATGGCATACTCTAAGGTATTACCACTTATTTATTTAGATTATTTTTTAGGAATAAATATTTGTTGATAAATATTCTGTATCAACTTCACAAATAATACATGACGGTCTTGAAGTTAAGATTTTAGGTCCTGACGTTGTTTATCATCTTAAATACGTCTTTTAGTGTTCTTTTATTTGTCTTTGTAAATTATAAATATACTGTTTAGTCCATTTTTGGTTATATCCTTTTGGCGTTGCTCGGTGCATCCCGCCATTGTGTTGTTGTGCTGTGTTCATTTTTTGTATTCTTGTCTTTCATTTTTGCTTATGTGCTTTGTCTATATGCCATTATGTTTTTCTTTGTTGACATATTTGTTTGTTTTTATAGTGATTAAGATCATAACACAATGCTGACTGCTGCACCCCTATCTTTGACATTTTTACCTATTATGTCTGTTTGTTTTGTTGGCAATATAATGGAATTTTATGCGACTGTCATACAAGTGAGAGGTTTAGCTAGCTATAAAACCAGGTTTAATCCACCATTTTCTACATAAGGAAATGCCTGTACCAAGTCAGGAATATGACAGAGGTTTTTCCATTCGTTTGATGTGTTTGAACTTTTGATTTTGCCATTTGATAAGGAACTTTCCGTTTTGAATTTTCCTGGGAGTTCGGTATTTTTGTTATTTCACTTTTTATGTGATGTTATCACACCTTTGTTTACTAAATTAGTGGCATCAGAGATAAACTACAAATCTATTACATTGATTTTAATGTAAAATTATTAAATAATATTAAAATTAGGATTTTATAAGACTATTTTTAAGAGCTTCTAATATAGACACCGTACTCGTCCGCGTGTAACGACTGTCATATATAGGAATATTGCTGAAACTCACTTCACCAATTTGTTATCGAACAAAATACTTTATAGCAATTACATTTTCATGCCCTCATTTTTTAAGTCATTAGTACAAATTGAGTCTGTTCAATTAAATCAATCTCTCAAATGATACATTCTAAAGCTTAATCATGCGACCGAAATAACAGACTAATCTGAAAATGTACGCAATACATCTGTTGCATTTTCTAGACGGGGAATGTAAGATATAAATTGCTTTGGTCGGGTAAGCTTTTCTGGAAAGCTTGTAGATTTAATTAAAATCAATCTAATATACATTTTTGAATTTTGAAACATTGGAAGTTTACCTGGAAAGCATTCAACATGAGAATCAAGAAATGTGAGAGTATCTCCTGTAGTTATAGAATACCCTAGTAGTCTTGCTCGTACCAAGCCTTCTCGTTTATTCGTGTGTAATACTTTTACTTTTTTCAGTGTTTCCATATAATCATCCAATGGTTTCTTCAAATGTGCTGCAATAATATATTATCAATTAACGAGTATATTTTTTCATGGTTCATTATTTTTAAAAAATCACTCAATATTAATTGACATACAAAATGAGGTATTCTTGGTTGCAGAAATATAATGACCTGAGTGAACCAAAAGAAGCATGGCTAATTTCCTCTGAATTTGTCACTTTTCAGAATTCAGCAGTCGATTTAAACTTTTAGAATTTGAATGTTAAGTAGTTTGATTATAAACTTAATACGTTGCTGTTGAAGACAGTGTGTGAACTTGCATCGAGAAACATTCAGAACCCAGATGAATTAATTTTTATCTAAAAGAAGATAAATAGATTTACTTCAAATACTATTTAGATTTAGTTAAACATTCATTTTTGAATTACTTTATCACTAAATATTTAGTTTGTCAAATATCTTTTAACTTTACAGTTAAGATTAATTTTAAAGCTTTTTATAATGTGGTTACATATTCAGAAATGTGGCACAAATTTATTAGAACCTCAAAGTAAACACAAGAATTTATGTCTGCATGAAGCTGTGCAACTGCAGTTTTAATAATAATAATATTTAATGGCCATAGCGTAGAATTAGATTGGAAATGGCCATATATCTGTTTTAGGTATTAAATAAGCGCTAACAAAGTTTTCTCTGAATCTTCGATTATTTCTATTTTTCCTTAACTTCCTTTTTACCCCAAAAATACAAATTGAATGTTTTGAACATATTTGTTTTCAATTCAAGGCTTTTTTGTTTAAATGATACTTTATTGCCACAAACTTGAAGATTTCTGTCGATAAAATAAGACATTTTTTTTTAAAGTTTTCATCATAGTTTAATCACATTAAATCATTGCAGTACATGAATGATACAATAATAAGTACATGTATTTAGTCATCTAATGTAATATTTGGTAATTTTAACAGTCATAGTGTCCAAGGACATCTTGTAGTATTTCTCACAAATAGCAGTGGTACATTCATTTAGCCTGAAGTGATACGATTTTACATATATGTGTAATCATTGTCAGTAATTATTTGATAATGACTACATATGCATGTCAATGTGTCGAGACATAGATGTTTTTATGTTTTTAGAACGTTGAATGTTCGTTCTTTTGATGAAATGAATGTAAATACTGTTACTAAGTACATACCTAAATCTGAAAAGTCGTCTACCAGAATGATTTCATGTATAAGATGTGGTGGTGACCGGTCCAAAATACTGTGGACAGTACGTAGTAAAACCGACCAAGCCTCGTTATGGAGACAAATTATAACACTTGTGTTAGGGAGATCTTTAGGATAAATTTTTGCTTTACATCTGAAAAGGATTAATTTAGAACAAAATTCTTTTATGGTGTATGTTTCTACTCTTTCATTGAGTTTACACATATATCTACTAATCATTGCAAGTATCTGAATTGTAATTGGTGCAAGTATTTAAATTATGATCGCTGTAAGTGTCTACACAAGCTTTACTGTAAGAGTCTACAATATCATTGATGTAAATGTCTACTTTGTCATTACGTGTCTACTTTGTCATTACTGTAAGTGTCTACTTTGTCATTACTGTAAGTGTCTACTTTGTCATTACTGTAAATGTCTACTTTGTCATTACTGTAAGTGTCTACTTTGTCATTACTGTAAGTGTCTTCATTACCATTGCTGTAATTGTCTGCATTATCATTACTGTAAGTGTCTACTTTGTCATTACTGTAAGTGTCTACTTTGTCATTTCTGTAAGTGTCTACATTATCATTGCTGTAAGTGTCTACATTATCATTGCTGTAAGTGTCTACATTATCATTGCTGTAAGTGTCTACATTATCATTGCTGTAAGTGTCTACATTATCAATACTGTAAGTGTCTACATTATCATTGCTGTAAGTGTCTACATTATCATTGCTGTAAGTGTCTACATTATCAATACTGTAAGTGTCTACATTATCATTACTGTAAGCGTCTACATTATCATTGCTGTAAGTGTCTACATTATCATTGCTTTGCTGTAAGTGTCTACATTATCATTGCTGTAAGTGTCTACATTATCAATAATGTAAGTGTCTACATTATCATTGTTGTAAGTGTCTACATTATCATTGCTGTAAGTGTCTACATTATCAATACTGTAAGTGTCTACATTATCATTGCTCTAAGTGTCTACATTATCATTGCTGTAAGTGTCTACATTATCATTGCTGTAAGTGTCTACATTATCATTACTGTAAGTGTCTACATTATCATTGCTGTAAGTGTCTACATTATCATTGCTGTAAGTGTTTCTTGGGATTTAAAGTGTAATTATAAAGTTGCAAGTTTCTTCACAATAATTGCTGGAAAGGTTTACATTATCACCGAAGTTCTTACATATGATATAATTATCTAAGATTTAAATAATAGAAAAACAAAGGATATGTCTGCATTGTATTTTCATAGCTGTATGTGTAATATTTTAATTCCTTAAAGTGTGTGCATTGAAGAATTGAAAGGTAGCTGAAAGTTTCTACATCCTACAAATTCAGAAATTATTGCGAGGTTTTCATCTCTACGAATAATACGATTGGGTGAAGATCGGTATAATGAGAACTCGCATTCTGATATCTTATACATAAATCTGTTTGCTGATTTTCCTGAAATTGCAATAATTAATCTCGCATTTTTGTCTATTCTTTAAAAACTGCAATAATAAATGCACTCAATAATTTCTGATTTTGTAACATCTACATTTCATCATCCTTGAGTTTCTATATTGATATTGACGTATGGATTCAATAATTATGAAAATGTCTGCTTTATAATTGTTGCATATTTTAAGTTTAAGGTATTTGCATTTTCATATCGGCAATGGATTTATCGTGAATATCTTCACTGCATTTCTTCAAATATTAAATTTAGTATTATATATAAGTCTTTTCTGTTTTAAGGATATCTAACAAAACCCTTCTAGACGTAGACGAAATGGCTTTTATTGGCGATTTATCTCGACCTTTAAAGAAGGCTTTTGACGAAATATGGAATTGATTTGAAACTTACGCTGGATTTCTAATATCTGCAAGTCTCCTGTGATATGAAATCATATCACTTACATACTGATTAAATCCATTTAGTTTGTACAACTTATCATACTGTGTCTTCTGATCTGGCGCTAGTTTACTGACGTTAACTCGAACAGCACTACCCATCTCTCCTTAGATTACAAACAAAATAATTCCATTAAGAAAAAAAAAATATTTCAAAATAAGTAACTTAAATAGTTAGTGGATTGTACAAAAATAGAATGAATTAAAATTATGACAATAATTGTGGATGATTTAAAACAGCAAAATGCTAACTTTAAATTAAATCATTCTGACATTTTTACAAACATGTTCGGAATTTCATTGCAGTTTATATGTTTATGCTCCTGAGGAGCTGAGTGACTGCTTCCATGGCAATTTATATTCCACAATGCAATCATCTTTTTAGGAATTTTTTAGCTTTTCTTCCAAAATTGTACTCTAATTTTAAAAGTATTATACTTAGATTGGAGGTGTTGTCAACATTGTTTTTTTAACTTTTGTTTAAATAGATCAGATAATATATATATTGGTAATAGAACGCTTATCATTTAAAACCAAAAACAAAATATATGTTGGAAATATGATTCTTCTATAATTCAATATTTGGACCAAAGACTGAACTCACCTGGTGCATCCATCGAAGCAATGATGTCTAAATGTTGTAATCTTTTCCATTCACTATCTGGGATTACATACACGTTTTGGCTCTTATTAACATTGTTGTCCTTTAATGTTGTCTTTCTTAATTTTAAGTCGGCATCCACATGCTCCCTTTCTAAAGATTTATTGCTTGTTCGTTGGCTATCAAATTTTTGTTTTGGGGGTTGAAGTTGTTGGCGTAGAAAACGAGAAGGAACTTTATTCTTTTGTGCTGACTTGATTTTGGGTGTTTTCAATAATGGTTTTCTTACTTCAGGATTTACAATAGCTTGTAGAGGTTGTTTTTTGTGAACAAGTTTGAAATGGTCTCTTGATTCTAGTGATTCTTGAATTTTTAAATTGTCCCTTAAGTATTGTCTGTGAATATGATCTTCGTGAAACATAAGTATCATTAATGTGATTGAAAACCATATTAATGAAACAACAAAAACTGTAAGAAAAAAAGATGATTTTGTGATCTTAGTCATTATATCTAAAAATGTGTCATAGTTGGTATTATGTTTTAAGTACTGGTCGGTGGTGACTACTTTAATGCAAATGTAATTGCTTGCTTAGATATCACGTTTTAGTACAATTTCTGTAGATCTAAAATCTGGTCATCATTGCTAGAATATTCCCTTAAAAATATCGAAGAAATTAAAGTATCTTAAAAATTACTCGCAACAGATGAAATATAAGATATGCTTGAATTAAAAAAAAAAATATACAGAAATATTATGCAAAATCAAATACAAAAAAAAATCTTTTTCAAAATTCTAAAATACGTAAGTTAGTTAATATGGACGTAAACATAATTTCTCTCTCATAAATGCAAACACACATGCAAATATCAACAAATGTCAAATGATAACTTTTTTTGGCTGTTATGTTAAAGTAATTTATAATGTTGCAGTGCAATATTTTATCGACACTGTCACACCATCAACACTGGACGTAAATTCACAACCTTAGCACTGGAAGTAAATTTAAAATGTTAGAAAAGACTGTTCCTATCCGAATCTGTTTCTTTTTCTTATTTTGCTATTTTACATGTTATCAATGTTCTATTTAATGAACCAAAACCGAAAAAAAGGAGAATGTTGTTATTCTTCTGTCAATGTCGTCTAGGCTGAGACATGTATATATATATTCTGAAAATAGACATTATTTTGAGCGACTATGTTTGACCACTAAGACAAAATAATATTAATAAATGCTTAAATTTTCTTCAATCCGCACGTATATCACTACTTCAATCAAATATATATTACAAACGTTTACAAAATCAAACAAGGGTTATCAATAAATTGATTGTTTGAATTAGACTATCACTTATATAAATCAGGACAATATACATGTTATTATTTTCAAGATTCAAATCATTAATTTTCAAAAGTTGCCTTAACAAACACATAAACTAGTAAATATGCATACTGTATAAATGAGAGCTAAGTATCTAATTATATCTGTCCTTGTATATGTTCATGTTTGATTATTTTTTACATTTTTAAGTCACCAATGACTGTGTTCCACTTCCCAGTTGTGCTCTATGTCAGATTGAAATGAAACGTAAATGTGTACTTAAATTGGTTTAATTCTTCCTGAAGTAAATTCATTGGCACTCAGATATCCATTGTGTTTTACTTATATACACGGATGATACCGATTACAATGCACAAGACATAATTGTTTCCGGAATAACTTTTTTTATGAACAGTTTCAGTATAATCATCCATAAACAATGTCACTTAAAATCATACTTGCACCCCTTAAATGGATCATGGGCGGGTTAACCTCGGTGACTGACAGTCCAACTTAAGAATTACAGATCCAGCAGCAATAACAAGAATATGATTCTTATTAAGGTGTGAGCAACACGTGTTTTGGAACACTTTTCATTACGTTCGTTACTAGAAGCAACCTTTTGTTAGACAACCCCCCCAAAAAACAGTAACAGAATCATGAGCAGAAATCTCTTAAGACAATCATTGCTTGAGAGAATTACAACTTAAGAACTAGTACAAATATGTTATCCATAGGCTGACAATTCATAATTTAAATTATGAAACTACTGGGCGTACAGTATTTACGAGGACTAAATTTGCATATTAATAAATGAGAACTTGGGAATTAAACGCTCCACGGAAAATAAATGCAAAAGACATGCACAAAGTTTTCTATATAAAAAGTTTTTAGATATTAATATCGTTTTACGATCAACATACCTTATCAACTTTTAGATATATCCTTAGTTTAAAGATGACACGTGTTTAACTTATTGATTACATCAAGATGTTGCATGCGGGAGTCATGTTTATTCATTTATTTTGTTCATTGATTTCCTTTTAACTTCAATATTCGGTAATATCATTTCCTTTTTCATTTTCTGTGTATTTAATATTAATGAGTAAGACAATGTTGTAAATACATTTAGTTTTATGTTAAAATAACGAAGAAACATTAAAGGTAGAAATAATGAAATAGATAGTTTTCAAGATAATTACATTAGACATGCAAGTGCACAAGCATTTTTTTTTTTAAAGTAGGTAAAAGGGCAATTCTTTGTTTTTTAATTTGTAGATTGTTGCCTAGTTCAGATACAGAATAAGAGCTTTTAAACTTTCCTAATCAACAGTTTGCTATGAAGTATACGCTATGCATATTCCATAATGCTCTTTAAAATGAAAGTAGCACCAATTATTGATACATATATAACGTGAGGGTTCTCAAATTGCACCTATTGTGACAGTTTTTTCACCTACGTTTATTTATGATCCAGACACAAGTTTCCATTCTGTGTTTATTTTGTAGATGTATCCTTATTAAATATATAGTTCCAACAATTTATTTTTAAATCCATATTGAATCAAACGATCCATAATTCTGTAATGATGAGTACCCAAATTGCATCCGTGCTTAAATTCACATCCGTAAAATTTGAATAACTGGTGTTTTGTTTTTATTTCCCCTAATATTTTGAACAATTCAATTTGACAATAATCCATACTTACTTTTCATTTTTGGAGGAATCAATATCTGTATAACATATTTTAATTGGTCGTTTTAAAAAGTTGACTCTTTGTGGACGACGCATGGCGACATTTCCGTAGATTTTCTTATCCAGTGAACACTTCATCTGTTGATATATACTGTGAACGTATTGTGTATATTAGGATATATTTACCTATGTTGAAAGACCTGCATAATGTCAATTTATAAAAATGTAAATTGTTTTATCTCTATGAAAACTTGTAAGATTTTTTTTGTTGCTAAATGGGTGCAATTTGGGTACTGGGACGTTATATATGTTGTATACACAATATAGTTTTTGTACAGTCTTTTATTTAGCTTATCATTTCATATTTGCATGACTACATAATATAGCCTTATTCGTAATACTGATACAATTCTTTCTAAAAAGACATAATAAGATAATTGGGGACTTAGAATTTAACATTAGTGAAAATATGATAGAATCAAACTCAATCAATTGTCCTCATTTGTAGCTTTATGTCAGAGGACAATGCTTAATGTAAGTTTGCAGTATATTTTGCAACTAAAAAATGAAGCTGTTTACTTCTTGAAGATAAATGTGTTTACCCAATGAAAAAAGGCGGGTTTCTCAATAATGATAACTTGAGCAAAAGGTTTATACAAATTCAAATTTGAACAAAATTAGAACATGTACAAAGCACATGTATTGTATGAAACACCGCAAATTACTAACTAGTATGCATTCAATATGATATAGTCACACTGTGTAGCATCACCTCCGGATATAGCTACCCAGAAGCATGTAACAAAGAATTCCTTTAGATTTTACTTTGAAGTTAAGTACATTTGTAATGCCCTATTCTTAGCATCGCCTGATAAATATTTAAAATTTTTAAAGAACGTTCACGTGTTGGCAAGCGATATATTGATTGTTAACTTTTTGAACATGTTTTTGGATGAGTTATGATTAAATGGATATTAACGTTGTGAATATTTACACGATTGTACGCGAATTCGCTACAATGTAAAAGGCAATAAACACAAGCAAATAAAACATTGAAAGGATTTAGTTTTTTTATTTTATTAAGTTGAAATTTTATGCGTTTCAAAATTTAAAGTTGTATTCAAAATATATGGTATCCTCTATGTATTGTTCCACTCAAAGTGTCTGTTTCAAACGAAGACAAAGAGCTATCTTTCTTAAAAAGTGTAAGCAACTTAATTGCCAGTAAAATTGAAAAATGACATTGAATTGTTTAAATACCAGCAAATAATGCTACCCCTCAAACGGGTCAATATTGTTCCTTATATACTTTCAGATGGACAGGATATTTGGATATTTCGAGTTTTGATTCACAAGAAAAGTTACAAGCAATTTAGTGAACTTTTTTATTCTAAACGACATATGATGGATCTAGAATGTATAAATCTATGCTTTATATAAAAGAAAATGATATAACAAAAATTCCATCAGTAGAAAAGTAAATGTAAAAAAAATGGCAATATTTTATTTTCAAATATTTTGGTAAGATATGGCAACAGCAAGAAATATCAAGTTATATTTGTTATTTATCTGATAGGTTCTTTAAGAATGTTAAAGGCCTGATAATGTTTATACAGGGGACAAGCAATGTCGTCCTCCATCGACAAACAACAGTTCTCCAGTAACAAAGGAGGAGTCATCACTCAACAAAAATTTAATAGTTTTAGCAACTTCTATTGGCTTAGCTGCACCTCCGAGTGGTTGAAGTTGTTTTTGCCTCTCTAAATACTGCAAAAAAAAAAAATAAAAAAATCATGAGAAGATATTCGATTTGCTTTTGCATTAAAACTTTTGAGAATAATTCTGGAATCTGTGTTTGATTTAGCTTCCGCTTGATTAATCCTCAATCTAGTACAAAACGATTGTTTTGGCATGACATCCGTGATAAATATATATCTAAAATATTCTGTGTATTTGGTTTTGATACTCACAAAAGTTTAATGCATTTTGTAATTCTGTTATTTCAAAAGCATAGCAGATGAAAGTATTATAGAATTGCATGTAACACGCACTGAAATTGTTAGCATATGTTTCTATGCCAACAACTTGCGTATTTTTTACTGACTGGAAATAAAAGACAGCATATGCAACGAAATCCTGTTTCATACAAAATAACACCTTATATACATATACTGGATTTTGATTGCTTGATAGCTAGTGAATATTTCGTGTATTTTTTTTATAGATAAACATTGTTGATAGTTTCACAATCACCGGGTATATGCACAATAATATTATTTGTCAAAAAGTATATGCCTATTTATTTCCCCACTTCGGAGACGCTTGCTTATTTATGTGCTTTGTCAAAAGCTGTTGTATTTGTTGTTTAGGCTTATGTCATGTAGCGAAAGAATAATGAACTTATTTCGAATGATTTAATCCATCGGAATTGATAATCGGTGCAATTAAACAGATATGTTTTGTTCATAGGGGTATTTGCGAAAAAGTTAGACATAATTAGAAAGCGAATGCCATTAGTTTAATACTAGTAGAATTTTCAACCCTCAGCAAATATGTATGTCTTTAGACAACATACAATTAACATTTTAGGCATACTTTTCTATTCATCAATACGAATAATTTAGAATTAAGGCAACTTACTTTTGCATAATTTTCCTCTGACATACCAGCACGCCTCTGAAAATCCGTAATTATGACACCTGGACTGCAAAACCAAAAAATATTTACAATGATTTTAACAGTTGATTTCCACACAAAGTTGGCTACCATGGATTTATATATATATATATATATATATATATATATATTATATTTGCCTTCGGGTTTATATGATCCGTTCATCCTATTTCGACTCTTCAAAATTCAGGAGTCAATCCCAAATTGAGGTAAATTATATGGCCTTCCAAATACCGTTTCGATTCCTAACATCACTGAAGAGACATTAATTGTCGAAATCCGGATATGGTGTACAAATTTTTGCACCTCATGTTTGCGGTATACCATCTTTTCCGCAAGTTTATTGTTTTCTGTTTGGTATTAAATTAATATAATTAAGATCCATTGTGTTACATCTGTGATCCGTTTATTTGGCAATCGCCATGGCAGTCAGCAGGGTTAAAGAACATCCGTTGTTCGACCTGCTAGTCAAATGCGTTTTGTTAAAATATACTTTTTCACTTTTTTAGTCTTTTGGAAAATGTTGTTTGTGCTGTATTTAGACCCCTCTACAAAGAAATTTGTTTTGCATGCACACGTATAAACATTGCGGTTTTTATCCAACGCAATCATAGGTTTGAACGTTGTTTTCAATTTAGACTTGTTTATATTTTTTCGTTTGGGCTTGTATTATATTTGCCTTCGGGTTTATATGATCCGTTCATCCTATTTCGACTCTTCAAAATTCAGGAGTCAATCCCAAATTGAGGTAAATTATATGGCCTTCCAAATACCGTTTCGATTCCTAACATCACTGAAGAGACATTAATTGTCGAAATCCGGATATGGTGTACAAATTTTTGCACCTCATGTTTGCGGTATACCATCTTTTCCGCAAGTTTATTGTTTTCTGTTTGGTATTAAATTAATATAATTAAGATCCATTGTGTTACATCTGTGATCCGTTTATTTGGCAATCGCCATGGCAGTCAGCAGGGTTAAAGAACATCCGTTGTTCGACCTGCTAGTCAAATGCGTTTTGTTAAAATATACTTTTTCACTTTTTTAGTCTTTTGGAAAATGTTGTTTGTGCTGTATTTATCCCCTCTACAAAGAAATTTGTTTTGCATGCACACGTATAAAAATTGCGGTTTTTATCCAACGCAATCATAGGTTTGAACGTTGTTTTCAATTTAGACTTGTTTATATGTATATATATATATATATATATATATATAAGTCTAGAGATTTGCACAACGATACTAATATAAGATGGTATTATACGAAGATGTTGTTAATAAATCGTGTTGACAAATATTTCGGCTTAACAAATAGCCTTCTTCGGTGTCAATTATTTTTGACGAAGAATTAGAGAAACATATATATATATAAACAAGTCTAAATTGAAAACAACGTTCAAACCTATGATTGCGTTGGATAAAAACCGCAATTTTTATACGTTTGCATGCAAATATATATATATAGATTCTACCACTGCATCGAGTGTGATACGATATTTATCCACTCGAGACAGTTAAATTTTCAAATTTAAAACGCGAGGCTCGCCGAGCGTTTTAAATATTTAAAATTTAACTGTCGAGAGTGGATAAATATCGTATTACACGAGATTTGGTGGTGGAATCTGTTTCTCTAATGATTTTCAAACAATATGCATGCAAAATCATTCCGTCTTTTCGAATGATCTGCAAAAAGATGTGTTCTTTCTATGTGACGTCATCAGGCATGGTCGCCTTTTTTCATGCCGTCACAATAGGAAATTCAGAGGAAAGCAAGTAAATTCGACGTCATAATCGGATTTTAACCAATGAAGAACTGAGATCAAACGAACCACACGTTGATTAAATTTTTTTATACAATGGGTGCAGAAAGAGATAAATTGACGAAGAATTAGAGAAACATATATATATATATATATCATGTATTGTGTTAAGACGCTAGATAAAAACTGACGAGGAAAGGTAACACCCGGCCACCGAAATCTTGATTTTTGTCGAGCCTAGGTGGTCGAGTGGTCTAGCGCGTCGGGCATAGTGCAAGGCGATTTGGTGCCACGATATCTCAGTAGCATGAGTTCGAATCCCGCCAGGGGAGAACAAAAAAAAAATACAGATCTAACATTGTTGGGCTGTTATTTAGACGAATTATATATTTATTTGGCAATCGCCATGGCAGTCAGCAGGGTTTAAGAACATCCGTTGTTCGACCTGCTATATATATACAAGTCTAAATTGAAAACAACTTTCAAACCTATTGGATGAAAACCGCAATTTTTATACGTGTGTATGCAAAACAAATTTCTTGGTAGAGGGGTATAAATACAGCACAAACAACATTTTCCAACAGACCAAAAAAAGTGAAAAAGTATATTTTAACAAAACGCATTTGACTAACAGGTCGAACAACCGATGTTCTTAAACCCTGCTGACTGCCATTGGCGATTGCCAAATAAATTGATCACCAGATGTAACATGGATCTTAATAATTAATTTAATACCAAACAGAAAACAAAAAACTTGCGAAAAAGATGGATATATAGAAGTCTATAAAAAGTACCAACAAGCAAATTTAATATGTACCGGATCGTCTAGAATAGACAATACTGCGCAGATAAGGAAAAAATTATATCAGTCTAAAGATATGCACAACGGTACTAATATAAGATGGTAATATACGAATATGATGTTATTAATCGTGTTGACAAATATTTCGGCTTAACAATCATTACTTATCATGTATATCTATTATATAGTCAATTTTATAAATTCACTGTTTGCAAAAGTATGAATTATTCTAAATACTAAGGATGTTCTTATCCCAGACAGAAAACCTTAGCCGTATTTGGCACAACTTTTTGAAACATTTGGTCCTCAATACTCTTAAACTTTGTACTTGTTTTGGCTTTCGAACTTTTTTGATCTGAGCGTCACTGGTTAGTCTTGTGTGGACGGAACGCGCGTCTTGCGTATTAAATTTTAAACCTGGTACCTTTTGTTAGCTATTATTCGTATGTTTCTCTGTCCTATATGTTCTCCCATTAATTTGTATTGTAGTCCTGTCATGTAATGTTGTCATTTTAATGTTATATTTAACATTGCTATAAAAGCGGGAGGTTTGGCTAGCCACAAAACCAGGTTCAACCCACCATTTTTTCCTTAAAATGTCCTGTACCAAGTCGAAAATGGCCATTGTTATATTGTAGTTTGTTTCTATGTGTGTTACATTTTAATGTTGTGTTTCTGTTGTGTCGTAGTTCTCCTCTTATATTTGAGGTGTTTCCCTCAGTTTTAGTTTGTTTAGTTTTTTTCTCAATCGATTTATGAATTTCGAACAACGGTATACTACTGTTGCCTTTATTTGAAACTTAAACAATTAAAATCGAACACAACGCTTGTACAATTCTAAAATTTCAAAAACAACGTAGATTATATAGATATTTATAACAAAGACTGCATAGATATGCTTCTAATAATAATAGTAATGTGCGATATGAACTGGTATATTTCTAAAATTACAAAGGCGACGACAGTTAAGATATTACAACAAAGACTGCTTATAAACTTTCGCCACCTTTGTAATTTTAGAAATGTACCAGTTCATATCGCAAATTACTATTTTTTTAGGCGTTTATATATATATATATAGTTTCCCCAGAGGGCATAAATGAAAAAAACATAGAATGTGTCACTCATTTTTCCTACCATCACTTGTTTCCAGTAACCCAGGCTTCCGTTTTGGACTCTTACAGTTTAAAGAAATTTATTCCTCCTCCCAAACATCAATATTGAAAAAAATACTAGCGTATTGATTATTGATAATTTGTATAGCATTCAAGGTTTTTATTTCAGTTTGACTACCACATGTCAAGATAAGATTAATTTTACATCTTGCTAATGAAGGATATTAGTTATTCGAAATATCTAAAATTTGTTCATGATTTAATTATCTTTTGGTGATGTTGTACCCTTTTAGACTTGTTATCTATATATATATATATATATATATATATATATATATGTAGGACTCTAAAGTGCGATGGTACTCTAAAGTGCGATGGTCACGCTAAAGTGCGATGGACTACGCTAAAGTGCGATGGTGCCAGACGCTAAAGTGCGATGGTTGTTTGATTTTTAAAGCGAAATGATATGACACGCCAAATTGCGATTTTATGACACGCTAAAGTGCGATGGTATAGCAATAAGTTCAGGCAATTGTTTTTTTTTTTGTTTTTTTTTTGTTTTTTTGCTGTGTTCCTATTAATTCCTTTGTTAATTGTTTTTGCCGGATTATAAATCATGCCGTTGTCTTTCTCTTTTCAAATGTTTTCTACTGGTCTTTGTATGGCCCTTTATGACTTGCTATGCGTCGTAGGCTAAGACTCCACATTGATGGTCGTACGGTTATTAGTTGCAACATTAACGCCATTTGGTGTTTAATTTGGTGGATAGTTGTCTCATTGACAGTTATACCACATCTTCTTATTTTCATTTACTGAATTACAGCTGTAGGTTTATAGGCTTGAAACAGGTTCATAAAGTTATTAATAGCTACTGCAATGTAATCATTTCACTTTTTTAATGTACGATAGTTGTTAAAAAGTGAAATGATTACATTGCAGTAGCTAGTATTAACTTTATGAACCTGTTTCAAGCCAATAAACCTACAGCTGTAATTCATTGGTAGTCGTTTCGTTGTTGCTGTATTTCATATTTGTTTTTCGTTTATTATTTTGTATATAAATCAGGCCATTATTTTCTCGTTTGAATTGTTATACACTGGTTGTTTTGAAGCTCTTGTAAACAAAAATTAGCCGAATTAAGTAAACCTCTTCCAGAACCGACCACAAAATGTTCCGGATTGGGATCATTTAGTTTCTCTTTTCTTTTTCGCTGTCTAATAAAACCCTGGACAAACATTCTTGTTTTCCGGCATGTAAATGACTTTGTTTGTACAAACGGCGTGTAATTATTCTGTCAGAATGCTTTTAAACTTAGCTAACTTCCTTATTTTCGTAAACAATCGCATTTTCGCTGAAAAACGCATTTTAGCGTATTGAGGCATCGGACTTTAGCGTGTTCCATTGAATAGCACAGACCATCGCACTTTAGCGTAACGAACCATCGCACTTTAGCGTAGACCATCGCACTTTAGCGTGACCATCGCATTTTAGCGTCCCCATCGCACTTTAGAGTCCTACATATATACAAGTCTAAATTGAAAAACAACGTTCAAACCTATGATTGGATAAAAACCGCAATTTTTATACGTGTGCATGCGAAACAAATTTCTTGTTAGAGGGGTCTTAATACAGCACAAACAACATTTTCCAAAAGACCAAAAAAGTGAAAAAGTATATTTTAACAAAACGCATTTGACTAACAGGTCGAACAACAAATGTTCTTAAACCCTGCTGACTGCCATTGGCGATTGCCAAATAAACGGATCACCGATGTAATAAATGGATCTTAATTATGAATTTAATACTAAACAGAAAACAATAAACTTACGGAAAAGATGGTATACCGCAAACAAAAGGTGCAAAGGTTTTTGTACACCATATCCGGATTCGACAATTAATGTCTCTTCAGCGATGTTAGGAATCGAAACGGTATTTGGAAAGCTATACAATTTACCTCAATTTAGGATAGACTCTTGAATTTTGAGGAGTCAAAATAGGATGAACGGATTATATAAACCCGAAGGCAAATATAATACAAGCCCAAACGAAAAAATATAAACAGGTCTAAATTGAAAACAACTTTCAAACCTATGGTTGCGTTGGATAAAAAACGCAATTTGTATACGTGTGCATGCAAAACAAATTTCTTGGTAGAGGGGTATAAATACAGCACAAACAACATTTTCCAAAAGACCAAAAAAGTGAAAAAGAATATTTTAACAAAACGCAATTGACTAACAGGTCGAACAACTGATGTTCTAAAACCCTGCTGACTGCCATTGGCGATTGCCAAATAAACGTATCACCAGATGTAAAAAATGGATCTTAATTATTAATTTAATACCAAACAGAAAACAATAAACTTGCGGAAAAGATGGTATACCGCAAACATGAGGTGCAAAAATTTGTACACCATATCCGGATTTCGACAATTAATGTCTTTTCAGTGATGTTAGGAATCGAAACGGTATTTGGAATATATATTCATTTTTTGAGTTACAAAATTCCAAGTAGAAGTAGAAAAAAATATCCGATACTAACAGTCAATCAAAACCAAAATCGAAGGAAAACAAACAGGCCATAAGATTAATGACGAAAAGTCAAAAAGTAAAGATATAGACTGAAACATAACATAAGTCGTAAGTCCTAATGAAGTAATGATATAGACTGAAATATAACATAAGTCGTAAGTCTTAATGAAGTAAAGATACAGACTGAAATCTAACATAAGTCGTTAGTCTTTATGAAGTAAAAATATAGACTGAAATCTAACATAAGTTGTAAGTCTTTATGAAGTAAAAATATAGACTGAAATCTAACATAAGCCGTAAGTCTTTATGAAGTCAAGGTATAGACTGAAATCTAACATAAGTCGTTAGTCTTAATGAAGTAATGATATTGACTGAAATATAACATAAGTCGTAAGTCTTAATGAAGTAAGGATATAGACTGAAATCTAACATAAGTCGTAAGTCTTTTTGAAGCAAAAATATAGACTGAAATCTATCATAAGTCGTAAGTCTTTGTGAAGTCAAAATATAGACTGAAATCTAACATAAGTCTTAAGTCTTTATGAAGTAAAGATATAGACTGAAATCTAACATAAGTCGTAAGTCTTTCTGAAGTAAAGATATAGACTGAAATCTAACATGAGTCGTAAGTCTTTATGAAGTAAAGATATAGACTGAAATCTAACATGAGTCGTAAGTCTTTATGAAGTAAAGATATAGACTGAAATCTAACATAAGTCGTAAGTCTTTTTGAAGTAATGATATCTGTTTATGCTGAATATAGTCCTAACTGTGTAGTTTATGTGATAGTGATAACGCCCATTCAACTCATTGTATAAGACACATAAGCTCCCTGAAAGCAAGCACACTGTATCAATACATTATATGTAAGTGTCGTGATGTGGGTTATTATACATATTATGAAAGAGGTTGCAACTTAGAAAAGGAAAATTTTTATAATGATATATACCATATGTCATGAGGCTTTAAATTTTTGTGAAAATTTAGTCAACAAATATTAAAATACTGCATGATCTACAATACAGCTTAAAATTATTTTAGAGTACATCTTCAATCAATAACTAGAAGGGAGAAAGCCTATGGAACAGATAAGTTATTTGTTTTTACTTTAACAGTTCAATGGCCGTAATCAACTATGTTGGTAGACTGGAAAAAAACTCATTAGTAATTTATGAGTTCTCATTAGAAAACTTCACACTTAAATTAAATCAGCTTAACATTTACATTATTTCATCTATACAATTTGACTGTGTTATCCATGTTTTAATTACAGTAAAAATAGCCATATTGAATTGACACAGTGGCATCCTTAAATAGAATATTCAAAGTAGTCAATACACATGAAAGATGATTGTGGTCCTTTAATCAAGTAGTATCAGAGGAAACGATTCAACAAAAATGTTTATTATGGACAGATAACAGACGCCAGATAATAAAATATATAAATATATATAATTATATAAATACGTCTGAACCAGTGACGACTCTACACCAGATTTTATCCATCGGATCACCAGCAGTGATGGTGATACATTCTGTATTTATAATTCGTCTAAACAACAGCCCAACAATGTTGGCCGGGATTCGAACTCATGCTACTGATATATCGTGGCACCAAATCGCCTTGCACTATGCCCGACGCGTTAGACCACTCGACCACCTAGGCTCTATAATAATAAAGCTTTCGGTGGCCGGTTGTTACCTTTCCTCGTCAGTTTTTTGTTGCTTTTGGTGGGGTTCATATTACTTAACCTTCGAGTTTTACTGTTTAAGGTGATGTGGATTGCTGTTCGTCTTTTCGTCGTTCTTCTTTAGAGAAAAATGTTCTGTTTGTTTAGTTGAACTAATGAACTAATGGTTTATGATTGCCCCGTTGGTAACTTATCATTCTAGACATTAGTTCATTGTTAATTAAGTAATTCCAAACTTTTTTGTTGTAAAAATAGATACAAAATAATTTTTGGTTTCCTTTAAATGATTAAACGATCTTTAGGGAATCCTTCACCGACTAAGTACAGATAATTGCTGTTCAAACAAAAAAAAAACCCATTGATTCTACATATAATGCATACAATATCAAAATATTTTTTCTTGATTAAAGTTTTTTGCACCGCAAAATATATTCATCTTTACCTGGACATGAGTTCAATGAACTTAATACAAACGGTTGAAACCTGTTATTGGATCGGTGAAACATGACATTTCTAATTCCTATTATGTCTGTTTGTCTTGCTCACGCATTGTTGTCAATATAATGGAATTCTATGCGACTGTCATACAAGTGAGAGGTTAAGCTATCTATAAAACCAATTTTAATTCACCATTTTCTGCATAAGGAAATGCCTGTACCAAGTCAGGAATATGACAGTTGTTGATGTGTCGGAGCTTTTGAAGTTGCCATTTTATAAAGGACTTTCCAAATTGAATTTCTCTTGGAGTTCGGTATTTTTGTTATTTTATTTCTTTCTAAATTTGAAACTCTTCTAAAAATATTTAAACGGCACCGATTTTTGAAATTGTCAAAGACATTGTTGATATAAATTTGATAAAAATTTGACAAGAATTGTACACCTGAGAGCGCTTCCAATGTAATTTTCAAAAAAATTTAATATTTCCAAGGAGCAATTCTTTTTTAAAAATAACAGATTGTCACCGATTTACACGCGATAGCGTTAACAATGCAATTTCCATATAAATAATATTCCAAGTGCATAACTCTTTCAAAAATTGATGATCGGCACTGATTTTCGAGCATGTCCGAGACAATGCTGATATAAACCTATGATATAAGTTTTATAAAAAATCTTGCAAGAATTGTACACGTTAAAACGCTAACAAGACCGGACGGACAGACGCACGCCCGATATTTCTATGTGCCCCGCAAAGCGTTGCGCGGGAGACAATAAATTCAGAAATAGTTTAAAAGATGTAAGTTGATAACTATATGTAACTGAATGAAGTGTGCAGATCATATATACCATTAACAAGAACGCCTTTTTCTAAGTATGATATGAGTTGATTTACTTACTTCACTGAATTAACTCTAACTTTGTGGGATGCAAGCTCTAAAAAAAGAATGATTTAAAAAATAAATAAAAGAGGAAATAGCAACTTGTCGATATTTCAGATGTTTGATTTAAAAAAAAAAGGATCAAAAGGTTTATTCACATAAAACATTCACAGATTATTACACGAGTTTTTTTCTCAAAACAGCCATGATATAAGCTCCAGACACCCATTTGAAATATAAAAGCTTTACTTCGTATACAACCATGAACGATATTGAAATTAACATGTACTGATTTTGTCATTATATTTTTTAACTATCGTAACCCTTGGCTAGCGAAGATGTAATTATAATTGTCTGTCCCTCTTTGATTGCAACCAAATTATTTTATTCTTATCCGCTGATCATACCTTTTGTATCCTTAAAATATAGATAAATCGACGCAAGGATATTTATTTGTAAACTGAATTGCATTTTAAAATGAATCAACTCAATTCCTATAGTTCCGTTGCATTATTGGAGGAGCAGCATATAGAAGATGCGCACATTTATGCATCAAGGGTTAGTATTATGGTAGTATTCTATCAAGTACTTGTAGGTATCAGCCCTCAGATTTCAGGGTCAATAATTTAGTAATCAGTCATTCAAAATGCAGAAAAAAATAAGCATGATCAACTTCCGATCATTATAAAACATACAATAACGTTATAATATGTAGTTTGCATCAAATTTACTCGAAAAAAGGGTACTGGATAAGAATCGGCTTCCAAGCGTAATATTGAAAATTGTTTCTTTTTGTCTTTTACGGTTGTTTCCGCTCTTAAACGTTTGATTTCAGTTTCGAAATTTCAAATACATGTACTTTGGTATTTTGCATCACTGAAGAAACAATATGTGTCGTAATGTGCATATGGTGGACAGAAATCTGTACTATATGATTGTTATATTTTGCTAAGCCAGAATCAATGTCTTGGAAAATACTATGCAATGAGCCAAAACTAACTTTTCGGGGCCTTTTATAGCTGACTATATGGTATGGGTTTTCCTCATTGTTGAAGACCGTACAATGACTTAAAGTTATTAACTTCTATGTCATTTGGCCTTTGGAGAAGAGTTGTCTCATTGGCAACTGTACCACATCTTCTTACTATTATAGATACTTTATTTTTCAGTTTTAAAAGGCAAAATAACACACGAAGCTGATAATTGAAGCCGTATAATATTGCATTTAGGCATGACGAAGCGTTTTTTTTTAAAGTTTGGAAAGTCACTTCTGAAAGCAAATAGTTGGTAAGCAATGTAACAGTAACGAATATCAAACAGATAATATCAATTACTACAAACCTAAGGCTAAACACTTAGTGGACATGTCCAGCGCTGCTTTGGACATACAGTAAGCAGGACAGACTCCACTCTACAATAAGCAAAATAAAATCTAAATCATAATGTTCGTTATTGATTCATTTTAATATAAGGAGATGTGGTATGATGTATGTATGCTTTAGTCATTATTGTAAAATCTAGAGTGAGAGTGGGGAAAACGCAAAATCAAACAGCTAGCAAACCGACAGATGATAACCTTATAAATATATTTATGTAATATTGAAGCAAAGTCAAGTTAATATAATTGTAATACATAAAAAGAAAACTTACAATTTGCCAAATATCAATAGTTATTCTTAAAAATACCAAAGTATTTATCTTTGTAGTTCCTGCTGTCTCAACTGTGTAGCTCGTTGTAAAAGTATACTATGTCTATTAAGTTCTAAAACTCACCGGTCTTTGTCCAGCTATACTTGACACATTAACTATGCTACCTGTTTAAAGGGAAAGTCAAAACTAAAATAAATTAGTAAGAATAATAACAAAGGTGATACTTGTTCCTGTTTTAATTTTTTTTATTGAAGAATTGTTTAAACGCAAACTACCAGTAGTGTATAACCAGATATTATTTAAAAAAAAAACCTTTTAACTTTTGTTCAGAAATATCAAGGAAATTCAGAAAAAAGTAATAACTACCGTTCTATATTGACCACAAAATTTAAAAAAATGTGTTTGTTGTACAAATACAATACATCAATGCAATAAAGACTTATTTTGCAAACATATTGTGATTTAGAAAAGACATCAGATAAAACAGTATATTACTGTGGCTTGACTATAGGTGTTGCTTTTTACCTTTACCTTTTGTTCAACCAGATTGTAAAATTGACAATACAATACACTACAAACCAGTAAAAGTCTGAAATGGCCTATATCTGTACTCGACTGTACTGATTTTTACTTGACCAGTCTGAATTGGTCTGATATTTACTTGATACTACTCAACTGTAGTCTGAACCATACTTAACAGTCTGAACTTGTACTCGACCTTTACTCGACCAGTACTTAACCATTTTATAAGAGTCTGAACCATACTCGACATTGTCTTAATCATACTTAACCAAGTCTGAACCATGCTCGTCCGAGTCTGAACCATACTCGAACAAGTCTCAACCAACCTAGACCTATTTTTTGTATCTATCTATTGTATTTCATCAATTTAGGAACTGTTATATATATATATATATATATATATATATACATATATAAGTCTGAAAATTACACCCAACAGTGTTAGAATTAGACTTTTATGCTGACAAATTTTTATCCCTCAACGGGATTCGAACTCACACCTTTGATACGCTACAGCACCAATCGCTTAGCCTCATGTCCAGCGCTCTAGACCACACGACCACATCCGCTATATAAAAAATATAACTTCAATAGTCGTAGTGTCACCTTGTCACGTAAGGCGAATCTAGATATATATATCTGTATATATATAAAATGACTGAATAATAGCCAACGATAAATCTTACGGGGCGATGGATCATATAATTATGATACAGTACACTACAAAATATAATATATAACCAGTCTAAAAGGGTACAACATCACCAAAAAATAACAATAAAATGAACAAATGTAACTATAAATATTTCGGATAAAAGATATCCTTCATCAGTATGATCACGATGTAAAATGAATCTTATCAACCTATTATGATTATAAAACTATAGCAATCTTGAATTCTATACAAAAAAAACCCAGTTTTACCAGAACATCATAGAGACGCTAGTACAATTCTAGAATTTCCAAACCCGGCGTAACGACATACCTAAAATAAAAATAGTAATAATTTGCGATATATACAAGTCTAAATTGAAATCAACGTTCAAACCTATGATTGCGTTGGATAAAAACCGCAATTTTTATACGTGTGCATGCAAAACAAATTTCTTGATAGAGGGGTCTAAATACAGCACAAACAACATTTTCCAAAAGACCAAAAAATTGAAAAAGTATATTTTAACAAAACGCACTTGACTAACAGGTCGAACAGCAAATGTTCTTAAACCCTGCTGACTGCCATTGGCGATTGCCAAATAAACGGATCACCGATGTAATAAATGGATCTGAATTATAAATTTAATACTAAACAGAAAACAATAAACTTGCGGAAAAGATGGTATACCGCAAACAAAAGGTGCAAAGGTTTTTGTACACCATATCCGGATTTCGACAATTAATGTCTCTTCAGTGATGTTAGATATCGAAACGGTATTTGGAAAGCCATACAATTTACCTCAATTTAGGATAGACTATTGAAGTTTGAGGAGTCAAAATAGGATGAACGGATCATATAAACCCGAAGGCAAATATAATACTAGCCCAAACGAAAAAATATAAACAAGTCTAAATTGAAAACAACGTTCAAACCTATGATATATATATATGTACAATGTATATCACATTTGACTGTTTGTCTTTTTATTTTTGGCCATGGCGTTGTCAGTTTGTTTTCGATCTATGAGTTTTACTGTCCCTCTGGTATCTTTCGTCCCTCTTTTTAATATTGAAATAAAACAAGGTAATCGAATTTCTGGTTGGAATTAAAAAAATATCATGTAATAAATTAAGTTTTCGTTAAATGAATTTTTATATACATGATATCATGTTCACATTGCTGTATGTACATCAGAAATACTAGAACTTTCAACCATTATTCAAATATCTTAAATGTTATTCAAATTTGTATTTATCAAAATATATATAAAATAGTAATTAATGTTAAAATAATAATAAAACTTTCATAGCAATCCTTGATAACCTTTTAAAAAAGGAAATGCATTCCAAAGTTGCAGTAGAAATTCTTTTTGATAAAATTTAAATACGTTTTGTCAAAATTAAAGACATGACATACAGGAAGCACTTTATTAAGGTTTAATAACCTTAGTACATGTGTGTTTTACAGGTAAAAAGAAAATCTATTTTTCTTAAACTCGTGTATTACTTATCTAGTGAATTCAAAAGGCCTTGTTATCTAAGTTTTACGGGATGTTGTAATTTTCAATGGATGTTATTTAAAATGTATTCCTCTCTGACCAGGTGTGATCTTTTTAATCAGTGTGCCCGAAGCAGGATGTATTATTTTATAGTTTACCCCTAATCATTTCTTTAATTTTTATCCCTTTTTAAAATATATATATCCCAAATTATAAATAGGAATAGATATATTTCTGATATAAGATTAAACAATGTCAGTGATTTTGTTGGCTGTTGTTACCTCATTATTGTATGTAACCATGAAACCTAAGTAGTTTTTATTTAGGAATTTAGGAAAATCAATTTTTGTTAAAAAAAACAACACATGCCAAACAAAAACAACCTTAATAAAGTTTTATTACCCTCAGTATAGGTGTGGTTTTTATGTAAAAGAAAGTCTTTTTATTTAACAAAACTCAGACTTTAAAATTAGATAAATTAACTATCTCGATTTGATAAATATAAGAGAATTATGTAAGGATGTAAAAATCTGTTTATATATATCTTTATTTTATTGTGGCTGTTGTCATGTCAGTTAAGAAAGTTATTTTAACAATCAAAATTATAAAAAGTAGAGGTTATTTGGTCATGTATGGTTCAGACTGGTCGAGTATTGTTCAGACCTTTGGTCGAGTACGGTTCAGACTGAAAAAAATAGGTCGAGAGCTGGTCAAGTATTGGTCGAGTACAGGTCGAGAATGGGTTAAGACTGTTTCAGACTGGTCGAGTAATAGTTGAGACTATTTTCAATAGCAAAGACAAGAGTCCAGTACAAATCAGTACAGTCGAATATGGTTAAGACTGGGTCGAGTAATATTAAGTAAAATTCAGACCAATTCAGACTGGTCGAGTAAAAATCAGTACAATCGAGTACAGATATAGGCCATTTCAGACTTTTACTGATTTGTAGTGATAGGGACATTTAAATTGACCAGTTGGTTTTGTTAGAGTTGATGAATAGGTGATCACTCATGCATTTAGAGTTTACCTTGATTCTGTCACATTACTCCACCTGTCCAAATTTCACTAATGTGGTGTTACTGAGATAGTTGTTTCAAAAAATAGTTAACTATAGCAAGGCTTAAATTTTTATCTTGGTAACAAACATTGCATGCATTTAGTTTAAACTAGAATGTTATGACTGAATCTTGAGTAATTGGCCACAAGATACAAACTAAATTTTGTCATACCAAATCTATTTTTTGTTCCATATTTGATAAAAACTGATTTTTTTTTAATATGATTTCCCCACCTGTGTTTTATACTATTATTTCAATATTTGTGTAAAATGTTGTAATATTATATGTACTATTTTACATAGGAAATAAATTATGAAACCTTTTATATGCACCTTTATAAAAACACTTTTCGCCACAATTTGAAGCAAAAGTGTTTTGCATATTCATTTTATTTACAAGACATTAAAAGTAAAACTGGTTAAATTTTGGAAGGAATACTTGTTTGAAAAGAGGATATTATTTTTTCCCATTACATCCGAACATTATTGAAATGTTTGGCAATATGAACCAATTCTTTGACATGGAATAACAATTTACCAGTAAAAAGTAAAATCACAAAAATACTGAACTCAGAGGAAAATTCAAAAAGTAAAGTTCCTAATCAAATGGCAAAATCAAAAGCTCAAACACATCAAACGAATGGATAACAACTGTCATATTCCTGACTTGGTACAGGCATTTTCTTATGTAGAAAATGGTGGATTGAACCTGGTTTTATAGCTTTTTTTTATGACAGTCGCATCGAATTCCAGTAAGGTATAGTAATTTGACAGCTAATGTAAAGTGTCTTTCAAGGTTTATTACTGACTGCCTCAGTCTTAATTAATAGATGTAAAAGGTAATATTCCAATTGTTCCCTTGTCTAGTAGGAAGTGAATGGTCATTATGGTTGTACAGTATACCAAAGTTAAATAAATGTTTTTTCTCAATAGTTCATTGTAAAATTAGTTTAGTAAGTCCACACAATCAACAAGGTATATGATATGGCTTCAACCCCCTACATTATAACAAAATTTGGATATTGGAAAAAAATTGAAATTTTGTTGTCAGATACTAGTTGCATTGATATGAATCAGACACAGCAACAAACAAATCACAAGAATTACGTTTCACCAACACTGTTGGCTATGCACATGGAAACTGATAGAATCTAACACTTGTTATATATTTCAGATTGATTTTGTGAGAAAAAAATGTCCGTAACATGTATCTGTTGGCTTTGTTTGTTCTTCTGGCATTTACACCACAAAATTAAGAAATGTTTGCAGTGTTCTTACAATTGTCAAAATTGCGAAAAGTGGGAGCATAAATTTCTCTATATTTACGTTCTTACCTTTTGCAATTTTGGCAATAATAAGAACACTGCAAACCTTTCTGAAATTTAATGGAACAGTGGCCTTACTTATTTTTGTCGAGCCTGCGACTTCTGT